CCACTGAATGAGCACTTCAATTATAACAGATCTGGAATACGCCTGTGCACACCACGAACCCAACGTGCACGTTTCTGAAGATCCTTTGTCCCCGACTCCATTCATCTTTTCAATTCCAAAGCAAAACGTGTTTGATTACTATGTACCTACCATGTCAATGTATCAATATAAATGTAATATAATATAAATTTTAAATATATGCCATGAATATTGCATCCAACTATCAATTACCGTTCGAGCCAGTAACTACAATCTATGTGTCATCAATAAACTTAACAATAAAAACGATGCCCGTAATAATTATACTCAAAATGGTAATCGATAATAATGATAATAATAATAATAATAATAATAATAATACTAATAATAATAATAATAATAATAATAATAATAATAATAATAATAATAATAATACAATAATACAAATGACAATAAAAATGACTTATGTATTTATTATCATTTTAAGATTTACTATGAAATAATCATTGATATTAAATAATTCAGCTTCATATTTTGTAAAATGGAATCTGATATTACCTCTTAAACCACCATATATACCGTGGCTTACATATATATTACCTCATTTATTGTATGTTTATCATATGTGTATGTTTATCACTGTCATGTAATATTTCATTTATATATCTGTATCGCAATACTCTGTAACCAGTGGAAAACAAATTTCCTGAAAAGGACAATAAACTATTATACTTATACTTATACTTATACTTCTTCTTCTGATAAAGTCTGCCTCCTTCAATTGACTGAAGATTCTTGCAAACTATGTGCGTGTGTGTGTGTGTGTGTGTGTGTGTATGAACCGCAATTTACGTCCATTTGAGTGATATTTACATTATGATACAATTTATTTACAAATATTTACATGTACAAGCAGCATGTATAGGATGGAGGAAGACTAGCAGTTTTAGCATTTTTCAGTCCAGTATTAATACTGTTGATCATACACAAACTATTTTGTCCATCCTTGGTAAAACTATCTTTATCTGAGAGCAAGATACAATGTATGTCATGGTCTTTCTACAACTACCATAGATCAATAGGACAATTGATTTAAAATTATCTTAGTGAAGTGAAACCATTCACTTGAAATGCTTTCTAATGCAGATCTTGCTGTCTTATTAACAATATGAATAGAGATTTTGATAGAACAAAGTATGTATGAAATGGTCAGGACTTGTCAAAAATATTGAGCAATTATTCAAACTTTCAATCCAAAAATCGAAAGCGAAGTTAGTAAACCATTCTTCCACCAATTACTTTTGCCTTCTTGCACTTCAGTGTTTTGAATTGCTTCTTGTCTTGTTGATATTATAGAGCATCAGTTGTCTACTGCGTAGGCTACGGAACAAAGACAACCCCATCCATGGACTTCTAGCAGGTTTCATAGCTGGACTATCAGCCATGTTCTATAGGAGCAAGACACTCTCGCTCTATCTCACATCTAAGGCTGCTGAGGTAAGCTGGATTTCCACTTCACTTTATGGTATTTACTTGGCTCAGAAATAGTATACAAATATACACTGTCTTGAGAGGTTCTGGTTTAAACTATGGGCATGTGGTGACTCCAATAGTACTATTGGAGTCACTAAGGCCCATAGTTTTTACCAGTACCTAAAAAAGAAGGTAGGCTATTTGTTTTATATCCTACATCAAAAATTCAAGCAGAATAACTCACTCAGTGAATAACTCACTGACTGTGGCTCAGCATGGATTGCACCGCGTGAGCAGTTTAACACCAAATAGTACTCTTTCAGAGCAAGCTTAAAATGGTTGAAATATTTCTGTTCATGTGATGACCTCTCAACCAATCAAAAACCAATAAGTTGTTGATGCAGGATATTATTGAGAATAATTTCAGTCTCGAAATCTGTTAGTTCCAATTTTTTCACTTGATGGAAAAATTTAGAATTTGATACAAAACTTGTAATATCATAGGCCCTGTCATCTGGAGCACTTGAACATAACTTTGTGTCTGCTAGATACCTTAAAGGCTATGAACCTTTTATCCTAATTAACATGTAGAAAGTACTTTCACTTGTTTTTTCTTTCTTCTTTATATGCTGTATTGTCTATCAATCCTTATAATGATGCATTGTTAATATAATTGTTTTCTTCCAGAACGTCTTTTTCAAGCTTCAAGACTTGAAATACCTTCCCATCATTCCACACGGTGATGTCCTCCTTTATGCACTGACTACTTCCGTTGTCCTACAGGCAGTGAGTATTCTTCTTGATAATAGTTGAAGTTAAAGCCCCACTGTACTACTTGTAGCTACTTGCTCCCTCTATATAGAAAACAGTACCGAATCGGTGCATGTTGGTCCTCCGTGATCCTCTTTTTCTTATGTTAATTGAGAGCTGAGTTGATGAGATAGCCACCTTTCAGTGAGCACCCTGGGTGGTCTAATCCCTCCTAGCCAAACTAGTGAAGACGGTCTTTAAAAACCCTATCCAATGAAAAAATAACTTCATATCAATAAAAAGCTGAATAAATATATATAAAGGAATAACAAAGTATTTCCTTTTAGTAGTGCACAAAAGCAAATTGAAACATGACATCTGTTTCATTTTTCACTTACGACATGGTCTTTAACAGGTAAACCGTATGGTTTATATTTAACTTATTCAGTTAATAAACCTGACCCTGGATCTAAAGGAAAACTCAGACCTCAGACTAACCTCCTTTGTTAAAACTGAATAAAAGCTTAAGCCCAGTGTCTGTTTGAAATTTTTGGAAGAATGCAGGCCTGTGAGTCCAACAGAGTATATACATCTTTATAGTTAGTCCAACATTTGGTAGATTGTGTAAACATTTGTGAAAGTATCATTCTGGTACATCATTGAATATCCCATTTTTTACCACTAGTAGAGTTTTTCATGACCTTGTAATTTGAATATTACATATCCATAGATAAGATGAAAATAAATAGTCATACATGTTTGCCCTCATGGTGACCATGTGGTGGGAATGCTCCCAGGGAGTGGAGATGGTGCACATTGTGTGCGTAAATGAATCTGATGGCAGGGTTAGTTATACTATCTGTTTGGTGCTTAGAGACAATATTTCCTACAAGGAGCTGTGTAAATCCTGCCTTATCATTATATTTCTTCGATGTCATCTATATGTGTTCTATTCCTCTCAGGCCGTCTTTGAACCTCATCAAATCAGACCGGCTTATTGGAAGTTCCTTTGTGGTCTGACAGGGAACAAGTAAGAATTGATTTTTTCCCCTTCTTTTTGCTTCTTCTTCCTCCTTCATTCTATGTAGCTACATACTTAATCTTAGCAAGTCCCATGGCCCCATAGCATACACAAAAGACAGGGATGACATTTTAAAGGATATGTTCTGGCTGTGATTTATAACTTATTGTAGTACATATACATGTAGTATTCCTAGGATTTTTCAGGTGACTTGTAAGGGTCTCCTGTCAGGCTATGTGAGTAAATCCAGTTTGCACAGGAGCCCTATATCACCCATCTCCCCCCTCCCCCAACCTCTACCCACTTTAAATTTAAACCAACTTTTTTTGAGCTGGTTCTTTCGAAGTTTGGCACACTCTCTATGTATCAAAACACTGGATTGGCAACTGTCAGATACAATATCAATCATTTACAAAGTTTATTTTTTCATTGATTCATTCTAGATTTGCCTTGATGAACCGTAAGCTGTTGGACGTCAGTGGAACGCAAGCCTCCAAGCTCTACCCAGACTACTGGCCACAGTACGATACAAGGTTCACTCCTAATCTACAGGCTGCTGGTCTAGTATGAGCCTCCAATCTTGAGCCAAAATCTGTGGTCTAAATTGAAACCATGGTCTAGATCTTGCTTAAAGCCCCGGTGTACTACTTGTAGCTACTTGCACCCTCTATATAGCAAACAATGCCTGATTGGTGTCTGTTGGTCCTCCATAATCCTCTTTTTCACATGTTAATTGAGAGCTGATTTGATGAGCTAACCACCTGTCAGTGACCTTGCTGGGAGGTCTTATTGCCCTGGCCAAACTAGTGCAGACAGGCTTTTAATTGAAACCATGGTCTAGATCTTGCTTAAAATTAAGTTGGATTAAAGCAAGTGTAAATGAGCGCATATTGCCTGTGTATTGTGCCTCATGTATGAATTTATGTCTTTGGATTACCCACTGATGTAGCCCTACCGTCCAATGCTAATCATGTTTGGAACAACTCCTCTGATTTATCCAGGGCCATTGCTAGACCATCTTGAATAGGGTAGGGAGGTCAAGACCCCTTCCCTGATAATGCCCTTCATTTCTGACCCTTTGTAGCAATGCCCCTGCGGATACTAAATTCACCTGTGTTCACAAATACATTCAAGAAGCTTGGTTTAAAAAAATATTATTATTACCGTTAATTGGATAACACCTTTAAAACAATTAATTAAAATATTTCCAGAGAGTGCATTCAAAGGGAGTAAATATAGCGTAATATCATGATGGTTGAATTAAAAATGACTGGACAATAATTGTCCTTGGTGTTCCTGTATGGTATCTGTACATTGGCAAAATTTGATGCACAAACTCCATTACAGGTATATATACTGAAATTTGTTTCCATTTGTGTGTAGCAAGTTATGACATGCCTGCACCACATATCACTCTCATTCTGTTTTGATCTGTGAGTTTCCAAGATACTCCTCCATTCTGAATCGTCAGGTTTTGTTTTGCTTGTTAAATTCATTTTCTTGAATGCATTTGAGAATCGGTGAACTCCAAGGAGAGGAATTTCTTGTTTGTAATCCAGCTGGTAAGAATTTATGCAATATCATGTGCTTAAAGTAGAAATTGTGACAATCATTGTGAAATCTACCTTTTCTCTTTCTGTATGCAATGAATTATTACATGTTACTGTAAGGTGTGATGTGCTAAGACTGCCATCATTTAGGATGCATATTTATGTATAATGCTAGAGTCACATCACCTTTGCAGGAGAAAGAGGAAAAAAAAAAGGGGGGGGGGGGCTGTTATGAACATGACATGCCTGTTTCTATCTTCCAATACTGTAGGTGATAAGTGTACAACGTTATTGTGATGTTACAAAACCAAAAATCTTGTTTAAGAATATCATAGCATTACAAAACAAAAATCACTTAAATAGGCTACACCTTTTGGTGAAAAATTCTCACTTAATTATCAGTAGCCCTCAAGATTTTTTCTTTAAGAGTTGTCTATATGAATCATTAATTTTTGTTGATGAGCAATTATGTTATCTTTGTAAATAAGAAATACTATAACTGAAATGAAGTGTGTGCTGTATGTGATATTCTCTAAAATCTAGATATTGAATTGTTCTGATATGGTGATAATGAAGAATTATAAAAGAAAAGCAGTGTTTGCTGGTGCTTGTACTAAAACAATGAATTATGGTGTGTGTTGAAATGTAGCACATACCTGCATTAAAATTGACATGACTTATTAGATCAAAATAATTTGTGTACCATCATAATGGAGGAAATTCTTTTTGTTAGCCCTTAATAAGATAGATTTATATTGAATGGGCTATCACAGTAGGATATCAAGACATGTGTGTTATATAAATAAAGTATTAATACTCTGTGAGTATACCAAAGTAGATTGTATACCAAACAGTATCATTCTTGAATGTATTTGTAGTTGCCAGAGAACCCCTTTTTCCCTTTTCTTGAACTTGACTAAACTTTGTCTTCTGATTTATGGAATGCTCATAAGCAACCTCTCTGTGCCATGCTAAAATATGCATTTCTGTATCAAAATATAATGATCAATATCTTATTGTAATAAAATTACAAAATAATGTACTTAACATCAAAATCTTATTTTGATGATTCTAAAAATAATATTATTCCACAAGGAGAACGCACAAAAGTGCACAAGATGTGTCCATTTTTGCATGCTGTTGCAAAAAGGGAAAGTTAAAATGCAAGTCTTTTATGTTGGCGATGATTGACAAGCAAAAATTATTTATCACTTATTTTATTTTTCCTTTTTGATCAGAGGGTTACTGAGGTAATCACCAGTTATCTGTATAAGATCTATGTATGTGTGGAATGAATAATGTAAATTTATGCATGACATATTTTATACTGATTGAACAATGGTTGCAAATAATGTACAGCATATACAAATTTGTACATATTAATTGCCATGAAATCATGACTTGTTTAATAAAAAGATATTTCAATAAATACAATCTTGTTTGTTGTTTTAGAATCTATTAATACATGTATGTATGTACATTTATGCAACAATTCAAAAGGAAAAGTAAATCGTGCATCAAAAATGTTGTATTTAAAAAGTTACAAAATATTACCAACATGTTTTCTGTACAGCTCAAGTGACTGAAATTTCTTTGATCTTTATTTAAAATCAGATTTAGCCTCGCCTGGTGAATTAATACAAAAATAATGTAATTTTTAGCAAGGCATGGCTAGCATAAAAATGCCACTTTTTGACAAAAATGGCAAGGGGTTAGCCCATCATTTTTGGCCCAAAATGCTAATTTTCAAATAAGCCTTTTTTCATATCATTTCATCTTTAGAAGGTGTCTATGACTCCTGTTCATTCAAAACATGTAATTGCAGACAATTTTATGAAACGTGGAAAATGCCCGTTTTTGACAAAAATGGCAAGGGGTTAACCCATCATTTTTGTCCAAAAATGACAAATTTTCAAAAAAGGCCTTTTTTCATATCTTTTCATCTCTAGAAGATGTCTATGACCCCTGTTTCTTCAAACTATGTTATTGCAGATAATTTTATGAAACCTTAATAATGCCCCTTTTTGAAAAAAATGCCCGTTTTTGTCCAAAAATGACAATTTTCAAAAAGGCCCTTTTTCATATCTTTTCATCTTTAAACAGTGTCTACGGCCACTGTTCACTAAAAACTCATTATTGCAGATAATTTCATGATACCTAGAAATTGCGCCTTTTTGACAAAAATCGCAAGGGGTTAGCCCATTATATTTGGCCCAAAATGACAAATTTTCAAAATGGCCTATTTACTTATCTTTTCATCTCTAGAAGGTGTCTATGACCCCTGTTTATTCAAACTATTTTGTTGCAGACAATTTCATGAAACATAGAAAAATCCCCTTTTTGACAAAAAAGGTAAGGGGTTATGAATGCCCATCATTTTTGTCAAAAAATGACAAATTTTCAAAAAGGCCTTTTACATATCTTTTCATCTTTAGAAGGTGTCTATGACCCCTGTTCACTAAAAACATATTATTGCAGATAATTTTATGAAACGTGGAAAATGCACCTTTTTGACAAAAATGGCAAGAGGTTAACCCATCATTTTTGTCCAAATACGACAAATTGTCAAAAGGGCCTTTTTTCATATCTTTTCATCTTTAAAAAGTGTCTATGACCTCTGTTCATTCAAAACATGTTATTGTAGATAATTTCATGAAACGTGGAAAATGACAAAGATGGCAAGGGGTTACAAATTATCAACAAATTTTTTTTTATATATCTTTTCATCTTTAAAAAGTGTCTACGACCACTGTTCACTAAAAACTCGTTATTGCAGATAATTTCATGAAACATGGAAAATGCACCTTCTTGACAATGGCCCATCATTTTCAAAAAGGCCTATTTTCTGATCTTTTCATCTCTAGAAGGTGTCTATGACCCCTGTTTATCCAAACTATGTTATTGCAGAAAATTTCATGAAACATAGAAAATGCCCCTTAAATTTTTGACAAAAATGTCAAGGAGGTTAACCCATCATTTTTGTCCAAATACGACAAATTTTCAAAAAGGCCTTTTTTTCATATCTTTTCATCTTTAGAAAGTGTCTACGACCCCTGTTCATTCAAAACATGTAATTGGAGATAATTTCATGAAACCTAGAAAATGCGCCTTTTAGACAAAAAATGCAAGGATTAGCCAATCATTTTTGCCCAAGAATGACAAATTTTCAAATAAGCCTTTTTTCATATCTTTTCATATTTAAAAGGTGTCTATGACCCCTGTTCATTCAAAACATGTAATTGCAGATAATTTCATGAAACCTAGAAAATGTGCCTTTTTGACAAAAATGGGAAGGGGTTTTTGGCCAAAAATGACAAATTTTATAAAAGCCCTTTTTTCATATCTTTTCATCTTTAGAAAGTGTCTACGACCACTTTACACTCAAAACTTGTTATTGCAGATAATTTCATGAAACCTAGAAAAAGCGCCTTTTAGACAAAAATGGCAAGGGGTTTTTGGCCAGAAAAGACACATTTTCAAATAAGCCCTTTTTCATATCTTTTCATCTTTAAAAGGTGTCTATGACCCCTGTTTATTCAAAACATATAATTGCAGAAAATTTCATGAAACATGGAAAATGCCCCTTTTTGACAAAAATAGCTTTCCCATAATTTTTGTCCAAAAATGACAAAAAAGGCCCTAGACTATTTCATATCTTTTCATCTTTAACAAGTGTCTACGACCACTGTTCACTAAAAACTTGACATTGCAGATAATTTCATGAAACCTAGAAATTGCGCCTTTTCAACAAATATGTCAAGGGGATAACCGATCACTATATTTGGCCATCTTTAAAAAGACCCCTGTTCATTATTCAAGCTATGTAATTGCAGAATATTTCATGAAATGTGGAAAACAAATAATGTACAGCATATACAAATTTGTACATATTAATTGCCATGAAATCATGACTTGTTTAATAAAAAGATATTTCAATAAATATAATCTTGTTCGTTGTTTTAGAATCTATTAATATGTATGTACATTTATGCAACAATTCAAAAGGAAAAGAAAATCTTGTATCACAAATTTTGTATTTTAAATGTTTTAAATTTAAAAAATATTACTACCATGTTTCTTGTACAGCATAAGTGTCTGAAATTTCTTTGCTCTTTACTAAAAAATAAGATTTATCTGAATTAATTAAAAAATAATGTAATCTTGAACAATACAGTAAAGGCGAGGCTAGCTAACATTTTGCTACATACATACATAAATTACACGTCAGCAGACATAATTACCCCCTCCCCCCCTTGTCAAAGGTAACAAACCATGCCCAAAACAGTCTACATTACAAAAAGATCCTTAATCTTTACTCCAAATCAACTCAAATAATAGAAATCTGTATTGTTCTATGAAAAGAAAACCAAGAAGAGACCTACACGATGCAGTTATTTATGAGTACCGGTATCAAAATATGAGAAAATGGATTTTTGGAAAGGCAGAACTACTTGAAGTACATGCTACATGAGCTCTGGGTTACTAATATAAGTCTTAAAGGTAAAAACCAGTTTTGAAAACGCCCCCCTCTCAAAAAATGAAAAGGAAGCTCTTATTACCAATCATGTGATAGAATATGTTTTGACTAATACATGATGATACAAAGTTTGCTGGGAAACCGCCTATTGATATATTTGGTAAATTATTATATCTATCCGGTCTGGATAGATATCACATAGTCCCATATACATCTTTCTGTGTACAGTGCTTGTAACTTGACCAAGAATGGGTCAAAGTTCTTATCATTTTGATGATTCCAGAACCTTGCAGTACACACCAATACTTAAATGCTAGATGATCAACCTTTTCTGATCGATTCCACAACGTTTCTTTCACAATGCAATCGCATGACCAGAACTGGTCTATACATGTACCTATAAGCTACATTGTAAGATCGTGATTTTCATCTCAGTAATATTATTTATTTTCACTTAGCAAAATATCAAGTCTTGATTGACATCTTCAATGGAATGTGAAATGCTATGGAGAAACAATTAAACAAACAAATTTCCAACTGCACAACACATGTCCTTGTATGTTTCAGGGTGTTTTGAATACCATATGCAAATAATTGGTATATGTAGTAACGTAGAGCGAAAATTGGCAAAGATTGCCTCATCAGATACATACACACACATTTCCATAATTTTGTTTCTTTGCAATTTAAATCAATGCTACATACAACAGGTATATATGAACATACAGCATGCTGTATTTCATAATGTAGGCCGCCCTTGGAAACATTGTTGCCTTGGAAATATTGTTGTGCAAATGTGTCTGTGGTACAGTGCGAGTCACAGATGGAGCAGAACTTCTCGGCTAAATGTTTGTCAGCGTAACGATCCTAACCTGTTGACCACCGAATCGGTCATTCCCCAGGACTTGATACAGAAACCAACCATATTCCATCAGCAATGGGTCAAATGAATCGTGTCATAAATTGTTAAGATGACTTTCAGATTTGAGTCTCTCCATACAGCTACAGTGTATGCTACTGTCCGAACAAAATGATTGTACTAACACATGATTGGTCAGCTAGTCTGCATGAAGGCTCTTCATATTCTGCGATGTACTAATACGTCTCCTCTCCTGAGTAGAAGTAGCCTGGAAGAAAGAGAACGAAGAACATTACAATAAAAACCTTTCCAATAATCTTCTTTCATCACTAATATGGAAATCGAACAATAACAAAAACAACAAACCAATATAAAATTGTACAAGAGACATATCTATATATGACAGTATTGTGAAGCGATTGGAGCATGCACATAAAATATTTCCTCTACAACCAAAATGACTTAAAATGTAAAACGAGTTGAAATGGATAAGGTATACTGCTCTATTTTGAAGAAAAAAAAGGGAAGCAAATTTCAGCCCTTTGCTCATAAAAACAAGCATATACAAACAAGCAAACAGACGGAACAAAAGTAATATGTGCATTCTTAAAACAGGGTTTGTGTACCACTAACAACCATAATTTCAGCTATTTTGCCACCAAGTTTTGGCACATCAGTAATTTTTAATGTCTAACAGGGCAGTATCATAATATACACAGATGTCACAAAGGAAAAAGAAGCCAGCCAACCTCAGGGCCTAACACAAAGTCAATCTACAGAAGTACATGTACAAGCAAACATTGCCATTACATAATGCCTCGTTGACACTTGCCCGCATTTTGGTCCCGCACTGCCCCGCTTTGTAGCGTGCCAATGCGTGCCAATTAGTGGCACGCAGCGGCACACATGGTCACGTCTACTTTACGAATAGTTCACGCAATGCGTAACCACCAGGACACGTATTCGTAGACTATGCGCATGGCATGCGCTAATTTTGCGCAAATTAGTTGTTAACTAGTCGTGAACATGCGTGCCACTAGGCCATCGGACACGCATCAGCGCGCACTGGCACGACTAGGCAACGCATAGGGTGCGCATAGTTCACGAGGTGTTCATGAACATTGCCAAACAAAATTTGTTGTGCCAAAACTTTGAACATTTTGAAAATGTATTTCACGCACGGCCTGCATCCGCCCGCATCCTCCCGCAAGCTACCACAAATACTTCCCGCATTGACACGCAAGAGTATGTGTCTATGCGTAAACTATGCGCAAACCAAAATGCGGGCAAGTGTCACCGGGGCATAAGACATCAAAAGCTCAGAACTGGTCACTCAGTATAGAGTATCGAAGTGCGAACGTCATATTCACTCGTTGTTCAGGTTACTGGTTCCAAACAACGGATCCCTCTCATGAGGTTCACAGCGACATCATTCAAGCAACGGGCTGGAGCAGGCAATGTTTGGAGCTGGTGTTATCACCACGCCATTGTTTAGTCCAAAATTGTTTGGAACCAGCAACCTTGACAACTTGGCTAATATGATGTCATACTTCGATACTCCATAGATCGTTTGTTGTTAAAATGACAGGCTAAGTATGTGATATAAATAACTACAACGCAATTTTCATCTGAGCACATGCTGTATATGTGTAACTCCTCTTTTCACTCCCTGGAAGTGAAAATCATCTATCCTTCTCTGTGGCACTTTTTCAACTTTGATACATATTTACCAAATTGGGAATATGTTAGGTGAGTATAGGGTGGGCAATATAACATAGCATGTGTGACTAACTGTATAGGCATTGGTTATGGTCAGCAGTTGATTACACACCAAATACAAACCAGGGAATAGTGCATGTGAGTCAAGGGTAGGGAGCGACTATTGTATTCACTATACTAGGTGTACAGTGCATCAATTAGCAGCAGTTCAATTTTTATGACCCTGGAAATATTGTTAGGTATTTGTTAGGAAAGAGTAGAGCTATTCCATCTTTTCACCATGACATATATATTTGACTTACACAGCCTACTATGCATGGATTATGATCAGCAGTTGTATAAATATTCACCAACCTGGGACATGTCACGTGGGAAGTATCTCCTCTCTATTACCTATAAAAACAATTAAAAATACAACAACAACGATTAAATTGGTTTAACCAGTCTCATGTGATTGGTGAGGTTAGTTATAAAAAAAAATTCAGTTTACACAAGCAAATTTATTACCGGTAACCTAAAATGTAGTATTTAAATTTATTTACTGAAATCACAAGAGGTTTTGTTGGGCGACTAGCTGAAGAATACCCATAAATGTATGTAGAAAATAATTTGAATTGCCCGATGCGATTTAAAGTACAGTGTATATGCATTATGAGGGGGTAAAAAAGGAAATTGAGGGAAATGTCTACCCATCTGATAAATCAACCCTCAAATCTTGTAGAAAGTTATTAATGAGTGATGAAACACCACACACCAGAAATGTAATATCAATTACAAAACACAATGAATAATCCATGTATATTTTTTTATTTTTTTATTATTTGTAATAAATGCATTAGGAATCACTGCACGCATACTGTATGTCAGAAGTCATGTTTTACCACTGCACAAAAGGTTGCATGTGTGAGTTTGTGATTTTGGCATGTATGATGGCATCCATAGGGTGGTCATCCTCTACAAACAATCAAATATCAATTAGAAAAAATCAACAAAATGCATGGAAACAGCCCGCCGAGGAATGCTGCCTCAATAAAAGTAGAAAATGATATCACAGTGGGAATATATGACAAGATCAGAATGTGTGAGACAAGGAGTGAAATCGGTGAGTTAAAAGGGATGATCAAAATGAATTATGATGAAGTTAATCGATTAAAATTTTTAAAAAAATGAACATATCAATGATTGCTAAAGCAGGATAAAAAAGGAAAATGAATGAAATATAAAAACCTGAATTTACCTGATATGGGTACTACAATAAGGATCGTGATGAAAACCAAAGAAATTCTAGATTTCCTTTATATTCATAACAAATCATATCTATGAAAAACAACAATTTTCAAGCATGTAACACATGAACATCTTCATCAAAACACAAGAACATCTTCATCAAAACATACGACTAGCTACCAAACAGTTGTAAATACTGTAACAAGCCATGTATATATTCATAACTAATATATTAACATATTCAAATGCTACATTCTCAGCCTTGGTCTAGTTCAAGTACATGCTTTCAAACAATTCATGTATTCATTTGGAATGCCTTTCAAACAAACTGATTAGCTCAACTATAATACAAACATAATCTTACTAATATATATCGTCATAAAACAAAAGTATTTTACAATATTCCAATCCTACATTAAATGCTACCATGCCTCGTTCATGTTTTTTTTCCTTCTAAGTCCACTTCATCAACTTCCAATACATGCTTTTACAAGGAGTAATTTTTTATTTTTAGAAAATGAATTACGGTACTCAAAAGGGATTAATTTCTAAACAAGTCAACAGGGGTAATATAAAAAACACACAAAGATGGTGAACGGTAACTGCTATGAAAACAAACAAATTGAATATTTAAACTTTGACCTTGCTACACACCTTTCTGGGACCGTCCTTGGCACTATGGCCGCAACGAAGAGATATTACCTTTAGGACAATAGAGGGAGTTCATGTTAGTATTACCAGAAAATGATAAAATACATGACAAGTACTGAGTCAGTTGGAGAAAAGTAACAACAAATTGTACTCACGAGATGTAAAGAAAGGAGAGAAGGTGTGACTAATCAAATATAAAAGAATCTGGAAATCATAAGAGGACATATCACCACCGAAGAAATTATTAAATGACATGAACCCCCCCCCCCCCTCCATGGGACATTCATACATCTATTACAGGTAGTAAACAATCATTTCAAAGCCAAGACGGTAATAAATTCATTAACTCAGAATTAATTTCGAAGTGTGCAAGTGTGCATCTATGAGTATGAAGACTAGACAACATGTACTTAAAAATCACTTTCACTTTTGATTTTATTGAAATTTGCAATTGAAATGTTTTGGGTGATAGGCCCTTATCAAACTTGTTAAGTTAGAGGGTCAAGTGCTCTTGAACATCTTTTTACTTTCCAGCTATGTGATAGCCATCAAATTATTATTTTAATGTGAATAGAGTCAGAGGGTTAGAGCTGATATGCATGCAATGTATAATGTACTGAAGATGAGCTTTAAATGTTTTGAAAAACTTAATGTTTTAGATGAGTAGATTGTCAAAATAATTATTCCTGAATTTAGCATGCAATGTTTGACATTAGAAGTGAGAAATATATGAATACAAATCTAACAAAAGCTGGAAAGGGGTCATCATTGAAAGACAAGAGAGAAAAAAGAAAATATATACATGGTATGTGTTTGTGAGATAGACAGATGGACAGCAACACACATGAAAGAGAGAGAGAGAGAGAGAGAGAGAGAGAGAGAGAGAGAGAAAGAGATAGAAAGAGAAAGAGACAGATAGAAAGGCAATAGAGGATGCAAAATTGCAAATACATGTAAGAGAAAGAATTAGAGTAACAGTACAAGAAAAGGGGGTAATGTGCTGTGCTGGAAGAAAGTTTTTAAAAAATAAACCATTTATTTACTTTTGTTGAGGATCGCATTCATTTACAGAACACTATATCGTTGACACCCCTCCTTTACCTTATCAAAGAAACGACTAAATTTGACAGCATTTGTTGTCCCTGGTGCTAAGTGCTTGGCATCTGTACAGTTCTAAAATGTATGAAAAATTGAAAGAAAGGGATATAATTACATAACTTTTTAAGGAATGCCCTCTTTAAGACACAGATATGGCGCGGTAAATCGCTGCAAATAAGCTACTTTGCTTTTAAAAAGCATGAAATTAATGGCAACTGGGCAAAACAGAGGAAAATTGACTGAGCTCTGTTTAATAAGATTCTGAAATGTGAAGCGTAATATACATTACGTCATTTAAAAAACCAACAAAAACCTGTGGTTTTGCTTCATTATATCTCTGAACGAGCCTTCAATGTAAAGATAACTATACAAGACACCGCTTTCAATATTTTCAAAATTCATGAATCTCTTTTCAACCTTTATTGATTTGCATGTAAAAAGAAACTAGAAATCAGACTAATTTATTTCTCTCGCAATTCAATACGTAAATATGGATATAATAATTAACAGTAAATACTGAACCTTTGAAATTCACATTTCTTTTCCTGGTAGATATGCCTTCATTATCAGTTGAAGAAAGATATATTTTCTCTAGATGAATATTACTAGAATATCATCAGAAAACCCAAACAAACAAGCAAATTGCTACTTACTAAATTGATTTCATCAGCTCCACATTCTTCTGCTATTGAAGATGATTGTAATTTGTTTTGTCTTTGTGTATCTAACTGATCTTTCTTCACTCCTACGACCAGTATGGGTGTATGGTGGCCTGCAAACTGTTCAGGATCATACTCACTCCTATTAAGCATTCAGTGAAGAAATGAGAAAAGAAAGAGAAAAGTGGAATTTGGTCTCAAATCTGATGAATCTTTTGTACACTTATTTTTGTATACTTATTTTTGTATAGATCTAGGAAACCTATTCAGAGGCACTTTATGAATATTACCCAGCTGATACGAGCTGATAAGAGGCATTAAATGTTTTACCAGAATTTTTCTACCAGGTCTCCATCGCTACAACTGGCTCAAGACAGACTAAAGGTAAAATATCTTCTCTTGGAGCATAATTACCAGACTCGGGTTTCAACCCTGTATCATAGATTTCTCTTCTTTGAAATTAAGCTAACCTGCCTTCAGAGCTGAACCATTTACACTTTCGCTCATATAGTTGGAATATTTTTGTTTTACCCAAATTAATGGAATTATTTAAAAAATAATTTAAAAATAATAGATCTAGATAATAGTATACATTCTCAGATTTTATTGAATAATAATTTGACAAATTATGGCTCAAGGCATGGGCACACAGAGGATTTTTTTATGTTTGGAACCGGGGTAAAATGCAATAAATTATTGAAAAATTATTGCATTTTCTGTTTTTTTAAATAATTTATGGAAACAGCCCCCTAACCTAGCCCCCGCTGCGTACAGTCATGGTTCAGTGACAAAGCAATGCCCTCGTAACTGTGAGGCCCCAGGATCAAAACCATGTCGATATGCTATATTAGTGCCCTTTTGTGGGGCATTAATCCTCATTACTGTCATTTATGACTTAAGGGTGTAGGTCCCCTATTTGATAAGCATAGAAGCATACACATGCTTTAGCAGTTTCGCAAAACACACATTTGCAAATTATTATTCAATAACATCTGAGAATGTATACTTTTATCTAGATCTATTATTTTTAAATTATTTTAAAAATAATTCCATAAATTGGGGTAAAACAAAAATATTCCACCTATATGAGTGACAGTGTATCTTAACACTTTCCTCTCACCTACCGAATATTATCACTTATTCAGGATTACATGTATCTCACATGCTTTGAAGAGCATATTTTCCCCACAATCGCAGAGGTGTTGTGGTCTACTGAATAAGTCACCAGACTGTGAACCACAGGGTACAGAGTCCAAATCCCTGCCACAGCACTGATGTCTTTTGGCAAGAAATTGAATTTGTCACACTTGACCAATGTGAGGTAAAAAGGTACCTGGCAGCAGTTAATTTGTTGAAATGCTAGAATGACATAATGGCAGCCATGCTAAAGCCAGGGTAATAATTGATAAAGTGTCAGCAGTGTCAAGTTTGACAAACAAGAACACACTATTCTGATTATTACTATTACAATCTGAACTATGTTATCATTAAAATTATACAAAAAATTCTTCCAGTTTGAAAGCTAAAGAAGTGAAAACCTGTGTAACTTACACACTTGTCCTATGTCTCTCAGACCCATTATTCTGTTCTCTCTGTAGGATCTCACTCAGCCACTTGCCAAGGTTTGCATGTGATTTCCGATTGGTTAGATCATGGACCAGAATGATACCTGTAACAAAACAGAAAATTTAACATCTCAGAAAAGATCTTTTCTAAAAGTAGTGCTTTTAATATACAGGTGTACGTGTAAAGTTGTTTCATGAATCTTTCTAATGTGTATGCCACATTTTTACATACTTGTAGAATGCTCCAAACAGATTACTGTAAAGTGGCTATTGCAATTAACTGGGCTAGCCAGACAACCTGCTTTACTTGAAGTAATTTCCAAATATCTAGAACGTATACATTTGTTGTACTGTAGTACTACACACGAGAAGAAGCAGGGCATAACATTACTTTTACCAAAATTTGATGCCCCAGTGAAAGAAAAAAGATCTCATAAATTCTGACTTTATCACTTTGTATAATTGGTTGTACTGAGCTATGGAGCATGTGAGGTTTGTATAGGGTTTATAAGCTCACCATTTAGTGCTGTGTAGAATATATGCCTGCTGTTAGCATGGTTAACAGACCCACCGATATCCCAGAATTCTACAAAGCATGTCTTCTGAGCGGGCGTTCCTTCCTTGTATTCATGGATCTGTGAATGAGAAACGTTAACCAATCACAACATTCCTTGCATTTATCAATCGGTCAAAACTAGATTATTAACAAATCAGAAGCGCTGTTGTAATCATCAGTCAAAACTAAAATATTAACCAATCAGAAAAGTTCTTGAAATCATGTGTCAAGTATAAAAAGAATGATAGATATCAACTACTGGTAATTACAAAAGGTAAGAATAGAAATCAGTCCCAGAGAACAATTGGGACAATCATATGCAACATGAAGAGCATTTATACTGCCAAAATGAGCTACATGTACAGAGATTGACATGTGTGCTTGTCATTATTACAATGATTCATGGATATAATCCCAAATTATGGATCTTATAGAGTTTCCTCATAACAGTTACATTTCCTCAACATTCAAGATTATCTGGTAATTTCATGAACAGAACCTAAAACAGTTGCTCAAAGTATCAAACTTGTTTTTCAAATAAGTTTGCACCAACATTATAAATGGTATTCTGGAACGTTTCACATACCTTTACATCTAGGGATGCACCTATAGTATATGAGGTATTCAGAATGGGTTGGCCATGACATATCAGATGAACTAGAGATGATTTGCCTACACCTGCAAAAAAGAAGAAGAAAGATTCAACATGAAATATGACTGATTGATATCGCTCACTAGTCTATAAATTTCTGACAACATACCTCTACAATTCTTCTTAATACACTAAGGGACAGTGCCTTGTATCCTCTTGAAAAGGCCATATATAAATACAATTATTATTATTGATACTATTATAACTCGGAGAGCAGTGTAAAAAAAGAATACAAATCTGAAATCTATAGGCCTAGGTTGGTCATCTTTGGTTTTATTTTTACTTTTTAATGGAGAGATCAAAATGGAATTGTGTGTAGGTGGTAGAAATATATAAAAATTGATGGCCCCTCTCACCCAATTATTTTTGCAACTGCCATAATCATGACATAAGTTCGCTAGTCACCAACAAGGTACTAGTGCTCGTACCCGAAAGTACAGATGAACTTCTAAGTGTTTTAGTACATGAAATCCCATTCTTCTATCTCCCTATCAAAAATGTTATTGACAAGATATTTGGTGCATGCGGTGATAATGTATACTCCGAATCTCTGATCCAAATTACAAATTGATGACATGGGCATGCCTTGTTCACTTGACTCGTTCCTAACACAGTATGAAGTGTTTCTTGCTGGATTTAGTCAGTGTTCTTATAAGTTTCATTAATTCATTTCTTCCATTAGCTTTGAAATCAAAATATTTTGGCAGTTTGTTGTGATAATCAGAGTCCAAGTTTGGGGCACTTGTACAGAAATCAGAAACGTATCCCAAATTTGACCTGTAACTCCGGCGTGGAGATACCCTACTAAAACATACCCAAAATGAAGTAAATATTCACTAAATGTCCAAATAAAGGTCATGAGTTAAAAGTCGTTAAGATTATTACGTTTTGTGTCAATTTTCTTGTTATTTTTGGAATATTTTTCGGATATTAAACATTGATATCAGTATACACTTTTTCACAGGTTTCACGGCAAACCGCTGCACAATACAAGTACATACCGATGGTGGGTTCCATGCCAGTGTGAAGTTATCAACCGTAACGTCTCAGATCCTCATTAGATCTAGGTCTACTTTAGTTTTTATTGAAGTTTTGTTTCATAATAAAAATAATATTTTTAAAATGGGGCAATCATTCGACAGATTCTTAAATCTATGAAAATTGAAGAAAAATTGGGATATTTATTTATCATCGACTTATGAGGTTATTTGACACATGCGCCGTCGACTTGTGAGAGGTCGATTGTAATTTGAATAAAACGTTTCCATGGCATTATTTCATTCACATGACTAATTTGGGTACAGATTCAAAATTTTCACCACACACATCCAACTCAACACACGGGACTGTTCACAAGATTGAAGAGACGCGTAACCACCACAAACATGCCTAAATTTACCTTTAATTCTATCATAACTTACCAGAGTCCCCCACAACAAGGATTTTAACCTTTTCGATGTCAATTGACGACATCGTGACTGTAATAACTTGACGTTTCAAGAAATGTTTTGCAAACACATGCGACGAGTAAAGACGACGGATTCGTGTTCTAGTGCAATAGTTCGATGAACTGTAGAAAAGGCCAGTACGTACCGTACGTATGACAAGCCAGTGCCATCGGTGAGAGGTTTTCAAGTGGGTGGGAGGGGAAGGGGGGGGGGGGGGGGGATGGAGGGGGTGGGGGAGGGGGGGATGGGGTGCTAGTATTAAAAAAAGGAAAAGGAAGAAGGAAAAGGAAGAAGGAAAAGGAAGAAAAAAAAACTAGAGATTTATAAATGGTCGAATTTACAAATAGTAAAAGAAAAAAAAAGAAAAAGAAAGAAAACAAAAGTGAAAGTTGTAAATATTCTCAACTAGAATGAATCGTTAACACACACAAATCAAGCCAACCCGCCCATTATTTGAAGTATCTTTTTTCAGTTGCTCCCCCTTCCCCTGCTGCCATCTTATCACTAATGTTGACTAGTTCAAAATTGACACATGACAACTCTGATCGTCTGAACATTCCAGCTCGAGGGGGGGGGGGGGTATACATTTCATACCAGTGATATCACAGAATTTTGTGTCCGTTATATTTTGCTTTATTTTGAAATTTGTCAGGTTTTTAATCAGGATGTTTTCTCTTAGACATTAGACTCTTCCTATTTGCATTCGAAAAATCGAACATGCCCTATTAATTTTCTTATGCTTCTTAATAATAATAATTATTTTTAAAAATCCATTATAACAGGTCGTATGACACATGCTTAGCTCAATCACTGATTAATCCATGGTTAATTTACTACCCAACCCCAACATAAAATCCAATGGAAGATCCAACCTTATATGATGCTATGTCTGATGGTAAAGTCTGGAGGAATTGTTGCAAGAGCAAGTAATGTTGGATCACAAAACACAAGAAGAAAAGTGAACAACAAAAATGAGTATGTTGTACATATCTGGCCCTCCTATGGCCAAGACATTTATTATTTTGAACAACAGAGAGTTGACTATAAAGATTAAATGTTTTTCACAATGGTAGACATGTAAAAATCAAGTAGAATTCATGTATAATTTGTACAGCTCTCTCACTTTTTATGTATTCTTCCACTGTACATACACTTCTATATCTTTGTGGAATTCAATTTCATACAGACAATAGTCGTTTGCTTAACAACATTTGAATATCACAGTGTGAACAAAGTAGATTACACTATTGCTATCATTTTCTTCCCACATGAATATTACAATGATTTGGTTATATACTGCAAAAAATGAAGACAATAAAGATGTATATATAAAATATAAAAGAGACATGTATTCCACCTAGAACTGATAGAATCACTCACATGTTGACTTTATACATGTAATATTGTTCTCAAATCTGCAAGGCATAGTCCTTTCGCTTGAAGGGATCCTAATTTCTCATCTGGTCAGAATTCAGAACCAATCAAACATTGCAAAGCATCCACACCCTGGGCCCCATAATAAATAGGAAACACAGGGATAACAAGGAACAAAATTGGAATAGTATTTTTCACATTATTCATTTACAGACCCTATTCATATATTTCATTCAATATGAATAAAAATATTGAAAAAAAATTGAAAACAAAAACAAAAACAGAACATCATCTGCATCATTTCTGTGGGGAAAAATATCAAAGATACTTTTTAAATTTTGTTCCAATCTAACCTCTGTACCCTGTTTTATGTTTCATGGTACATTATTTGAATGCCAGAGAAATGCTAATTTGAGCACGAGATCTGTAACATCAGAAGCATGTAAGTACAAAATAACCAATACAGTGCAAACAATACAGCAAGGTGGTTGGAAATGCCAGATTTAAGTAAACATTGACAATAGACTATCCTTTTCTCTTATATTTACCATAGATAATTATATTTTGTTGACGGGTTAATTACAGGAACACTGATTCTGGTTTTATACTTGCAATATGACATCCAGTAGCAGCAACAAAGATATGCAACACAGTTTTATAGAATTTTATATCCTTTGCAAATGAACTAAAGAGTAAGTCATCTTTAAAATCGCAGACTTGGGTTTCTTCAAAACCTAAGCTACAGACAAACTTGGCATCATGATTGTCAGTTATCATGAAAAGAAAAAGCAGGCATCATGCTTAGAGTTATAGTGCTTCCTGACCTCTTGCATATACAGAACTTGGACATTTTCAACTCTTTCAACGTGGCATTCAAAATCCCATTGTAAGCGGATACATGTACATGTACTTGATTCTGACACAAAATATCTATCCGATACTGCAATTTTTAAGAGCTAAACATGAATCAAATACACAACTACACTTTCCTAAAAGAAAAATGTATCCATTAATAACCAATGTCAATAAGATTTCTTTTGCTCAATATGAATGTATTTTACTTGTACCCACAGGAATGGGCATGATGTTATCAAATACAAGAATACGAGACCTAGGCTTTGATGTAATTGCATAATATGCCCTGAGAAAGTTATGTACATGTTTTTTGCTGTTTTATATGTACAGAAACAAAAGTCACATGAATATATCAGAGATATGCTAAAATCATCTGTCAGAATATTCTAAAATTGCTTGTCAGAATATTCATAACCACTCATAAAATCCTTCTTCCACACTTAACAATCATCAAACTTTCATGATTTACTTCTGCATGTAAGTACAGTGTACATGGATTTATAACAGCTAGGCTGTCGATTGGGGGGGGGGGAAGGAATAAACTGTTATGGATTGATTACATATCTTATTGAAAGAACTTGATATAACATACACGATGGCCTCACTAAAAGTAATTATAGAATAAAAAGACAAGAATGGATTTTTTTTTATGCGCAGCTTATTCCCTGCTAACAAGTGCCCTTTTTCATTTCTAGAATGTCACTTATAAAATCAACTTAAAGTACAGGATATATTTCACCTAACATGTCATGACAAAAAGTATTACTTATTTGGGTTGAACAAGGGCTAATGTTAACAGTTTTGAGTTCAGTCAATTTCACACAGCACAACATGATGCGTATCCTACTAAACATAACCCTTCTTCTTGTATTCTTCTTGAGTTACTACACAAGATCTCAGGATGAAAGATACAAGGTGTAGAACATAAAATCATTCAGAAAAGGAAAAACTGGAAACAACTAGATCCACTGTGAAATCAAACGTACCCCAACAAATTTAACTGAAAACATTGTCATATTTTTCACAATCTGTACTTAGTCCAACAATGTCATATCACTTTGACAGGAAGATACTCTGGTAAGCAGCATAAAATCAATAACCATTGGCTTGAGTTGCAATGTAACATTAAAATGAACCTGCAGAAGAAAAGTCAGACATAAAATAAAAACAAAACGAGCCGAGGTAAATGACAGACTTGTATCTAGTCTGGAAAGAAAATTTAACATCAGCAAGCTCCAAGAGAGAATAATTATAATACAAGATTTGTGACTTGTGATTCACATTCATGAAAAAAGAAAATATATGAGAAAGTTAAAATGAGATATATAGATATACAGAACAGGAACGATACCATAAACCCAAGAAAAAGCAAAGTGAGAAATATTCTACGTTAGACTTAATTCACTACGTGTACTCCCCATAGACAAAGATATACCAATATTACCCACAAAATATAGAATGGAGTTCTATGCATTAATGAATTAATGAGCTCTTAGAATATATGTATCATAATAATTAAGGGATCTCATACATGTACATGTACAGAAATCTTGATTGTCCTAATAGGTAAAAGTAAAACTCTTTTTTTTTCTTATGAGTTGAAATTCAGAGTCACATAACATTTGTAAAATCTTTTTACATTTTTAAAATTATATTTTCAAAGCCTAAGTGTAATATGGCTTTATGGCATTTCAATCTCAGAAAATAAACTCTCCTCGGGTACATTGATCTCCTTTCATTCCACTTGCTTTCCACAAAAAGAGCTTGATGATAAATACTTATAAAACACAAACGTTGAAGTAATATTTCATAAAGGTACTACAATATATTGAATGCTTGCGTGCAAATATTTTACAAAGGGGGCATCAAAACATATGCTATGTCTTTTCTACTTTAAGGGGCCGCTGATTTGATTTTCTGTATTACAACTATTGCTCATTTGTCTACATAATGAATGACCAGAAGGGCTGAAAATGTTAAAATTTTCTGTTCTACTTCCCTTCTATACTTTAACACCTCTCATCACAAACAGGCCAAAGAATTCACAAAACAGTGATTTGCGGAGTAGAAATATAGTGGATGAGGGGTGTCAGTTGCAGTAAAGATAAATGAGCCATTCTAGTTCTAGTTCTAGAGATACGTGAAAGGGCTACAGTATCATTCTGAGGTAAGAAAGTCACAGATAAAAGATTTTGAACTCATATATTGACAATTCAGCTGCAGTACATGTATTTACATCAACATATCCAACTTCACAAATACCCTTTCTTATACCAAATACAAGAATAATATAAGAACAATTTATAAAAGGCTACTTTTCACTGATTCATCTGAGAAGCAGCGCATCAACATACTCAAAAGACACTTTATTGTTTTTATAATCAAACGGAGGAAGCAAAAATGAGGGTTTTTATAAAATAAAAAATGCATTTTTGTTGGCAATAAAGTACTCAAGTGTTGATGTCAAGTTGGCACATGATAAAATGTGTGTTAAATACAAATTATTATCACTTGCACATTATTCAAAGCATTTGACAGTATTTTGTCTTCTATCGACTGCCCAGATATAGTGTACTGAAAACTGGACAGCTTCTTTATACTTTGGTTTCAATTATTCCACATTATCCGATCAAATATTGAAACAAATAGTAGGCAGAACCCTATTCCCTCGTTAGTGGAGGCAAAACAAATGTTAACAGTCTGCTGAAGTTTCTTGCAGTGAAAATAGAAAATGTTAAGGATTCATCAAAGTTCCTAGCTTTACAGTAATTAAACTATTTTCACATCATATTAAAAAAAATTGTTTTATTTAACTTGGAACATAAATCTGCTGCCATTGGCATTACCCACACTATGTGTATGGAAGTTTGTACTTTCATATGCAAAGATGCATGCATTCCCATTCTAAATAAAACAACACATTCAATTTTTTGAAGTACATACAACCATAAAAACAGAGTACAGGTACATATATCAGAAGAAGGACATCTTTGAAAACATATGCATTGCATTAAATAAATGGAAGAAGCTCTCCTATGAAACAAGCCGTTCATAAAACAGAATGTAAGCTTGGGCACCCAAAACCTTATTCTCGCTCACTTCCGTGACATGCGTATCGCTGATATGGTACCACTTGCCAGAGGGGATGCTCACGTTGCGCCCGGCATGAAACGGCAGAACCGCACTCTGTATATGGTTGCGTTCAGAAACCAAATGATTGACAGAGTTGCTTGTTTTATTCTGCGATTCTGACTTCTTCTCCGTGTTCTCGCCCGCTGGACCGTCACCGCCTTCTTCGTTCTTCCTCCCAGACGATCGCAGCTTTTCCTTTGTGAGCCGTTCCTCGTTGTTCTTCTCCGTCTTTTGTCGCTCACACGTCTCATTGAGAAGGTTTAACGTTCTAGGAATTCCCAGAGTGTAGAGTGTTAGTGTCTCATTGGGTTGCCTCACCTTCACAAAGGCTGTGTAATGACCAAACTGTAATCTACCGCTATGCTCCACTACACCATACAGGCCGTACAGTACCCTGTTCTCACTATTTGCGTATCTCTGTAAAAGGCAATGGAAATGAGGAGGACAAAATTAAAATGCATACAGTCATTTGTTATTCACCCTACTACCAAATGTCTTTCAATAAACATCTTATCAAAATATCCATATCATTATAAACTAGAGATCTTAGTCCTGTTTCATAAAATTTGCAATCAATAACAATTCTGCTTATAACCAATCAAATATAAAGATTTCAGTAGCTTATAACAATTATTGTATCTTGTTATTGACAACGGTGGTTGTCTGTGAGTCTGTGAATTGATGGGGGGGGGGGGGGAATAAAAATGCATACACTAATTTGTTGTGGTCAATCTAAATTCGCATTTTTGGTTGATTCTTCACAACTGTTTAAATCTGAATTCAACATCAATGATAAATATTAACATTTTAAACCATTTAAAACTCTGTTGTTCTTGAGCCACATGATGTACAGCAACACAATTTCTGCTCTTTCTGCTCCCCTGGTAGGAGCGATTCACAATATTCTTGATCAAATGAGAACTTTATTCTGGTAATAATGTCCTAAAATGAGACACCGTGCAGGGGGATAGTTTAACGAGGCCTAATACTAACGATCCCACAAATCAGCTTTTTCAGTAAATGCCCCCATCCTTTGGAATAAATTACCAGCGCATATTTATAATACTCTTTTCCCTTGACCAGTTTAAGTCCTTGCTGAAAACGCACCTAATTCATGAATGATATTCTACACGGTTGCAGTTGTGAGTCGGTCAAAGGAGGTGTACACCATCTTATTCCTTGTTTGTTTGATCTTATGTTTGATCTTATTTTAATTTTTATTATTATATATGCATGATTTATTGATTAAAGAACAAATTTAGAATTTGTGTGTTTATTATAGTTGGTAATTTTTAATCAGACAATAGTGCGCTTAGAAACATAAGTATTAAGCGCCTAATAAATGTTGTGTATTACTATTATTATTAAAGGGATCCGGTAACATTGTATCAGATTCTTAAACAAAATTCTGGATTTACCTCATGATGCAATGAACATTATAAACCTTTAGGTCAGTCAGGAACCCCATGACTTTTACAAGCCGATTGCCTGTCTGATTATCAAGATATTTATGATTGGAATTACAAATTTTGAAAACCGTTCGCCTGACGGTTTTCATAACACTACAGTCTATGAGGGAAAACGAGTATGGTAAAACCGGTCACTCAAAGATTTTTACTTTTTTGAGGCACTTCTTGATCATTTTGAAGCGCAATTTTTTTAGGGCTTCAATATTACACCATATCACAGACACTGATAACATGTAGGGCCGTGTATCTCAGATTTAACATAAATGATCCCTTTAATATTGAATGTACCTTGCATGCCGTGCTGCAGAATGGTGCCACGTCCAGAATTAAAGGAAACTCTATGTGTCTGGTGATCTTTCTTAGATTGTAACCAACCTGAAAAAAAGAGAAAGAAGGAAGGAGAATTAAACATGAGAACTTGGAATTACTCACTTTACCTTATAACATCCAAAATCACACTTCTGATACGTGTCTATGCAATGAATACGAGTTGACGCCCTTCTGTCTCTCAACAGACGATACACGGTACCATCACTCACAACTCCATTCTGAATCTATGTAAATTTTTTGACTTGTGTTTTCTTTTGTCATCCATTATTATTATCAATTTCATTATAAACTGCTCAATTTATACACACACATGTACTCATGAGCTTTATTTTATCTTATAATGTGTAATAATCTAATTGTAGCAGCCTCATTGTTATTCATGTATCAGGCTCTATTCTTTGACTTCGTGTACATTATTTCTACCATTGTTATCTGTTTGTATTTTGATTTGTATTTGAAATCCAACCTGGAGTTCTGGTTGCAATAAAGAAATAACAATAGTAATATATACTATTCATTTTAACCATTAAGAAATGATTTTGTTGTCAGCACAATTAAAGCTGTTACTATCAGTTCATATTTATGACATTTGCTTCATGGGTTTTTGATCTGGGCTATATTTTGTCAAAGATACATGTTTAAGGCATGGGTTGTGATTCAGATTTAGGGTAGAACTATGGATAGGGTGGGTTGAAGGTTTGGTCCAGGAATGAAAGTTTGGAATTAAAATAGCATTTTGACTACAATCATAATGGAATAATAAAAACAAATGACCAATTCACATAATTTGTCATGATATGCTGTAGACAAAATGTCTTTATATTTCTTCAATATCACTTTGATCAAATATAAAGGGTAAAAAGGATAACTATATAATTATAGATGGTGAGACAAGAAAAGAAATAAAAAAAGATTAACATGCAGAGGGAAGAAAAAGAAGAACCAATGCAGGAGGGAGGGGGTATAGAACTTAAGATTATCTCTAAATAGTTATTTGAGTTCTTACTTGTTGAAATCTTTTGAGATGCAGAGTAAGAATTGGTGGAGGCTGATGGATAAGAAGCTGCTTGCTGGCATCTGTATACTTCACTCTCTCTTTACCTTCCACTAAAACAAAAAAATGGTAAGAGGTTTTAATTACTAGTGGTGCTACACCTTGAAATATGAAATCTACAGTGGCTGATCTCTGCCAAGAATTTAAAACTTTTGATTATTGGGTTATTACGCCCTTATTGTACATGTATGGCGAAATTACGCCTTGATAGGGCATAACGCTGTATTAGAGCGTTATAACACCCTAAAAAGAAAAGAAGAAAATTGTTTGCGGAATTCAGCCACCGTAGAAATCTGACTTAGAGGATCATTTACAGCAGACAACACAAGGATAGATTTTCTACAGACATTGTTAATTACATAAACCGCAAAGCATGTAGCATTCTTTCAGAGATTGCAAGTCATCGTGGCAAGATGTGATATTACATGTGTTATATGCTACATTATGATTATATAGAGGACAGGCCGTCTTAGGGTCCATCTTTGTTTATGTGGCTAATAAGATTACACAGAATGTTTGTAGCAACATCCCAAACAGAAAAGTATTATTTATGAACAGATTGCATGGACAAATAGCTTGAAAAGGATGACGGTCCTTTTGCTACCTGTCGCCTCTGTCACCCCTCACAAAAAGGGCAAATTCAAAGAATTGCCTTCATTGAAAAGTGAAGAAAAAAAAAGGACAAAAGGAGAAAGAAGTAACAAACCTTTGTGTGCTTTTGTGCAGGTTTCGCATCCAAATTTGTTAGTCCCTGTCAGGAGTTCAGGTGCTGTGAATTGGTTGAGGCATGACAAGACAGAGCATTCTTGGTTCTTAGACTGGTACCGTGGGGCAAGGGTAGAAGCAACACGGGCTCGACTCGTCGGTGAAACAGGTGAGGTTGGAGGACTCATGGCATTCAGCTTAGCAGCAGCTTGAGTTGAGATAGGCTGGGGTTTCGTCTTCCCCTGATTACCGGGTTTGGAGCAGCTGTTTTTGTTTGTTGCAGGTACCGAGCTCTCTTCTTTCGTAGCTGCGCTGGAGGTGTTTTTACTTTTCTTTGCATCCACAGGACTGCATTCCACAGGGCTTTCACCTAATTCATGAATCTTTGCAAGGGGAGCTATCCCTGTTGGCCCGTTTAAAGTTTTCTCGTTGCCTCCATGAAGTTTTTCATTCTTAGAATCTTCAGAGTCCACACCATTTTGCAACGGACGCTCCTCCTCCTTACTCTTTGCGCTTTCTGAACTACCCTTGCGATGCTCTACAGCCTTATCATCAGAATCATCCATTGTGCCGTTCACTTTAGGTGCTTCTTTCCCATTCCCATTCAAATTCGATTCGGCCTTCTTTTTGCACTCAATTTTAACATCAGCCTTCTCTTCTTCTTTAACTGTCCTCTTGTCCTCATCCTTCAAATTCAACAAAGACAACTTGTTGCGAATGGTTTTGGTATTCATACTCTCTTTTACAACCTTCCCTTCTTCACTACCAGTTCTCTTATCATCATCAGTCGTTCCAGACACTTCATCAGTCAATGCCTTAAAAGAATTCCCTTGCGGCACTGGGCTCAGTCTACTTGAACTACTGCTACTTGTGCTAGCTCTACTGCTGAGGGACAGGCGATCCGTGCTCCCGATCTTGTCCGCTCCATTTTGCATCTCATGAGCTTCCTCGTTCTCCTTCTCGGAGGGTACTTCAGGAAGGGTGTTAGGGAGTCCTCCGATACCAACGTCACCCGCAGCGGTCTGTTCACTGCACCTTCTGCTACTCCCTGCGTTGCTGAGACGATCAAGGACAGACGCTTCACTGTCAGCATCGTTAGGATCTCGGTAGCCGACACCCTCCTCTCTCCTCTCTTCCTCCTCGTTATCTGATTGAATGGGGGAATCCTTCTTTTCTTCTACAGGGTCCTCTGATTGGGAGTTGGTTCTACTTCTCCTGGTTTTCCTCTGAGGAATAACGAAAATTCAGAAAAACCATTAGAAACAATAAACATATATGGTATGCAATAAATTTCTATCGGTCAAAACATTATGTATTGAATCCAATGACCGGGGTAATAGTATATCTGTAAAGCGTTTCTGTTCATATCAGGCCCTCATAAAAATAATATTGTATACAAATACAACTTCTTCAGTGATCCCAAATCCAAATCACTTGATACTGATATATTATAATATCTGTAGCTTTTTTAGAAGCTTCGTTGCTACTGCCTCAGCTTCAAAGGATCTCTTACCCTCGTTTCCTTCCTGGCTTTCTCCTTTTGTTTGGTGATCTGATGTTTGCTAAGAGGTTTCGTCTCCTCAGTTGCTGAGGCTGCTGCAGCTGTCGCAGCTAGAGTCTGTTTGTCGCCATCATTGGACGATTGCTGGTCATTTGTTGATGGTCTGTCAAGGCTCTTACTGCTTGACAGGTTTCTTTTGCTTCCCTATTTGAAGCGAGATTAGAAGAAGAAAACATTAAGAAACTTGTCAAATTTCCAAAGTTACAGAGAGAAATTCTCTGTCTGTATGATTCTTGATTACCAACATTGTATTGAAATGGTTCATGATAAATAGATATTTCACTGAGAGAAGTAAAATGTTTTTTTCTAAATCTACACGGATGAATACTTGAGTCTCTTAATAATAATAGGTCCATTTATATAGCGCAGCTGCTATTGAATATACTCTACTGCATTTAATACAAAGTATTATATTATTACCCAGGCTGTAGCTGAGCTGCCATAATAAGGCGCTAGAGCATTCAAGGAATTTCTTCCTACTGGATACCCCTTTACGCACAATTTGCACCATCTCCACTCCCTGGAGAGTATTCCTACCATATGGTCACCGTGAGGGCATGGCGACCATTTCTCTCCTAGGTATGGAGTGGCAAATGTAGATTAATGACTTGCCAAAGGACATTAGTGCCGTGTCGGGATTGAACCCGGGACCTTTGCATTTCAAGTAAAATGCTTAAACCACTCGACTACGACACCTCTACAAACTCTACAGCACACAGTTCTTACCTTGGCTTCTGTGATGGGCAAAGACAGGTCTAGGAAAGGTTCTAGGATTTCAGAGATCTGAAGAAAAGAAATGTTTTTGAAAAAAAGAACATTTCATATTACAAACCGATCTAAACCACATACGATCCTAAACTCTTCATCTATTATGCGTTATGTTATTTAATTCAGATTATAATGTAAAATGCATGACTTTTTTAAAGTGTGTCATGTTTGGATATTCCAAAAATCCTGTACAAATGAAATTAATAATACCAAGAAAAATAACAATAATACCAACATTATCAACAACAATCATAATTACAAAGGTAACAATAATCATCACTCACATTTAAACATTCGTTGCACTTGACCGAGCTGATGAGATGTCCTCCAAACACTGTATCAACAAAGGTATGTTTACTGTGGCTCCCATACTCTGTGGAGATAAAAAACACATACCGGTACGCAATATTAGTTGACATCAAGAAAACTCATTATTTCAATTCTTGGCACAACTTTAGAAACATCTAAATATAATATATTTGAATAAACTTTTCAATGACACCTCAGATGATTTTCATCACTACCCTAATGCTCTAGAATTGTGGGTTTTCAGAAGTTATTAGCATCAAACCTATTACAATTTTGAAAAAGAAAAGAATGCAACCTACAACTCTACCTGTTTGTTCAATGAAGGGGGAAAATTATTTGGGGGAAGGAGAAGACCAAAATAGCAGGTAATGATTCCTATTATACAGCACGCATTTTCCATTTCCAAAACTAGACTATGTATGCATGCATTTCTTTAATTCAGTCTTTGTGACCTAACAGTGATGGCTGTGGGATCACTTTGAAACATTAGTCATATTCCGAGCTGTAACCCTGAAGCGTAAACATCCCTGACCATCACACACCCATGAAAACTCTCAACAGTAACTTAAACTCTAATTGCAGACCCGAGACCTAACCTTATGTTTCGTATTTACACCCACAAGAAAAAAACAGGTGCATTTGTTACTGAAGTAAATGTAAAATCACTGTCCAAGCATACCTTTAATTTTTTTCTTGGTTGCCTCATCAAAGTTCTTTGCCTTGACTTTCTTTACATCAAATGTTGATATCAATCCTTGTTGCATACGCTATAAGAAGATAAAAACATAAATGGAAAAAAATGACTAATTACACAATAAAACAGAGAATAGGATCACAAGTTTAACATGGACACACGCTGGAAGTGCTGGGAAGCAAAATCAATTTACTGGTGTTTGCTTTTCATGGTGGAAGAGAGGGTGGTTTTTGCCCTATAGAAAGGCTTCTTTTCCTTGTTTTTTTCCTTCTTTTCAGGCTGCAGTTTTATCGCTCTCTCTCCCCAAACATCCAGCCTTTTGACTGTAAGAGAAATGCTTTTCGATTCAGATCATGAATAACATACTTCTAATCACAGAGATTTTTCTCGAACAAAAAGCAGGAAAGATGGCCAGGCGAAAAGAAGGAATGTATTGAAATATTGAACCAGGGACCTATTTCACAAAGCCTTTTTTCAATGACAAATTACAAAAATCAGTGACAAATCTGCTGATAACCAATTAGAAGCAAGTATTTCACTAGCTTATAAAAAAAAACTGTCATTTGTCACTGATGACAAGTTTTGTGAAATGGGGCCCAGATCTTCATCACAATGACATCACTCTCACCTTGATCTCTTCAGCTTTCATTCCATCCAGTAGATATCTCAATAGCTCATGGCTATCCTGCTGCTGGTAACCTTTGAACCTTGATGCTCTGAGAAAAAAGAGACGGGGGAGAAATATGAGTTTGAGATGAGGATTGTTTCACTATCAACACAATTCAAAGCTTTCACTAGTATCGTTTGATAGCATTGGGTAAAAAAAAAAGAGCTGAATTTGGAAAGGGGAGGACTTGATGACTGCTTGAAAGAGAGACAGAGATATAGAGAGGGAGAGAAAGAGAGAGAAAGAGAGGAAGAGGGAAAGAGGGAAAGAAAGAGAGAGAGAGTGAGAGAAGGGGGTGGGGGTTCATCCAAACAGAAACAGACAAACTAAAGCATAAATACACAAGATTGATCTCTCCCCCCCCCCCCCCTTACATCAAAATATAACAAGCTGTTAAGACACGCAACACCGACTCACTTATTGCAAACTTGATTGAAGAGAGCCCTTGGATTGATGGTAGTTGACTTGGTTGGTTTATGCATCTCATCTAGGAACTCAATCAACGATGAGGTCAACGGCTGCATCGATGCTATGGTTATGGTGATGGGTACCTGAATTCAAAGAAACACAAAGTATTGTTAAACGTAAGATTTGAATTTGTTAATAGTATAAGGCACTAATAATGATGATGGTGATGGTGATGGTGATGATGATCAACAATAGTAATAATGATGATATGATGATAATAAGATGAAGGTGATAATGACGATAATCACATTCTCATACCTGCCAACTTGTCAAAGCTGAAATTAGGAATATAATGTACCGTATTTCCTGGCGTAAAGGCCGCAGTATTTTTGGAAGAGAAAATATCAAAAAGTCGGGGTGCGGCCTTTACGGCGAAAGAGTAAAAAAAAAAAAAAACTCAAGTCAAAACCAGCACGAATTTGCACATATGGGACTATGGACGGTACAATAACTATACCACTATGGTACAGGACATTTCCACACATCTTACCAACAATTTTATTTTGCATTGTTGACATGAATACGAAAATAAATTGCTAAACCAACATTTGCTGATAGATCTTGATCTAAGTTCGTGCCAAAAATTACGATTATTTAGTTTTGTCCGTTTGTTTTGTTTTGTTTTTTTTCTTTTTCTTTTTCCCTCTTTGAAATGTCAAAGTTGGGGTTCGGCCTATGCGGCGCTGCGGCCTTATCGCCGGCAAATACGGTACTTTCTATGCATTTTACACAAATTTTTTAAGAAAAATATAGAAACCAAAGGGTTTGAAGTATTTAAAGGCTGAAAATTAGGAATTGTTCCCCCCAAATAGGAATTGTTGGTGCATCATCCTTGAATGTTATCAAGGTATCGCTTTCCCCTGCAAATACCCTTTGACGGTTAGATCTCTAGTCGTAGATTGAAACATACAACCTACTTATTACAAGTCTAAAGACAAGCATCTTTTGTTCTGTAGATGAAGATGGACATTCTTATTTTCTTAGTAAAAATCTTGAGATTGTGTATGAAATGAAAACAATGGCCTCACATGGAACCATGAGCATAGAAGAGGGTAGGATGTGAAAGTTAATATGATTAGATGAGCAAGTGTGCGCTTGTAAAATGGCGACTGGCCGGAATGCTCCCCAGGGAGTGGAGAATGTGCATACATTGTGTGTGGATAAGCCTGAATCCAATGACCGGGGTAATAATATATCTGTAAAGTGCTTAGACACATCGCTGTATCCATATATTGGGCAATAAATAAAAGCGGAATTTTATTATTATCATCAAAGAGAAGTCAATTCAAAGCTCACCAGGGGCTCTTTCTCTGCATCTTTACCGATACCATTTTGGTTGGTGGAGACGGAGAGATGCGTATCCAGGGGGACGTCCAGCTGTTTCCCTGTTGACCACTTCTCATGCAGGAGGTCCCTCAAGACATGGGTTTGAATCAGATTCTACATCAAATGAATTAACATCATTGTACAGTGAAACCTGTCTATAAAGACCACCCAAGGGAGACAAGAAAAGTGGTCTATAAATAGGCAGGTGGTCTTCATATACAGGTTCCTTTAGTACATGTTTCAATGAGAAACCATTTTCGAGAAGAAAAAAATGTGGTCTTTGTAGACGGGTGGTCACTAAAGCAGATTTGACTGTATAAGAAAACACAACATGTGACTTTAGTATGAAAAAGATTTAAAGAACTTGGTTTCTTTACCGCCATGGGATAAGTTTCACAATTCTAGAGATCAAGAGAAAAGGACCACATGATAGATATCATGATTGCGTATTTGAAATCTGGTAGAACAATGTATGTTTGGATGTGTGAAGTTCAAAGTAAACACATACACAGTTCTACCATTAAAAGAAAAAGGAATGACACAGACTATATTAAATATAAAACATGTAATCTCACAGCTGTGACTGAATTACACACCACTTTCATACACATATTCAACTTAACTGGCATTCTAAAGGTACACATGTTAGCAGTCTATTCAGCATTTAAACATGTACAAGTAACTTACCTGCATAACAGCATTGAAGAAGCATGTATTGCCAAGGTTGCTAAGCCCCTGTAAAGAAAATGAAAAGCATTTTAAAACTTGCGGCTCTAAGAATTGCCACACAACCAGTCTTGAGGATCAATACTTAAATTCGTAATACGTAATACTTAATACGTAAATAGCTAATTTGATGATTATTGAAAATTAAAAAGTAGGAATAAGTGGCAGTAAATTATTATTGACCCTCAGAATACTAAGCAAGTCCTTCAATGAGTTAGTTTAAATGTTTGACATTTTAGTTTCAATATAGTAGTAGTATCAAACCTTTCTTCAAATCATACCTATGCAAGGGTAGCTCTCTAGTAAGAAATAACACTATCAGAAATGTTAATGTTATGATATATTCATATATTAATATTTCAAGTTACAATTAGATTTGATCTTACCAATGTTATATAATTTTTGCAAAAGTTGACTTACAATATGTATTTTTAGTTTTGTATATGTTTTTATCTCTCTATATTCTAACTTTGTTTGTAAATTGAACATTTTCAGCCTGCGAGCTGCTAGTTTGATGTGTTTTTACAATAAAGTAAAACATATCCAGCACTTACCCTAACTTTAGGTAGTGATCCCTCCCTGGTAAGGAGAGGCGATCGTATCGGAGATGAAGATGTTCTGACATGACTCTCATCAACGTCTGCTTCTCTGCTCTTCTTTTTACCTAGACAACGAAAGGCGTAGAGAAAAAAATACAGATTTCTAAGTTTGTATTGTTACAATGCTTGCTAGAATTAATCACATACAAGGGGAGTGTTTCACAAAGACTAAGATCCACTTTAAGTTGGACTTAAATATGGCAGGCCGTTCATGCCACTGTTTGCTCTCACCAATATGATCTTTAGATAATATATTTTTCTTCAATAATGAATTATCAAGATAAAAATTCTGTACATTTGTGACCATGATTTGTACGTCCCTTGAGAGACCAATGCCAGTAAATGGTGAGAGCAAACAGTGGCATGAACATAGTTAAGTCCTACTTAAAGTCGATCTTACTTTTTTGTGAAACATCCCTAAGGAAGGATAATTCAAGGGCATATATACATCATTTAGGATTTAGAATTTTCCAATATCAAATTTACAGTTACAGAGGCAATCTTCATACCAGGAGATAGAGGAACCAGGCAGTGGCTTTATTAAATGACCCTGTGTCCCTTTTGTAGACTGCATTACATTTACTGAAGCTTGGCCTGAATCACATGTATGTTATGTAGGTCATGTCTCTTAAGTTTGAAAGTAAACAGTAATCTAGTTTTTAAATGAAGTATTTTATAGGCTTCCTGTCACAGACCCAGTATTTTTGCTTTGAATACGTCATACCATGGAAAATCAATGGAATATCTTTCTTAGAAGAGCATTAAATCCAATGATTTGTTTTGTTTTCAAATAATACTGAAAGTAAGGCTCATGTGAATATTTTGGTTTACTGTGAAGAAGATTTACACCCATGCAGTAAAAGAGGGTCTGAAACCTCCTGACATATTTTGTAATGGTCCAAGAAAAATCGCATCTCAGCAGCAAATTGAATGATTTCCTCACAAAGACTGTTTCAAATGGCCTCATAATTCATAGGTACTTCAGAAACCGCATTTTCAAGGAAATAAGCAAGTACCTGCTAAAGCCAGGGTAATTATGCTGCATTATTGTAGAGCGCTTAGAGACTTCTGATAAAGTAAGTGTTAGGCGCTATATAAGCAAATATAATTATATACCTGGGGCAACTCCAGGTTTTCTTAAGCAGAAGGGACACACTGTCTTTATGTTGGTTTCTGTACACTATCAAGCCAGAAAGTAAGACGTGACAGGGCCTGAAATCAGGACAAATGCCTGAAAACTTGCAACCATATTTAGAGGAGCTATCATTGATTACAAGGATGTGAAAATACTGAAGCTAAACCGACTGAATTATTTTCTCCTTGAACATCTTACCAGAGCTGCCAACCTGTCATTCTCAAAAAACATATTATTCAGCTTGAAAAAGCATATTTTTAGGTGAAAAAACATATTTTGCCTGTTTTTAATTTTTTCCGTTATTTTCCCTGTAAAATACTATTGCAACTATGTTTCTTTGATTAAAAATGTGTTCAATCATTGACAGCTGCCGACCTATCAATTTAAAAAAAATAATAAATAAATAAAAAAAAAAAAAGTAAAAAAAAAAAACATTTTCAAGGAAAAAAAAATTGTACTTTGAAAAATATATGTTAAATATATTTACCTATTTTATCGGAAAATTTAATAATTTAAATACATCACAGAATTTTAGAAAATCTGAAAATAAAACGCTAAGTCAATGAATATGAGGGTCGAATCAATTTGTACACAAAGTCAATGCATCAGCAGGGTCCGGTGTTTGTTTTTCATTTGACTTTTTGAAGATACCATCACATTCGAAGGGCTTGCGATAATCGAAAAAACTTGTAATAAAATCACTGATTTCTTGATTTTTAGCGCTTTTTTGGAGAAACTGTTTCTTAAAACTGGGCTAAGCCCCCGCATGCTTTGGAAATATGGCTCTGATTCCGCATTTTTGACGGCAAAATTTGGCTTTTAGGATGGATTTTTGGAAGTGACAACGGGACTTTCTTGTACTAGTTAGTGAGTGACAATGTGTGTAATGCATTGGTATGTATTTTGCGTGTGTTAAGGATATGGCAATTGGATTCGCTGGCTCGATACTCGGTACATGTACCGTACTGTATGCATGGACTGGGGAAATGTGCACGTCTTTGAGTGGTGTACATCCCGTGTTGTGTGCAATGCGGATGCGTGCGCGCTGCAGGAATCGCCAATACAAAGCAATAGCACAACTCTGCATACGCTCGTTCTCACAGCCAGCCACGTTTGCACAGCCATACTCGAAACTTTCGAAAAACGTATTTTAGCACAGCAAAACGTACAAACGTATTTTACCCCCAAAAAACGTATTAATACGTTAAAAACGTACTACTTGGCAGCTCTGTCTTACCACAAAGAGGTCACAATGAGCATGATAATGCAATATGCATGTATCTTATACAATGTTTATGGTAGGAACGAAAACAGACATTCTTGAGCTCTTCCTCTTGCCACCATTGGAGTGAATTGCAAGAATGAAAAGGAAACCGACGTCAGACAATATAAGCAAAAGTTAAAGGAACAAGCATGCAGACCATTGAGCTTCCTTTAGCTTCTACTTACATTGTCTGATTACAGATTTCTGTTCACTCTTGCATTTTAGTCTGATGAGGGCAAGAGGAAAAGCATTAGTCTGCCTATTTTCGTTGCTATTTTTTGTATTTGGTTACAATATTTATTATCTACATTTGAGAGCCCTGTTGACACATATCTCCACATATTCTCCTCAGCTATGAATTGAAAGCAGATTGCATCCCTAAATACAAATAGCTCAAAATGTTCTACTTCTATCCATTCAAATGCTGACAACAATAGGGACTTTTAGATTTTCACGACGACAACGTGGACTGCTATGTGTGATGTCCTTTTAAAGCACTGCCAGTGCCTTAAAAGGACGTCATACGCAGCAGTCCACGCAAATCTAAAAGTCCGTAATGCTTGGTTGTTCAAAGGATCATACTTACTGGCTGATTTTTCTGCAGGTTTCTGCTGGAAAGCCTGTTTCTTGATCCAATCCATGCACTCTCCTAGTTTCTTACTCTCTGAAGGACTGATTGCATCATCACACTTGTAACACCTGTATCAACGGGAGGAAACAAGTAAGAAATTGTAAAAACTGTGAAATTAACTTACAGCCTTATTACCTTTTTGATTTACTATGCAGGGCTCCAACTAATCTTGTTGGAAGGGGTCCGATTTGAATTTTTAGAGTCTTTGTGTATGAGCTGATGTGTCCCAAATACCTGCTGGGACAACGGGATTAATACTGACGACAAATTACCTAGGGTAAACAGGACATATCATTTACACTATTGTTGTATATCAAGAGAAATTAGCAAATAACGTATGCAATTGCACTAGTAAACAGGTACATTAATATTGACTGTTAGGAATTCCTTTCAGAAGCAATTTCTTGGATTAGGGGTGATAGTGAGCAACCCTTCCCCCCCCCCCCCCTTGACTAATTTTTTTAAAAATAGGGTTTCGGAGCAACAACAAAAAATAGCATCTAACAACATTACCCCCCCCCCCCCCCCCTTTTGAGTAAGAAAAAGTGGGGGAAATCGGGAGTAAAAAAATCGAGGGAAAAAAAAAAATCAAAAAAAAATCTGGAAACCCATTTAAATAGGGTAATTATCAGGCCTGCTTGGATATCTTTTTTTCTTTCTCCATCAGCTAAAAAGATATAGGGTTATCTGAATTGTTAATGAATTCTTGGAATAAATCAAGAAGTACTCACCACACATTCCAGTTTGCCAGGCAGACAGCTAGGGGATGTGAGTTGGACCTGGCCGTTTCAAAATGCTTCAAGGCGTGCTGAGCAGGACTACTACGACAACATCCCTGTTCAATGAAATGAAAAGTACAAATATATATTTAATGTTGTAAAGAAACAGCTTAGACAAGAAAAGTGGATTAAATATTGATACTATTTCTTTAATTTTAGAGGAATTAGATGAGCTTCAAATTAAAAACAACTGTCTCATGAAATGATTTAATGTTAAGAAGTTTTAAGTCAATGAAGCATGAAACAGTTCTTTATGATAAAATTGTGTTTCTGGTGGTATTATACTATTACGTTCTATTCCAAAGCAAATATGGAAAGCTTTATGTATAATTTGATATGTTGAGGATCTTTGTATAAAAACCACATAAATGTCAACAGAGGAAATTCTTTTTACAATTTCATCCACTATTCTAATATCAATGAAATGATCTCCTACCTTTTTTATACACAAAGTAAAAATAGAAATTTCTAATAGATCCACTGTCAATACTGTTCATGAAAAGAAAGCATTTGTTTCCAAAGTGCAGTTTCACTTTCACAAGGATATGCGATTGAACTTAAAGGGATCCGGTAACTTTATCTCAATATTCTGAAACAAAATCCTGGATTTAGCTCATGCTGTAATGATAATTATAAACCTTTAGGTCAGTCAGGAACCCCAAGACTTTTACAAGCCGATCGCCTGTCTGATTATCAAGATATTTATGATTGGAAATCGAAATCAAAATTTTCAACGTTTTTCATAACACTACAGTCTTTTGGGGAAAACGAGTATGGTAAAACCGGTCACTCAAAGATTTTTACTTTTTTGAGGCACTTCTTCATCATTTTGAAGTGCAATTTTTTTTAGGGCTTCAATATTACACCATATCACAGACACTGATAACACGTAGGGCCATGTATCTCAGATTTAACATTGTTAAATGATCCATTTAAGAATTCACCTAGTATAGAAAAGTGACACAGAGCAATTGTTGCAGGAAACAAGAGTCGTACAACCACCAGGGTGTGTGTCAGTCATACAATCTCCAGCAGACCATAAGGGGTCATTTGAACAACGTTTACTTGATGCAAAGTGATGAAACAAACTTAAACTGATAAAAAAAAACAACAACCAAACTTACCTGACTTCCACAGGCTAAACAAAGCCAGATGACGGGCTCAAACACCTCACCATCTACGTCATCAATAGAACTATCTTTCTTGACACTGCCTCCACTGCCCTTATCACCAGCACACAACTGTAAACAGAACAGTGACATTGAATGTGTTATTATTTCTGGATCATGTACAGCTTAAAAGTTGGTACCTCTACATTGCGCAATATATGGGAAATCCCATTAAAAGAATGTTTATAATATTGCAACATTGGAAAAAACTGTAACAAAAATATTCACATCACCTACATGTACATACAGTATTTACTACCCCTTTCACACTCCTTTGCAAAGGTGCTGATTGAATACAGATGCAAAGAAAATAAATGAGTTGGGAAAGGAAGCATATAAATGGAAACGCAATTAAATAAATAGCTTTAATTCTATTTTTGATATTCAAAGACAGTTTTCACATACATGTAGATGTACAATGTACATGTATAGCAATGTCTCTGTACATAGCCACACTCAATTCAGGAAATGTTAACACATATACACACAGAGGATCAAATATAATAACTGAAGTTTAATGATACTAAACTATGATTGTCTATGTACATATTTAGTTGCACAGACAGATACGGCCTTATCACCATTTGTAATGTAAATGAAGACTCACATTTCTGGTTAAAACGCCATCGACTGTCCTTTCTGTTTTATCTCCCTTTTCTCCAACAACTTTAGCCAATGCAATCTACCCTGCCTGAATCCCTCACTAAGTAGTACGTACGTACGTACATGAAGTTGTACCCCTAGCTCTGCAGTGAGTTGTCTTCCTGATACAGGATCTATTCAATTAGAACCACTCACCGTCTTGAGGTGTCATGTGGTTTCACTCTAACGTCATCACAAAAATTGACTCATATTCCAGCCAAGACCCTAGTTCTACTGCAAAATTGATGTGTAATACATGTACCTTCAAGGTTTGAGAATGGCATGAATATCATATCTTTACTTTTGCCAAGTCTTCTTTTTTTCCCTTAGAAAATTATCCAAAGGAAACATCCTGACGCGAGTAATTTTATCATAGACTTTTGAGAAATTATCAAATTGTCACAGTAAATTTGTGAAGTCATAACTTTATCCTAAATAAAGCAAAGTTATGTAATTTTTCAGATGAAGGAGAAAAGATGTATGCAAACTCTGCAAATTTTAAAAAATAAAATAAAAATTATCTACCCCAATACATTTTTCAAGTTAAAAAAAAAAGATTCAGAAAACATATGTATCAAATTATATGAAATACCTTCTAAACCATTAACTGTACTTGAAAGTAAGCATGCACATTTAAAAAGAAAAAAGATTTTTTTTCTTTCTTTTTTTTCTTCATAATTGGCCTTCCAATGCAATAATAGAATTTAGTGATATAAAAAAAGCTTTCTTGTGCAAAATTACGAGAAGTTCACTCAAAAATAAACATTACCCTGGTATACAACATGTATCTATAATCTATTGCATTTATTATCTCATCAGAAGAACAATTTGCTAAATCAATTTTCTTAACTCAACAACAGTACCAGAATCTGGCAACTTGAAAGAAACGTAACAAAAATACACAATGCAATATTGTGTGTCCAGCCCAGTGTGTCCGGCGATTTCATACATTATCAATTAAATTACTCTAAAAACAATTCAGACGGCTAATCATTCAGTCAGAAAGAAGTGAATTACTAAGAATACTGATAAGGAAAAGAATTGCAACATTCGTGCCATACCTATTGTCAAATGAATACTTCATAGCTGATCGATACTCACATCTTACAAGACACATTTAGTGTGAATTTTCATGAAGTAAAGTAAAACCACTTCAGCAATGTCATGTGATAAAAGGCCACTGATAATCACTACTTACTGAACACTGTCCAAAGCCATAATTCTTGAGACCCTTCTTCACATTGTTCAAGCTGACAGACTTATCCAGATGAGTGCATTCTTTACCTAGGAGAGAATCGGAAAATGAATATTGAATGTATTGCAATCCTTTCCAAGAATCAGTAATTCTCCTTATCTCTATACTTCACCATTAACACAAACCCTGCATTTAACTCACTTTTAATAAACGTTCTACCACTTTTAATGAACATCTACCAGTATACACAAGTTGCTACATCTTTTAATAGTTTTCTTCTTTCCATCTATACACAGTTAATATTTTGGTTTCTTTATGGTCTAAAGGAGTCTTTGATAAAATTGAAGCCCTTTCCCTAAAATATCTACTCCTCTGAAAAGTACAAGTAAAGTAAAAGTTCAAAGGGACAGTACAAGTACATACCTTTAACAGTTTCTTCATCAGATGTATTGTGGTAGTCCGTCTGCTTCGTTCTGTTGCGCTTCTTACCCATTTCGGCAGGACCTGTTGCTCCTTCCTTCACTCGCATTGAGCCAAACTCCAATGTCACATCACCCAACTAAAAAGACTTAGTACACTGCAACAACAACAAGAAACATGGATGGTGGTTAAGATTGAAATGGATCTTTCATCAAGACATTCATTGCAGACAAGTTGACAGTTGACCACTTGATTGGTATCATCATCATTGATTACAGTCAGCTATTCCTCTATCACGAGGGGTTACCGACTTTCGCACCATGATGACACTCTCTCCCTCTACTTCTTCTTGGGCCTCGACATGTCTCCCTTGGATCCTTCTAAGTTGCCTGCATTCCTACCCATGAGAGAGCCTCCAAAGATCATCCAACCATGGGATGTTTCCCGTGAGCTCTCCAAGGTAAAATCACGAAAGTCTGCGGGACCTGACAGAGTTCGGGCTAATATTGTTCAGCTCTTCGCTTGTGAGCTAAGCATCTCACTAGGCGACATACTGAATGGCTCGTTCAATGATGGGATAGTCGACAATGGAAGGAAGCCACAGTCATTCCAGTACCATAGAAGATGCCACCGAAACTAGAGCAACTCCGCTCTCTTGCTCTAACTGATCATTTCGCAAAGGTACATGTAGCTGAACAATTCAGTATCAAATTAATGCTCTTGGACATATAAATCAGATTATTGGTCATAATCAATTTGGCAGCCGTGCTGGAAGATCAACAACTCATTGTCCAGTAGACTTAGTAAACCATCCATGTGCAAATGTGGAAAAGTTAAGGATGACATCGACTGTCATTACAACAGATTTCTCAAAAGCCTTTGACAGGGTTGATCACACTGTGGCACTCAGGAAATTGATGGAACTCAACCGCAAGGTTTCATTGTAAAAATGACCTCTAATTTCCTGACTGGTCGCATCCAGCATGTCGGATACCAAGGTTGTCTGTCAGAGAATCATCATTGAATGCAGGTGTGCCACAGGGTACAAACCTTGGACCAGTGATGTTCTTGATACTTATCAATGATGCTCTCTCTACCTCTGGAGTTAGGTATTGGAAACAATCAAATATTATTGAATGCCAGTAAATGCAACTTAATGTGTGTAGATTTTGGGAGAAATGGCCAGACCTCACTCAACCTGACACTGAACGTCTAGTGAACGATCATACTCTGTCTGAGGTTAAGGACTTAAGGTAATGAAGATTTTGGGCACCTACAGTCAATCTAAAACTTGAAATCGGACCAACAGGTCGATAACATGCTCAAAAAGGTTAACAGAAGAATGTTTACCCTCCATTCTCTCATCCCCTTCGGACTACCTGTTGACGATCTCCCTCTAATTCATAGATGGTACATACGCCCATTGGGTGAATATGCTGTACCTGTCTGGCATCAGGGCATTACCCAACGACAAAGATCCCTGATACTATAAAAAGGGTTCAGAAACAGGCTCTTAGACGCATGTTAGGCTCCCAGTACCTAACATACCATAATGCCCTAGACGTCGCACAATCCCAAACTCATGAAGATAGACGTTCTAATAATTGTATCAGATAAGGTAAAGGTCTAATGCTATCTCCAGAATTCAAAAACTGGCTGCCCAAAGCCCTGCCAAATAAACTAGGCAACTCAGAAACCTGAGCAAATTCTACCTATAAGATGCAGGACTGAAAGGTATCGATGTAGCCCAGTCCCATTTATAAAGGGTTCTAAATGACATGTGATCCTTCATCTTTTTCTTTGTGTGTGATACTGTAGTTGCGTATCTCTGGAAGTAATCTCTCAAATATCTGGTTTTAAAAATAAGACCATATTTTCCACTTCTCGACCTTTTGAATATTCTTTATGAAAACCATGTTTGCCTTCATCTCTTTCATCATGATATATCACATTGATATATTATTTAATCCCTTATAATGTTAATTGCTTTTACGTATTGTAGTTTGTGACATATATTATTTCATCTTAATAATTGTAAATGTCATGCTCATCACTTTGTAAACCAGGAAGCACCTGATCTCATACATTCACTATTACATTTTCTGTCGATTATATTGTCCATGTACAGTAGCAAACTTCCTTCTAAATTACATTGCCACATTTGCCAATGTTTGTATTATCTTATGGTATTGTTGTACGCTGAGGCTACTCAAGTACACTCCCAGGCTTACAGGCTAATACTCAAATACTTGGCGACCGTTTTTTTTTTTGGCTCCGGAATATTTGAAAATCGTGCCAGCCGCAAATTTGCTCAGTGGGGGGGGGGGGGGGGGGGGGGGGGGTGGGGGGCACGTCCAGTACTGTTTGCTAGTACATTTTTGGCAATTCGGCGCTCTGCGGGTGTAGGGTTCCCGATCCACGCGCTGGCAATGCGAAAAACGGAAAATCCTATTTTTGCGGACGTGTCTGTCTGCGTTTACAAAGACAATCTTCAGTAATGCATGTATGCATAGAGTAAAGGAGGGGGAAATCGACCAGCTTCAGTTTTCGGCCGATTGGTTGGATGCATGGTAAAATCCCTTTAAAATACATCGCATAATAGCATATCACATATCCCACACATACCATACCATGCCAGAGTCACTGAAGAACCACATTTGCAATGAAAAATACATCCTAAAATATCACATTTTAGCGATTTTATCGGCGGTCCTGCTACCCGATTCTAAAAAATTGAGTATCTTAAGCGTGTCTGTAAGAAATATGGGTACCATAAAATGAGCTTTATTTCAAGTATTTTTCAGATTAAGAGCCCGATTTTGTGCTAGTCGCAAGCTCAAAAGTATCTCACCGCATGTATTAAATCAATGCAGCCGGACACGGCAACGCACACGCGATAGCTCTGTCTAATTCAGATTCCAATTTCCGATCACCGCAGTACTAGTTTTCGGCCTGGCGAGCTCCGGCATGGGATGCCTGCTCCGCCCGCTAGTACTACAGATCAGCGCGGAAACGCACATCGCGCGCTTCCTATTGACTCTGTACATGCGGCCGAAAACTGGTTCGCTATGCCGATAACTGACTCCGAAACAGTGAAAATTGAAATGAATATTGTCATGGCAATTCATGATTTTTTTCTGGGATTCTTTTTTTGTTTAAATAATAATATTTGCTTCATGATTTGAACAAGAAATGATAATAAATAGGAAGTAAAGGGTCCAAAAAATAGGAATTTGTCTTAAGTGGCCGAAAACCCCCTCCTTTACTCTACGATCCTTATTTTCAGACCAGCGCCCCTACTCCTAGGCCTAGATCTACTGCCAACGTAGACTCTAGATCTAGACCTAGGGTACAATTTTTTTTTACAAATATCTGGTCGGTTTTCCTCTAATTTCTTTGGTCGTACAGCACTTAAAAAGAAAAATTCTTCTAAAATGCTACTGACGTGGTTAAGTTCGATTGTTTGATGTGTTTTTTAAATTCAATTTCGTGATTTTTTTTCTTCTTTTTTTCAATGAATTTGCCCAGTTATGCTGAATGCTGGCACTGCCCGCAGCTCAGGCCGCATGCACCGACCACCCACCACACTCGGCACCTGCACCTACATGTAATATGTACATCAACATGCATGCTGATAATAATTATGAGATAACAAATTCACACCACAACATGACCGAACATCATCATATTTAGACAATTTAACGACAATAGCATCTAAGAAACAACAGTGCAAAGAGATTAGACAATACTCACTATGATATCAAAAACTCAGGACTTGGAATTAAGCTTTTAGACTTCTAAAGTACCATTATTTGGTCATAGAAATCTGTCTTCTTACGCTCAAATGAGAAGCTCGGCTGCGAAAAATCTAGATGCAAACGACCCCGGAAGTTGTACCATCCTCTTTTTTAATCAAACAATTTTCTTTCATGACAATATAAAAAATTATATTCATAGACAGTAATGGATCGATGACAAAATAAATACAAAATATTATCAATTAGAACACTACATGTGAAAATAATTTCAAAACAAATTTTAGATATATTTGATTTCCTTTGAAATAAAAGATTTAGGAAAAGGTTGTATATTTATGTGATCGTGGCAAAATTTGATTGACTGGAGCTTAATGATGAACATTCACAGGTGTTTTTGGTAGAAATGGAAAGGTGAGTAGGTATTTTGCCATTTGATTTCCGTGAATATAGCTTATTTCCATGTTTCAAAGAACCTTAACCTTTTCATAAATAGATTGTATTGCTCAAATACGAGATAAAGTAATGGGTTTAAAATTGTGATGTGTCCCACTAACCGCAAAGTGTGTCTGCTACGGTGTTTGTGATGTAAGTGACGTGTGAGGATCAGTGTCTAGGCTGGGCCTGGGGAGTGCATGGGGACATGAGTCGGGACATGGGGGAGGTTGGGAGGAACGTCAATCTAGTTGGGGCCCAGACGGCCCGACCAATGTATTACTATTAGGGCACGTTCATGCTTGATTTTGAAGGCAGAATGAGCGATTTGTAACGCTCATCGTAAACGCTCATCGTAATCGCAGTTCCACGGTGCACTGTTCATGCTCACTTCTCCAGGCAATTCTCCTTGGGTGGCCTTCAGCTGGATTCGCAAACCTGTGTGCGCATGCTACGTAGATCCACTAGAGGTCAGTGCGTTGACCCCATTTAAAACGCGTTTACAAATTGTAAACGCATCTTTTTGTGAGTTTACGATCGGCGATCGTGATCGCCGTTTTTCGGTGATTCTACAAAAGTGAGCATGAACCCAATCGTGTTTTAAACTAAATGCGTAACAGATGCCTGATTCTGGCCGTCAAAATCAAGCATGAACGCGCCCTAACTTGACCCTGGATTGAATCTGGATACCCGCCCTGGCCTGGGGCCTGGCCTCGGGCTTGGCTATTTTTGACAGCTTGACTTTGACATGTTCCTGAATCTGAATAAATGAGATAACATGCTACCGGTATTTACAATTACAAAAACGCTGACTTTACAAGAATTTGCATTGTTGGTTCTTGCTGAAATGCAGGCGCTTATTCAGAATCAGGTTTCACGGAAAACCGCTGCACAATACAATTGCATACCGTTTACGTATGGTATAGCGTACCGACAGTGGGGTTCGGGTGCGACTGAAGTTAGCGACTGTAATCTCAGATCCTCATTGAATTCATGTGAATAATTCATCATTACGGTGTCAGTCGCTAACTTCATGCACGCTGTCGCACCCGCACTCCACCGTCAGCTCAGAGGTATGCAATTGTATTGTGCAGCAGTTTTGAGTCAAAGTATGGATATGATTCTGAATTAGTGCCCAAATATTTTTTTTTTTGGTAGCCTATTTGGGAGACAGTCTCCAATGGGGTACTAATTTCTCTGTTTTATTTGCTACATAGCAATAAGGTCAGCTGAAACTGAGAAGTTGATAATCAGATTCCTTAAAAATTCACTAGACTACAGTACTTTGTATCTTCTTTTGCTTTTAAAACAACAATTGGTACGAAAATACTCCCCTCATGTTAGTGTTTTTTTGTTGTTTTTGTTTTGTTAGCTGTAAGTCTCCAACTTGGGCTGCAGATGTTTTTGGTTTTGATCTATTGGCAACAAAAAGAAATTAAAAAATGTATGTTATAGAAAATTATTCCTTGATCCCCAAGCTCTCATTTTATTGAACAATTCTTATCAAATTGGTGTTAATATCATATATGAAAGTATAATACAAGTACAGAAACTTTCTTATAATACAGAAAACGTCATTGGTTTGGGGGAATTATATCACGTACCAGTAGTTTAAAGGGGATTTAAAAAATAAAATAAAAAAATTAACAGGTAGTGACATTTTGAGCAAAAAAACAATACAAAATTAGAAAGTTATGAATTTGTTAAGGTGCTATCAATCAGGCGCGTACGCAGGGGGGGGGGGGGGGGGTTTGGGGGGTTAAACCCCCCCCTTTGGTAATTTTTTGTGTGTAAACCCCCCCCCAAAAAAAAAAACCCCTAAAACCCCCCCCCCCCCCCCCCCCCCCCCCCCCCCCCCCCCCCCCCCCCTTTTGGATTTGTTTTTTGTTTTTTGTTTTTTAAAATTATTTATTTATTTAAAAAAAAAAAAAAAAATTATTCCCATGGCCAACCTAAAAAAGGTGACCTTACCCCCCCCCCCCCCAACGGGTCAAAATGTCAAATTTCCAAATTTCGAGACCAAAAAAAAAAAAAAAAAGTGTCCTCTTACCCCCCCCCCCCCCCCCCGCTTATTCAGCGGTCGGCTGAGTCGTTGCGATTTTTTTTGGGGACCAAAAAAAAAAAAAAAATGTGTCCTCTTACCCAGCGGCTGGCTGAGTCGTTGCGAAATTTTCGGACCGATTTATAAATGTTAAAACCCCCCCTTGAAAAAATCCTGCGTACGCGCCTGCTATCAATCACATACAAATTGGCACCACTGTGACATATGTTGTGAGCTCCCCTCCCATTTGCCCTGTAGGGCCTACTGAAGAAAAAGAAAAAATCAGAAATGTATAGTTTCCTTTGAGAAAATTTTCAATTATACAATACATTCACTGTTCACCTTAAATATAATTTGTTGCAAACATGTTTTATACAACCCTTGTTTGACACAAATCTATTCCGTCATCATTGACTAAGAAACCTGTATTAAAAGCAATGTAATCTCTGCAAAATCTTTACCCTGTTATTTTTTGTAAGGAAGGTCAGCATTTTTTACATAGTGGAAAATTAGCTGTACATAGAGCTCTGCATATTTCCAATATATCTGGTAAATGTATAAATAAGCAAGAATAAATAACACAGATCTAAACGTAATTTAACATTTTTTGTTTCCTTCATTTAATTTTTTTTTCTTTGTTTACAGATTTGTTTCTGAATAAGAAACCTCTATTCCTGTCCGTCCATCTGTACGTCTTGTTCTCATGATCGCGTTATCTCAAGAACCAATTGATGGATTCCTGCCAAACTTGGGTTATGTACATGTATGTATCTTGCAAAGCCAATGAACTGAGTAGATTTAAGGGTCACAAGGTTCAAGGGCTCATTATCTATGCAAAAATAGCTTGTGATCGCGTTATCTCAAGAACTTATTGATGGATTCCCTCCAAACTTGGGTCATGTATGTATCTTGCAGAGCCAATGAACTGATTAGATTTTGGGGCCAGGAGGTCAATGGTCACAGGGCTCATTATGTATGCAAAAATAGCTTGTGATCGCATTATCTCAAGAACTTATTGATGGATTACTGCCAAACTTGGGTTAAGTATGTATCTTGTAGAGCCAATGTACTGATCAGATTATGAGGTTACTAGGTCAAAGTTCATAGGTCACAGGGCTCATTATGTATGCAAAAATAGCTCATGATTACATTGTCATTGGAACCGATGGACAGATTACCATCAAACTCCAGACATGTATGTATCTCGCAGAGCCAATGAACTGAGTAGATTTTAGGGTCAGAGGACATGTATATGAAAAATAGCTTGTAATCATGATATTCTGAGAACCTGTTAATGGATTACAATCAAACTTGAATTTTAAAAATTGCTTCTGTTTTGGTTTGTAAAATCGCTCACTTACAGTATACTTTAATTGACACTTATTCAGTTATTGCCGTTTGGGTGTCGGAAACTTTTTATTTTCAATTTGTAAATGATGCGTCGACTGTGTCTTATTATAGTATAAGTATGTATTGATATTATGAGATGATTATATATGTATTTTGGCTTTAAAAATTATATGTATGTACATGTATGTATGTATGTATGTACCGGTACCTAGTTTGTATTATGAGAAAAAACACAGAAATAAAAGCAAACAAAGTAATCATTAAGCATTGTTGTATTTTTTTCAGTGTCTTGATATTGTCACAGGTAAATGTAAAATGGTAATGGTAATGGTTTTATTGAAAATTCATAAAAATTCATAAAGTTAATAAATTAATAAAGGTAACAATTGCTTTCTATTTACAATCATATATCAAAAGATCGTTCAAAATAAGAAAGAAGAGAGAACATAAGGGCTGGAGGAAACTCGGAAAGTAAAGAAGAGAGGTAAGGAGGTAAAATACAGACCACACAGGATATCCAGGAAAAGTAGGAGAGAAAGGGAGAGAGAAAAAATGGATTAAGGGAGAGATAAAGAAAGAACGACAGGGAGAGAAAGAGAAAGACAGAGAGAGAGAGAGAGAGAAAGAGAGTTAAAGGGAGAGATAGAAAGAAAAAGACAGGGAGAGAAAGAGAAAGACAGAGAGAACTTGAATTTTTTTAAATTGCTTGTTTTGGTTTGTAAAATCGCTCCATGGCGGAGGCATCATTTACTTTAGTAGACACTTATTCAGTTATTGCATTTTGGCTTTTGGAAACTTTTTATTTTCAATTTGTAAATGATTCGTCAACTATGTGTCTTATTAAAGGTGTCCTCATGTATTAATATTATGAGATGATTATATATGTATTTCAAAGGGAACCAAAACCTTCATACTAAGTTACTTTATTGTAAAGTTTAAGATATTTGAAAAATATTAGTGAAAATTTGAACAAAATCGGGCAAGGAATAAGGAAGTTAAAGCTTTTTTTTAAATGACTAGTCACTAGAGGGCGGTATTCAATTTGATGACATCATCTGTAAACAACTCTCCATGCCTTTTGTCCTTTTTGTTTTTCCTTCTTTCTTGTGATTGAGATAATCTACTCCCCTGAAAGCAAGATATAGAATGCAAAATTATATTCTACTTCACATGTTATGAAGTCGGATCAAGAACACAAATAAATACAAAGAAAACAAAAAAATTGTGAAATTTTATGTACAAAAGGCATGGAGAGTTGTCCACAGATGATGTCATCAAATTGAATACCGCCCTCTAGTGACTAGTCATTTAAAAAAGCTCTAACTTCCTTATTCCTTGCCCGATTTTGTTCAAATTTTCACTGATTTTATTAAAATCTTTTAAAATTTACAATAAAAGTAACTTAGTATGAAGGTTTTGGTTCCCTTTAACTTTAAAAATGTATATATATATGTATATACCTAGTTAGTTTTATGAGAAAAAAACATGAGGCAATTGTCCTGGGAGGGGGTGATTACCAAAGGGGTTAGGTATTACATATACAATATTATCTTTCTTCCTCTCTCTCTTTCAATATCATCTTTCTCCCTCTCTCTTTCAACATTATCTTTCTTCTTCTCTCTCTTTCAATATTATCTTTCTCCCCCTCTCTTTCAACATTATCTTTCTTCTTCTCTCTCTTTCAATATTATCTTTCTCCCTCTCTCTTTCAACATTATCTTTCTTCTTCTCTCTCTTTCAATATTTTCTTTCTTCCTCTTTCAATTTACACTTTCTTCCTGTCTCTCTTTCAATGTTTTCTTTCTTAATTCCTCCCTTTCAATATCTTTCTTCCTCTCTTTCAATCCTTACCTCATCTCCCCTCTCTCTTTTATTATCTCTATTCTATTTTTCTCATGCTTTAATTAAAAGGGGCCCCTTCATGTTTTGTTTGGTAATGAATAAGGTTAGTTTTTGTCGGTATCATGGTCATGTACACTAACTCCCTCAAAACCCGCCCTAAACACCCAAGTTTTGTGAATCCACGTCGGCTCTTTAAGGAGCCGTAAGAGTTAATTACTCCTCGGCAATCACATCAAATAGTTAAGTATCTGAGATGGCCAGATATGTAAATCAATTATCATTTTCAATACAATCAACCATTTTCAAAAGGATCAGCCTTCATATTTGATGTGTGAAAACAAATCATTGACGTACATGATATAATAAAGAATGTCGGGCTCAGTATTGAGTTTAAAAAAGTAGACTTTATTGACCTGTAATATGATAATTATAATATGATTACAAGTTGTGTTTTATACCAAACAAACAAACGTGCCAAGAAAGACAATTTGTAGTTTTTGTACGATTAAAGTTGTATAGGCGGATACTCCACCACCCCATACAAAATAGCGTGCAAAGAGCAACAACATGAAAATGGAAAGACACCTCAGGCCTAGGCCTGAGACACTACTTGCGTTTCGTGAGAGGCTGAAGTATCTGGGCCAGTTAATAATACTTTTTTTTATTGAGTAAGTTTTGAAAAAGAACAACTCTCCAATAATATTGGTTATTGGGGTATTGAAATGGTATTGGAATGTCATGAAATATGTTTTTCCTTCTAACACAATAATTGTTTTGCCACTCAATTCAGGCCTGACTACCGGTACATGTATACTTTTTCGTAAGGAAAAAGAAAAGTTATTTTGTCATATAACTGATTAACATTTGAAGATTTCCTATATACTAGTGCCTGGCCGTGCATGTCCCATATTTGATCAGGTTTAGAAAGGTTGTGGTTGAGATGATTAAAAACAAAATTGGTTGGCTTGCACATATCTGTAATTCTGTATTACTGTATAAAAGTGACTCCAAAATTTTTTTTAAAAAGAGTATTCAAGTATTCGACATGGCGTTTCACACAGTAAATTGCATTTGAAATTGCATCATGTGCATTTCCAAACCCTTTCTTTCATACAAATACACACAAACAATTCCAAAAGCTTGAATGCATACTAATCACAAGATGTAATGAAACAATATCAATAATTCTAATGACACACTTACATGCAAATGCATGATCATTTTTGCGTTGCTTTCTGCCTGTCAAATAATTTTCTTCTGCATTTTGTTTTGTTGCTATTATGAGTTGATATCCAGACGGTCTCAGTCACATATAAATACTGTAAGCATGCATGACCAAGAAAACGTGTATGAAGGTTTGTTTTATATAGATTGGACGCGGTTTGCACGATGCAGCATTAATGCAAAAAAAAAATTTAAAATAGAGTACATGAGAAAGTTCAGGACAGGGAAAAAATCAAACAAACACTTTCAATTGCCATGTCCTTGGCTGGTAAATGCACAGCAGCAAAGATCAAAGAAAGAGAGCGAAAGCAGAATGAGAGAAAAAACAGAAACAACAGAAGGTTATGGATAAGCTCAAGAACAAAGTATATGAACATTGTTTATCTTTTCTTCATAATAAGTTTCAATTTAATTAAATTACGTTATTTAATAAACACAAGACTATATTATTGTTATAACTTCCGGAGCCTATGACCTACTACAAGCATTGCTTTCCGGTTAGGCTCCATCATATTTCTTCCTTTATTTAACTTAGTCTTATGTATTATTCTTTTTGTTTGTATAAATGCATCCAAAAATGATTACACAAATTGTAACATGCCAAATGTAATGATGTATTATACAAAATGTGAAATATGAAAATAAACTGAAACTTAAACTGAAACTGAAAGCAAGCAACACAAAAAGGGTAACAAGAGTCCAGCTACGACCAAGTACACCCAACACAAATGGAGACCATTCAATTGATGCCACTTTGATGCAATCATGTCTGACCAAATATTAACTTTGACCAAATATTATCAGCTGCAAGTGTAGAGGGAGACCCACACATCAGACACAAGACAAGAAACTGACACAGGCTCCACAAGTGTGGATGCAAATACTGGGCCCATCAAGAAGCTGTTGCTGATGTCACACCAGATCTGTATGCTGGTCATCTCGACCACACCACATTGACACGTAAGTTTGTATTGAAATATATAAATTGCATTTCACTGTACTATACATTACTATACACTTGCAACTTTACAGCCAATTTTGCTTAAGTTGAGTGCCTGTTACTAACACAAATATTCATAAATACAATACCTCAAAATATTCATATAAAACATTTACAACTTCTGCAGACAGGTACATTTTTGTACATATGTTAAAGTTAACATTAACCTTGATATGAAAATAAAATGTCAATACATCTATATTCATGTATACATAATATGTATCTTAAAACTTTTATTTGCACTATTTTTTATTTTGCAGGATCGAAATCCTTATTACACTTACATTGCTGTACTGTTTCTAAGAAATTGCTTACGTGGCAATGGTAAGAACATTTATAATTCCTCTTATTGCTAATCTAAATAAAAAATGTCTAAAATACTTGTAGTCAATTTCAAAGTTACAATGTACAAGCCTAAGATGACTCAAATATGCAGCTATTATGCATGAAATCAATTGATAATTTTTCCACATTTTTCAGGCAACTGATGTCAGGGCAAACACTTCCAGCTCACATTCATAATAAGAAGCAACACAACTATGTGTGAATTTACAGCGGAAAGAGAGGCAACACACCCAAAGACTAATATAATACGAATCATGGAAGAACCAGCCATTGTACAAGTTAGTGAGCATACCATCGCTTTAATCAGGATGAGGTGGAAAAGCTGGACAGTAAATTTGTATTGAAATGATGCTATGCTATGATAAGCATCAGAAAGACTGTGGTGTTACATATCAGCAAGGATATCATTGAAATATGAATACATGAAGATAAGTTGCCATGTTTTGTCCATTGGTGTACGCACCAATAGTTTATAAAACACTCTCACGTGAAAATACATGAATCAATTAAAGTCTATAATATATCACTGGTGAAAGCAAGAAGGACGTTATTGATTTACTGTTTAAAACCAGGATGCACGTCTATGGCATTATCGCCCTTCTAGTTCTCACTGGACAATATATTGCACAAGTGAAACATCTCTTGAAGTCTCCTATTTCATGAATTGCTGAAACACTGCCCCAAAATGAAAGTTGGCAGATAACACATTGTTAAATGACCAATGCGCCTGTATCAGTATGAGCTGTAGTGTCTGTAACAAGCTACAGACAGTTGTAAATAAGTTAATTTTGACATCATATACTACATGTTTATGCACTAAAACAGAACGATTGTTTTGTTGTTATATGAAGCCGGTATTTTTCACTGATAACCTGACACTTTGAAGCATTTTATTGGAATTTCAGCCTTTAGTACCCCAAATTACAAGAATTCCTATATAAATTGATCTTAGGAATAATCTCTCAAAGGTTCTTGTTTCAGGACCAAATAATGTTCATAGACCAAAGTTGGCAGAAGAAAACACATGGCTAACATTCCATACTGGATAAATGAGTATCTGTCAATTACAAAGAGACCTGTAACAGGCTAAAGTCAATTGTAGAGCACTTAATCTTGATGCATCAAAATAGAATGAGTGTCTGTTTTTTTATATGGACATGGTGTAAAAGTATGTTTTGGTTAAAAAGTTTATAAGTAGTAGTATCAGCCAATACTATCAAATTTTTAAAATTTAAAAATTCATTTTACATGTTTTTCTTTTTAGCTTTTTGTACCTCGAACTGGAAAATTGCAATGAACAGATTTGAAAAAAATACCGTACTCTCTGTTGGTTTTTCAAATTTTAATTACCGGTAGGCCTCAAGATATGCAGCAACAACCATAATGACAGAAAAAGTAATTGGATAACTTATATATTGCATCAATGAATAGCATTATACATGTATAAAATGTAGTGTCCGCAACACCCTACAGGAATTTGTACATAAGTTATTTTTGGCAACTTATGATATGGAACAAGTCTTCCCAGCAATGTGATTTGTTTTTATATGTATACAGATGGGACTGAGGTTTGGAATTTGTCTTATTTACCATTGTTTGGTTGGCTGTTTAAAAGTTTCAGGTTTTGAAATAAATGGCATTTACTAGATTTGACCTTGTGTTACCTCCGATGTGAATACTGCGTCTATTTTATGGACTGGAGTGTGAATTGTTTTATTTTTCACAAATATCCCAGAAATTCCCCAAAGAAGTGCAAAATATTTGTGTATTAACCCTATATAGCCTCTACATATAGCCTCTACATTGTTCATGATAATTTGTTAACTCAAAAGAATCTTAGTTACCTTTTGTCTTTGCATGTCAGCCTGAATCACTCATTTTCGTGATTTGTGTACAAAACATGGAAAAGTCTGTGTAAAGTCTCTAAAAATGTCTCTGAGTAGCTGGCCTGCTGCTGGCAGGGTGATCTTGCTGCTGTTCACTCATACTATCTAACAGGGAACTGAAGCCTGTAAAATTCATGCTTGGCCTCTCCTGGGACGGTCTGTCTGGGGTGCTGGAGTCAATGGAGGGGGTAGATGATGGACTGACTAGCTGCTGGAACTGTTGCTGCTGCACCCATGCACCCTCCTGTGACCCCAACACAGGGATAGTGTTAACTACCTGGTAAGGCAGTTGTGATTGAGGAGTTCGCCGCTGCATGGGGCAGGGGTCACTGTCCTGGTTTGTGGAAAGGCCTGGTCTAGGTCGGAGTTCCTGTTGTTCCTGTTGCTGCTGGTCCTGCATGTCAACGTAGTGGTTGACGAGTTGTTGTATCTCGCGCTGGAAGTTGCGCCAGAGAGTCTTATCGAGGCCTGCCACTGCCTGCTTGACCCAGTCCAGGAAAGCATCCCGCTCCTGCATCTCCTGGGGCTTCTCGGGGCGGCCCAGCAACTGTCTCTGCAGGTTGGTGAACTGCTCCCTGCTACCAGCCAGGTTTGCTGCTATCACCTCATCAGATGATACAGTCTTGGTCCTGGAGGAGGCTGTCTCTACAGCAGCTGTTGGGGCCAACTTCTCCGTGAGCTGCAATAATAATAAATATCATGAGTAAATGATGAACATTTTAATTGTTATGCAATACTGCATGAAATATTGGAAATCATTATCAAATTTATTTAGCTTTTAAAGTGCCTTTTACGACTATAGTCGATATGCAAACTTAAATCCAATTCATTGCGTCTGATCAGGATCCAAGCTGTTTGCCCTCAGACTCTGTTTTTCCTAAAATAAAGTTAGCTTTTCTTCAAGACTCAAGCAGATGACAAAATTTGAAGCAGACATCCATTTTTCTGGCGCTTTAATGAATGTCTCTACTTACAATGACAGCGGTGCACTCGCGAAGGATCCAGTTGTCCCTTTCTGTAAGCTCCTCATCCACAGCAATGGATTGCTATTTCCTGAGCCGTCCATTCCTGGTTTGAATGCTGCTACACTATGATTTTGATGATGACATCTTAACCAAGCAGATTGGTCTGCTTCATCCAGAGATACTCTTTCTTCTGGGTTTCTTTATACCCTTCTTGTTGTACAGGACAGGGTGAAGTGCGCTGAGCCACTCTACCATAACCTGCTCCTGATCCTCTGTGAGGTCAGTCTGCAGTTTTCCGCATTTTTGTTAAAGAGCAATCGGATCCTCTTCTTCATCGGGGCTTGTGTATCAGCAGGGGGAGCTTCAGCAGAAAGAGTGGCATCACCCTCAACAAAAGAATGCTTATCTGGTTTGTTTAAGGCATCAGGATTTACGAGCCGTAGTGCATTGATCAAATAAAGAACAGATGTGCACCGTAGGAAGTCTCTAATATGAATTAAAAGTGAGCTGTGGTGCCAGCTTTTATATATAGGTGGCGGTTGAAGATTGGTCTGGATAAAAGCAGCGTGGCATCATTAATGGAGCGGGATGCAGTCTGGTAGGTCATTGTATGATCTGCATAAAGCCTCCATAAGGGCTTCATAGGATCGTCTTGCGTGTAGAGGGAGCTTAGTGGAAACATGGTAAAAGCATAATTAAAACAGCTCAAAATAGTTGCAGACGGTGCTGAGATTTTATTACGATTCTACCACACTGCTTGTACGACAATTAGTTAAATTAGAACTGATTGATTATTTACTATTATAAATCTATGTATCTAGTACCTATTATTGCTTAGTCCTCTAAAAAAAGCAGACCATCGAGAAAAAGAAAGTCACAACTGTGCATAACCCCCCCCCCAAAACTCTGCCAACCTCCAGCTCACGCACGCACACATAATCATCCTCTCACAAGCAGCCGAAGAACAAACTTGGGACATGTTGCCAGTCAAGGAGAGGGGACGGAGGGAGGTACATAGAAAGATACATAGATTTATATAGTAAATAATCAAATCATTTCTAATTTAACTAATTTACCTCAATAAATCAATGTATCGACCTATTATTGCTCAGACCAACACAGATGAAAGCGGGGGGGGGGGGGGGGGGGGGGGGGGGGGGGGGCATGTCCCAAGAAAGAGGTTTAGCAGGGGAATCAGGAAAGATGTTGCCGCAAACAACGTCACTGTAGCAACCGATTCTGCACCTGCTGCAAATCCCTTAAGGAAAACGGCTGAAGGAATCAAGAGAATGTCAAAAGGCAGTTTCGCAGTGACGCAAAAAACGCACCTTGAAAGAGAGCAGCAGGTACCAATATCCGTGGCAATCGTGAGACCACGGCCCGGCACAAGATAAATAGGTCTCAGGACCCGCAGACTGGATGTCTTTGACAATCCATCTAAAGAAGGATTCCTAAGAAGGCAGACAAAGGGATCACAGGATAACAAAGAGTCGATTGTCACTGCGGCAAGTCTTGGTTATTTTGAGATACCGGTAATAAACCAACGCCCATCTGAGACTACATCTCACCTCCAGTAATAGAGGAGAAATTAGCAATAATAATCTTCCTTTAAATAGCTCTTCATATGTCTACGAAGAATCTAAGTGCTTGGCAGCACAATTAATTTGGACGTCAAATGCAGGCCTGCCTGTGTTTTGAGAAAGCACCTTTCCCAAAACCTGAGGAAAGCCAGCAAGAGAGTTGAAAACTACAACTGGTCCGGACGAGGGCGACCGGTTTAGGCAAAGAGGGCTTAAATAGAAACCCTACGCCACACCCCTCACCACGGGAGTGACCCGGGGAGATACATGGGGCATAAAGAGATCCTCTTTCCTGCCCGGGAGAAAGGCAGAGGGGAGGAGGAGCTAGCTTCTGAGCAGGACAGCGAACTGTGCACCTATCGGCACATGTGGGGCGAATAAAAGCCCTCAAGCCTGATCCTCCTAAATTTCCCGAGGCCTGGGGAAACCCTGACAATCTCCCAAGGTAAGAGAGACGGTACCCAGTGCCTGAGCTTCTTGAACCCGAGCCCGAGGGCAGACCCTCAGTATATGAACTTAACGAACGGTCTCTAGCGGAGCCCAAGCTGATACAAGAGAACCAGAGATTCCCGGGAGGAAACCACTCCGAAGCGAGAACCTTGCCCCAGAAGAGGCTACCTTTAATCAGATAGACCTAAGGGGGATATGTAAAAGATAAGTAAAAAAATTCCCAGGGACGAGGCCTGTAGAGATAAGGACCGTGCGAGCCAGCAAGGGATCGCCAGAATTGACAGGGCAAAGTCAGAACAATGCTGACGTTGATTCCATAGCGTTGATGTGCAGAAGCACATTCTGATAACCCTCAGGATTAGCTGGGGAAATGTGTCCAAGAGATATTTCCCAAAGGAAGTCTGCGCATCAGTCCCCAAAGACTGGTCAGCAAACACAGATGCCGAAGTCAACTGCAAGACAAGGTTCCAGACAGACTCATGGCTCTGGAAAAAACCAAAACCCCAGAGGGGAAGGGAGAGACCTGATCCTCTCACGGAGGAGGAGCAAGGGTAGTGGGAGATGGGAGCCTAGCACCACCAACATGCAAAAGGCCTGGGAGAAAAGCTAACCACAGCACAGAGCCTGCAAAATTCTGTGTCTTGTATTGGTGGTAACGTTGGTGTGCCCGTTAGTTGGGCTAGTTCTGTTGAATTTTACCTTCCCGGCCACTGCCCGTTGCTCCTCCTTGAGGTCCTTCATGCGTTTCCCAAGTTCATCTTCAAAGAGAGACTTTGTCACTGGAGCTGAAGGCTTGCAAAGATGGCTGTAAGCCGCGATCACTTCCAGCTTAATGAATTCTTTCCTCAAACTATTCAATTCATAATTGGCATTACAGATTAATGCCAAAGAGTCTTGCTGAGATTTTGTGATTGTCTGAGATGAAAGCGACTGCGCAAAGGCTGGCAGTCTTCTGGTCCGAGACTTTGAACTCTCTGTAGTTAAAAGTCTCGAGAGCGAGCTCGTTGAGAACGGTTGTCCCAGTTTGCCGAGTTGACTTTGGGGGTGTCCAAATATTCACAATTACTTGGGGGCAAGTACTTGGCCAAAGTATCTGAAAGGACTTTTTCTTCCAATCAATCCATAATTAAATATGAGGCTGAATTTGCAATGTCCTCATCAACTGGTTCTCCCACTCCCATTTGTAGAGCAGACTTTGCTGCGTTTTTAGGCATACAAGCCTCCAATGTCTGCTGTTTATCCAGTATGTATTGCTCCACATCGGCCGAGACAACGTCATCTCCTGATTTCCATTTTGTGAGGGGCCTGGAATGGCCGGCACCACACTGGCCAGCAAGGCTTCCATACTATTCATGCAAAGTTCCATGGCTGTAATGCCTGAAACCCCCACATTTTCTTCTCTATTTTGTTCACCCGGGGGTCTCGAGACCATCGCCGAAGCCACAGACTTTGGCATAATTGAATTTTTTCTTACAACCACGCGCGACAAACTTCCAATGCAGAAATGTCCATTCCTCATACTGTTTTTTTCCATATTAGGACCTATAGTTTATTTACTAGTAGGTATTTTGTTGTTGTTTTTGTTGTATCATTGGCGTTTCATTCTATTTGAGAATATTTTTCTCTTTAAGTATGTTTTAACGATAGTTTTCTATTGTATTTGTGATCAAGATAACATTTTATGGCAGTTGTTTGATGTGCGGTATGTAAAAAAATATATAACAAATTACCGGTATTTAAAAAAGGTATTTTACTACCGTAATTTGGAGGAAAAAACAGAGTAATTCCGGGGAAAAACAGAATGGTTGGCAGCGCTGTCTTATTTTTCAAAGTATGATTTGTGCGATGGAAAGTTACTTTCTATTAGCCTGAGCTGTGAAGAAAGACTGTGCGTATGCGCCAAGAGCGGGATCTGAAGTGGTCTCTTCAACGAGACTCACAAAATAAAATCATATTTGATCCTTACCCTAAATTTAGGTTGTGATCTCTCTTTTGTAAGGAGAGGTGATCGTATCGGAGATGAATATGTTCTGACATGACTCTCATCCACATCTGCTTCTCTGCTCTTCTTTTTACCTAGACAACGAAAGGCATAGAGAACAATCCAGATTTATCAGTTTGTATTGTTACATTGTTTGTTAGAATAATCACATACAAGGAATGATAATTCAAAGGCATATACATCATTTAGGATTTAGAATTTTCCCATATTAAATTTACAGTTACAGAGAGGCAAATCTTCACTACAGGAGATAGAGGAACCAGGCAGTGGCTTTCACTTAATGGCCCTGTGTCCCTTTTGCAGAATACTAAATTCACTAAAACTTTGCCTGAATCACATGTATGTTATGTAGGTCCTGTCTCTGAAATTTGAAAGTAGAGTACACCCATGCAGTAAAAGAGGGTCTGAAAGTAGACAATAGCCTGGAAACTCCTATCCATGTAAAAAAAAGGACAAACATGTCCAAGCTATCATTGATTACAAGGATAAACTGACTTAATTATTTCTCCTTGAACATCGCTCTGCTCGGTACCACAGCTGCAGGTAAAAGCATTACCTGGTACATAACTTATAACATGTGAGGAGAATCTGAAGAATATTCCTGTTATTTGAACTAAACACTTACAGCATATTGACAATGAGCTTGATTACTCACCTTTTAACTTTATTTTAATTTTTGATCCATATTACTCCTCAATTTCTTTTTGTTTTGATGATTAAAATTGCTTATGCTTTGTTATTTGAATATTGTTGAACCAATGTCTTATTTGTGTTTTCTTTACTTTCTTCAACTTCACTTTGCCTTTTGGAAACTTAACAAATTTGTACTTGATTATTGTACCAGTGAATACTTAATTATAATCCATTGTATGTATACTGTTTCTATATGTCTTACTTGCTTAACAAGTGAATTTGTATGTTATGGCTGATGTTATAAATGAAAAATATTCCCAGATACTTAACTCGATGCCCCTGCTTTCAATTCAAAATAATTATAAAGGTGAATTTTCTAGTTCTTTTTCATTACCGGTAGTACATTTTAATTGCAGTAGTTTATCACAAAATGTTGACAACTTGAATCTTTTCCTCAGAAGTATATATCAACTCTATATGATTTAAATGGTCATCAGTTCAAATAACAGAGAAAATAAGCGAGAGGGTGGAGCAGGAGCTTATGTTCATAATACTTTAAATTATTCTTTAAGAACTGACTTATAGTAGCCCTCATTTGCACACGCTCCCTATTTTTGTTGAACTTCCATGGGTAGAGGGTATTATTGGTAGGCATGAACATACTCCTGTTTAAATTTGAGAACAAACGGACCAATCTTTTGTATATGAGAAGTAAAAAGATTTTTTATTTTTCATTTCCAATCTAAATAGTCTGTTTGCTCTAATAATTGAACAATGTTGTTCTCATGCCACATGGCATTGCTCTTTATCATGGTCCAGTCACAACAACGACATACAAATAATGACAGATTTATTATGACATTCCTACCACAAGTTCATAATTATAATACTAGCAATCCTGATAACTATTTTATTGAAAAATGTTCATTAACAAGTTCTTTATTTACTTTTAGACACACTGGCCCGAAAATATGGAATTCTCTCCCCAGAGATATATGTGATACTACTTTCTTTAACTCTTTTAAATCTAAAACTAAAAAATACTTCATCTGTTTTTAAATCTATACTAAGTTTTGCATGTTAATACGTCTCCTATGTTTTGCACACCGTTTTGTTATTGTTATATTTTTTATAGCCAATTGTTGGAACTTGTAAGTTGGATGTATCTTTTAATAACAGGGACTGCCTCGACAGAACCTTATGGTTTTATTTGCAGTTTCCCCAATTCATTTCTATTTATGCTAATTAACTTTGTATAATTCCGGTGTATTTGTAGACATGTTTCCATTTTGTGTGTGTTCTGTGTTTTCTATATTGTTTATAATCTGTATCTTATATGTTTTTTATGGATTTGAATTGAAAAAAAACTTGAACTTGAACTTGAAGTATGTCCTGAGTAGGCGCTCTCAGAACAAAGGCGCCTCATTTTAATTATGAATATGCAATCAGTTAATACATAACCTACACTACAAAAAAAAGTGTTGATTATAGAAAGAAAGGGATAGTGGTAGAGAGAGAAAGAGAGTTAGAGATGAGAGAGGAGACAATGTGGATTAGTGAGAGATAGAGAGATAAATTGATTGGGGGGGGGGGGGGGAGGACATACATAGAGAGAGAGAGAGAGGGGGGTATACAAAAAGGTTGTAATGAGAGAGGGAAGGGGGTGTAGAGAGAGAGAGAGAGAGAGAGAGAAAGAAAGATTAAAAAAGAGACAGTGTGGATTAGAAAGAGAGATAAATTGGGGAGGGGGATATACATACATGAAGAGAAAGGGGGGCCGCATATACACAAAATGGTCGTAAAGAGAGAAGGTGGGGGGGGGGGGCGTAAAGAGAATGTCTATTACCCTTCGCAGATTTTGTGGGCGTACGGGCCGCACTTTTGCTGGGGGAGTATTGTCTAGTGCCTTAATTTTAGTGCCCAAATATTTACTGATCCTTGCCCGAATATGGCTGATGTTAGTATCTAGCAGGCTTTAAGGGGAAGGGGAGGGGCTGGTCGTATAGGCAGGTGGTTGGTGTGCACAGGTTCTGAACTGCATGAAATATCACAGGGGGACTATAAGTGGTCGTTATAGACAGGGACCGTATCTAGTTTATAGTTTCTAAAAACTTTCTACGCAAAACTACATGTACGGTAGTTGTAAAAAATAAGTTTCGTTTACGCACACATAATACATGGATGCTAATTTAGAGCCTGCCTTTATTGGCGAGTGGCCGCGGCTTAGTATCATTCCATTCAAAATCCGTTTTCATAAGACCAAACGTCTAAATTAAATGACATATCAAAGTAGATAACATTCACAAATACATGCAGTCTCGAAAAGTCAATATTTCAAAGAACAAAACATGCGTGTCTACATCCCTCTACCTCTCTCTCGCCCACAAACAACGGACCTCTGCATTGATTGCGATTCACACATTTTCTCTTTCAAAAGCAAGTACATTTCACTTAAAGGTAATACAAAGTTTGGGGAATTTTGAAAATTGGGTGGATAGTGATTCTATACAATTTTGATATATTTGGATGCCCCTGTGGATGTATTGGAAGCACTAGAAAATTTAGCCCCTAAAAGACTTCTGCTTTCGAGAAAAATTGGATATAAAAATTTACCGGTGCTCCCTGTAAATTTTGATAAAATTTTGAATAGCGACTACGGCCGTACAATGGTAGCTGCGACCATGAAAATCTCATAATATGTAGTTGTGATAGATAATTTCCAAACGGGAATAGCTAATTGGTCGATTTATGTCAAGAAACATTGTTGTATAGCTTAATTAATATCTTGACTTTGAGAGGGAGCTATACAACATAAAGAGTTTATTATCTGAAATTTCACAACTTTAGACTCAATTTCAAACGCGACAAGGATCAATGAATATTGTAGGGTCGCATATGCTTCTAATATGTTCATTTGAACCAAATTCACGACCCCATACCAAAACTTTGTATTACCTTCAAGAAGGGAAAGCCACTGACTGCTGGAAGGAAGGAATTTTACTGGCAAAATAATTGAATGAGTTCTTGCCCCTTTTGATCAGAACGGGCGATAAATAGAAACTTTGTGCCTCACAAGAATTAGGTAATACAATAACATGCATGATAATCGCCCCGTTCTTGCCTCTTTCAGCGGGAATGCGTACTTCACGCTTGCGTTTTCTAAACAAAGGATGGGTATGCGATGAATGGAGAGGGTTTAAATAACACGTACCGGTACCTCAAGCATTCTTCACGTTCGCGTTCTCTAACAAAGGAGGGTTCACGACCATTCCATACGCGGGAGAACACATAGAGGAATAAATTTGTCTTCCCTTACATGGTCTGATTTCAGCTTTCTGTTCATTCTTATGATTATGTCCGATGAGAGCAAGAAAAAAATGTTCAGTACATGTACAGGGGTATGTCCTATTTTCTTTCCTATTTTTCGATTTTGCAGTACCAATCATTTCTTTAGTTACAATGTTTATAATCTACAAATCTCCACATATTCTCCTCCGCAATAAATACAAGGCAGATTTTGGTCCTAAATTCAAATAGCACAAAATGTTCTACTTCTTTCCATTCACATGCCATCAAGAATGCTTGTTTATTCAAAGGATCATACTTACTGCCTGATCTTTCTGCAGGTTTCTGCTGGAAAGCCTGTTTCTTGATCCAATCAATGCACTCTCTTAGTTTTCTACTCTCTGAAGGAATGATTGCATCAAGGCACAGGAAATCATGGCACGGGTAACACCTACATGTATATCATGGGAGGAAACAAAAAAGAAATTATAACCAGAACGTCAATGACGTAGCGCTCATCCGCATCTCGAAACAACAAATTTCGTAAATTTTATGTGGTACACTTTTGAACTGGTCAAAAAATAAAAATTTGATGCCCTGGAAGGGACATAATTCTGTGTAGAATTTTAGTAAACCAAATTTAGCTCTACCAGATAAAGCAAACCAAATCAAAATCGGTCAAGAAATGAGGGAGAAGAAGCAATTTTTGTTTTTTTCTGGAATAAATTTGCATACATTACCATAATTCATTAATGGAGAAAAATTTCAAAATTCTGCGTAGAGGTGTAGTGTACCAAAGTTAGCTCTATGATATAAAGCAAATCAAAAAGAAATCGGTCAAAATATGAAGGAGAAGAAGCATTTTTTGTGATTTTTTAAAATTATTTTTGGAATAAATTTGCATAAAGTACCATAAATAATCAATGGAGCAAAATCTCACAATTCAGTATAGAAGTTTAGTGTTCCAAATGTAGCTCTACCAGATAAGGTAAACTAAATCAAAATCGGTCAAGAAATGAGGGAGAAGAAGCAATTTTTGTTATTTTTTGAATAAATTTGCATAAATTACCAGAATTAATAAATGGAGAACAATTTCAAAATTCTGTGTAGAAATTAAGTGTACCAAAGTTAGCTCTATGATATAAAGCAAACTAAATCAAAATCGGTCGAAATATGAAGGAGAAGAAGCTTTTTTTTGTGATTGGAATAAATTTGCATAAATTACCATGATTAATCAATAGAGCAAAATCTCAAAATTCTGTGTAATTGTTTAGTGTACCAAAATTAGCTCCACCAGATAAAGAAAACCAAATCAAAATCGACCGAGAAATGAAGGAGAAGCATTTTTTGTGATTTCAAATAAATTTGCATAAATTAGCATACATGTAGATTTAGATAATGAATTTCAAGATTCTGTGTAGAAGTTTTAAATCCCCCTCCTAGCCCTATCATATGAAACAATCAGAATCAAAATCGGTTGAAAAATGGACGGACGGACGGACGACGCCATGGCATAAGCTCATCAGGCCCTTCAGGCCGGATGAGCTAAAAACTGAAATACATACTGCCCAGGGGCGTACGCAGGGGGGGGGGGGGGAGGTTTGGGGGTTCAAACCCCCCCCCTTTGGTATTTTTATGTGTGTAAACCCCCTAAAAAAACCTAAAACCAGGCACGCCTGGGCCCCTTGAGCCTATAAAAATAGCTAGGCCTGTTGTATCAGTCGATATATCTATAATATTAAGAGAAATGAGCATTGCACTGTTAAATAGGTACATTATAATATTGCCTGCTAGTAAACCCTTTCAGAAGCAATTGCTTGGATATTTTTTTTTTGCCATCAGCTAAATAAAATATAGGGTTAACTGAATTGTTACGAATTCATGATATATAAATACTCGCCACACAGTCCAATTTGACAAGCAGACAACTAGGGGATGTGAGTTTGACCTGGCTGTTTCAAAATGTTTCAAGGCGTGCTGGGCTGGACTATAACGAGAACATCCCTGTTTAATGAAAAGTACATATATCTTTTGATACTGTAAAGAAACACAGCTTGGAAAAGAAAACTGGATCAAATATTTTGATAAGCTCTTGAATTTAAAGGACAAGTCCACTCGAAAAATAACTTACTTTCAATAAAAGCAGAAAAATCAGACAAACCAATCAAAAAAAGTTTGAGCAAAATTGGATAACTAATAACAAAGTTATGAATTTTTGAAAAAGTATTTAAAACTATGGAACAATGAGAATCACAACACAGATTGCCAAGATCAGTTTGTGACGTGATGTCCTCACTATTTATCAATTGCTCTTTATATGGTTTAATCCCATTAATTTCACTTTTTATTCCCCACGCCTTTGCCCAGGTTCTATGATTTGTATCATATTGCGTGCATGACATTTCACAAAATCTTACATAAACTTTGAAGAATTTATAGTATTTTCTGAATACTGTATATTCATAATTATTGATTTTTATATAAATAGTTTATCAAAAGTCATATTTTTCATGATTTAACTGGAAAAATTACTCTATATTAGTGCATCTACACATAAATATATTACTATTAATCTAACTTGGATGCTGGTGTGTGAAGAAATACGATTCTTAAGGAGAAAATAGGAAATTGACATCAATATAAGGAAAATAATTAGTGGATAGTGAGGACATGACGTCAAAGACTCATGAGTGAGTTGCTAATTTGTCTAGTGATTTTCAAAGTTTTTAATGTCATTAAAAATTCAAAACTTTCTTATTACTCATCCGATTTTGCTCAGACTTTTTCTGATTGGTTAGTCTGATTTTTCTGCTTCTATTGAAAGTAAGTTATTTTTGGAGTGGAATTGGGCTTTAAGGAGAATTAGATGAGCTTCAAATTTAAACAAATGTCTTATGAAATGATTTAATGTACAAAAGTCTACAAAGCCTTAAACAATTCAATATAATTGTGTTTCTGGAGACATTTACAAACATTCTATTCCAAAACATAAACAAAAAGCTTTATGCAAAATATGATAATAGATATTTAGGATCTTTGTATAAATACCACATAAATGCCAGCAGAGGAAATTCTTTTTATAATTTCAATAATTCAATCGCTACTTTAATATCAATGAAATTATCTCCTCCCCTCTTTTCATACACAAAATAAAATAGACATTTCTAATAAGATCCAGACTGTTCATAAAATGAAAGCATTTGTTCCAAATGGGCAGTTTCACTTTCCTAAGGATATACAGTATGCATACACCCTGAGGATGTACATTACGTAAACATTTATCAAAACTCTCCTTCCCACTTCACGCAAGTAAGTTAACTCTTTTATGTGTGCATGTAAGCGAATGGCAAGTGTCTGTTTTTGGGGAGTAAAATGTGAATCATATCCAGCCAATCAACTATTCAATTAAATTCAATTAAATTTGCATTTATTTCATTCTCGATTAAAAATTACATTGATACAAATTCGTAAAAAAATTTAGAAAATGAAATGGGGAACTACATGTACATAAATAAAGCCCTAAGGCCTTGTACAAGCGTAGTTCCCAAAGCATTCATAGCATATGTAAAGCAAAGCAAAGATAAACAAAAACAAAACATTAATAAAAAAGAAACAAAAAACATAATACACAAATGTAAACATAAGATAAATTACTATACATATTTGAGATAAAGAAACTGCTTCGACTTTTTTGAAGGCATTAACTGACTTGGATTCAGAAACATCTTTGGGGATGGATTTCCAAATCACAGAGAAATTATGTTGTACTGATTTTATTACCTTATTTGTTTTTACTGGCCATACTGTAAGTGAATAGAATTCCTAAAACGGGTATTGCGATTATGTATCTGGTAATTAAAGGGACTTGGTAACATTGTAAAGATGAGAGATAGTGGTGTTAAGGTAGTGACTTCAATGCTAGATGTACAATTAAATATTATCTGAAAATTTGAGTGAAAACGGACCATTATTAATGATATAAATTGGGAAAAACTGATCGATTCCTTAATTCTTCCAACTATATTATTACAATTAAATTACATTTAAGGTGAATGTAAATCGTCACAAAGCAATAAATTGACTTTTGATCTACATACCATTTCAGAAATTTAAGTGTTGACAGATTTTAATAGCCTGTTTTATGTTTTTTTTTCATGAAAAAAGGTTGGGAAAATTCAAAAATGGTTGGGATAATTTATTGTTAATCACTGTTGGAGATCACCAGTGATGACTTCAAAGAAAGCCATAGATATCTCTGTGGTTTGAGAATATTTTCAGGATTTTTTGCATGTCAGAGGGTTACAATACCCCAAAAGGAAAAACCTGTTGAACCAGTTAAAGCCAACTGGTAACCCTGGAAATTGAAATGGGCCAGTTGACCCAGACCAGTTGAATTCTAACTGGACCAGTTAGGATTTGACCAGTTGAATTTTAACTGGACATGATGAGCTCCAGGACCTTTGACCTCATGACCCCAAAATCTAATCAGTTTATTGGTTCAGCAAGATATACATGTATACATGTCCTGAGTTTGATGGTAATCTGTTCATCAGTTCTAATGATGTGATCACGAGCTTTTTTTGCATACATAATGAGCCCCATGACCTTTGACCTCTAACTCCAAAATCTAATCAGTTTATTAGCTCTAAATTAAAGATACATACATACATGACCTCTTAAATTTTGGCAGGAATCCATCAATCGGTTCTTCAGATAATGCAATCATGAGCTATTTTGGAATACTGTATAAGCTGATATTTTTCACGTACAGATATTTTTGCGACTGACAGGCTAAGAGAAATTTCTGCGAGTCCTTGCTATCGCAAATAGTTGCTCTCTAAAAATATCACACAGCAGAATCAATGAATGGGCATTCACAAAAGTCCTTACGCCAACACATACACATACAGACTCAGTACGCACAGGTTTGAGCATGATGCATGATGCACGTAATGCATGATAATGCTTGATTAAAATACCAAGTATTCCAATTGTTGACAAGTGTTACAAAAAAGTATGAGACTTTTGAAAAATAAGAACTTCCCCACTTGCCGTCGCAGAAAGTGGAATCATGGAGTGAGTGTTGCAAGTGGTGCTACACACAATAAACTGTGAGTAGCATGCTAAAGTGAGTGGGCATAAACATGTACGGAGAAGTCGCCAGGCAAATGGCGCTGGCGATCGAGAGGGCTCATGAACATAATTTTAAGCTGATATTTTCATGTGTTGAAAAATTTGCGATAATATGCAATTCGGGAAAATAACAGCTAGTACAGTACCGTAAATCTCCGTGTATAAGGCGCACTTTTTTGCCGCCGAAAAAATTTGAAAGTCGGGGGTGCGCCTTATACACAGGCACAGAGAATTTTATTTTTTTATTTATTTATTTTTATTTTTAATAGTTTCGATTTATGGCGCTATGCCTGGCAATGTCTCCCAGCTCAGTAATCAGTGTGTTGACTCACGACTCGAAAACTACAACAACACTCAAATTTGTCTGTCATCTTGGTTTGAAAGTAATCTTTCTAATAGATCTCAATATGTAGTTTATAATAATAATTCCTCAAATATTTTTTCTATAACAAATGGTGTACCACAAGGTGCACCATTAGAACCATATGTACTCTTTTGTTTTTAATTTTCATTAATGATCTTACACATTCTTCTAAAAACGACATTGTTACTATTATTTGTGACAAGTTCACCCAGCACAAATCAGACCCTTCAACTGCACCTCGATGTAAAATGAAGGTCCTTCCCGCGTGGGTTTTTTTTTTTTTTTTTTCCTTCTCCAAAATAGGGGTGCGCCTTATACACAGGTGTGCCTTATACACGGAGATTTACGGTACATAATGAGCCCTGTGACCCCAAAATCTAATCAGTTCATTAGCTCTGAAAAGATACATACATGACTCAAGTTTGGCAGGAATCCATCAATCGGTTCTTGAGATAACGCGATCAAGAGAACGGGAAGTACGGACGGACAAACAGACAACCCAAAATGCATACCGTAAATCTCCGTGTATAAGGCGCACTTTTTTGCCGCCATAAAAAAATTGAAAGTCGGGGGTGTGTCTTATACAGGTACAACAATTTTTTTTTTTTTTTTTTTAGTATTGATTTATGGCGCTATGCCTAGCAATGTCTCCCAGCTCAGTAATCAGTGTGTTGACTCACCACTCGGAAACTACAACAACACTCAAATTTGTCGGTCGTCTTGGTTTGAAAGTAATCTTTCTAAACGATTTCAATATGTAGTTTATAATAATAATTCCTCAAATCAGCACCTTAAATTGCACCTCGATATTAAATGAAGGTCCTTCCCTGCGTGGTTTTTCGACAAAAAAAAACAAAAAACGGTTGCGCCTTATACTCAGAGATTTACGGTAATGCCTTCGGCTACTTCGTAACGGAGGCATAAAAACGAACAACCAAACTTACCTGATTTCCACAGGCTAAACAAAGCCAGATGACAGGCTCATCATCTTCCTCTTCCATATAGCTATCACCAGCACACAACTGTAAACAGAACAGTGACAATGAATGTGTTTTCATTTCTGGAACATGCACAGCTCTTAAGTTTGTACAAATACATTGCGCAATATAAGAAATCCCATTGAAAGAATAATATTGCGACATTTGCAAAATAAGGAAATTGTTTTTAACAGAAACATAAGGTGGATCATTTTCCCTCAAATTAGGGATGATAGTGAGGACACTGTTCTGGTGAATACCTGTACCCTTTGTCACTCGGTGTTAAAAGTCAAGCCCTGGAATGCGATTGATTTAGATCAATCGCAAGTCCTCCAATCAATCGTAGGTTTGCAGTCTCCTATCTCTTATGTACATAGTTGCGATTGATATCAACTCTTTGTAAGACGGGGCCCTGTCATGCCATTCTCAAGCTGTCTCAATAAACGGCTGCCTTTCAGATTTTGTACCACTTACATGCGGAGTTCCGCAAGGCTCTGTGGGCAGGCACACGATGTTCTCGTTATATTTAACCGGTTTGAAGAATATTTTTCATCACCATTCTCTCTCTTATCATGTTAATGCTGATGATATTCAAATATATACTTCTTTCAAACCCAATCAGAGCAATGCAGCCAGCACTATCCATAACATTGAGAGTTTTTTTTATTTTATTTTATTTATATGTTTTATTGACCATTCATAATCACATTTTTACAAACTCATAGGAGAAATTACAGTCTAAACAAAAAGAAAAAACAAAAAAACAAACAAACAAATAAAACACAGCAGCAACAATTTATAGGAAAGTATAAAACAATGTAAAGCTAAAGTCATAACTCAGCCGCGGGGGGCTCGGGGAAACGGGCTCCTGTATAACATTGAGAGTTGTGTACAAGATGTTCATAATTGGTTAAACTCACATTCACTAAAATTAAATCTTGCCAAATGCGAATTTATAATGTATGGTTCTAATACCCCATTCACAGTGGTTTTGAAATTTGTAGCGGCGTTGTAGCGGAGCGGCGACACCGCCATAACACCGCTACAAATGCATTCACAGTAGAAAAGTTATCCCGCTGCAGCAGCGGGATAAATATCATGTACCCATTCACGCTGCAGCGGGTGATTTTTATTACCTCCGTAACAAACACGTGTATGCATGGCTCATGACCCGCGAGTGACCCCGATATGACCGGAAATACTTGCTTGAAATTGCGCGGTAAACATGTCAAGTTGCTTTTTGTATCCTCGATCATATTACTTTTTAAAAAAACTAGCATTTTTATTGCTTCCAGTCAGAATATTTTAATTTTTTGAAGTGTGAAATATTTTTATTTGGATAATTATAATACCTACATAATAATAAAATCAATTTGAATCCACTGGTTACTTTATTTCTATTTCACTTTATGTTCCCCATTGCTGTAGAAAAGAGGTCAGTGATAGGTAAGTAAACAAATCACACGTGTTTGTCGCGGTGTTATAGCGGAGAGCCTTCACACTGAGTAAACACCGCGACAGCAGCGGGACTGTCCCGCTGCTGTAACTAGGCGTCCCTAGCGATAGTTTGTGTCGGCGTTATCGCTAGGCGGTGTTATCCCGCGATAGTTTATAACGGGTCCGAGCCTTCACACTGAAGACAACACCGCGACAGCAGCGGGACAGTCCCGCTGCTGTCGCGGTGTTTGAGGCCACTGTGAATGGGGTATAAGACTCAGTTAGAGAAGATTTCTATCACTTCAATTACCCTTGCTAGACATGAAATTACCCTATCCAATGTATGTCACAACCTTGGTGTGTTTCTCGACTCAAATGTCTACACAAATTCAATATGTCTCAAAATCAGTCCAGTATCAGTTACGTAATTTGGGTTTTATTCATAAATATCTTAACCGTAGAAAATTACTCATGCTTTAATTTCATCTCGCTCTTCCAAGTTGGAAAGAAAGGCGGAAAGAAATATATCAGGCCGGAAATTTGACACCCAAAATAATACAAAATGGACAGAAAATTGGCATCCCTGTTAATAGTTAATCGATGCTCACATCTTAGGGGACTCATTTAGTGTGAATTTCCATGAAGTAAAATAAAACCACTTCCATACATGCCAACATTTGAAAATCAGAAATCTGTACACTATGTGCGCGAAGCGCACATCACGAGCGCGAAGTCCTTTTAGCCGGAGTCCAGGGCCCGCTTTAGGGCCCTGGAAGCTCTGGGTTTCCAGATGCTCTCTGGTGCAATCTGAGCCTATTTTAGGGACCATTTCCCCTAAAATTCAACCCAAGTTTATGGGTAATTCTTGTGTCATACCAAACAAAAAAGTGATTGAAGTGAATTCCACATTTTAATTTATCCTTGGCAGAGACAGAGCAGATAATAGACATAGATTTAATTAGCCACTCATGCAGAGTGATGCATTTAAGTCTAGTTACTTTTTAAATAATTATACATGACATAGATCTATGCATAAAATGAGACTAGCAATAATGGTATTCAACTTTCCAGACAACAGTCAACAATCCAAAATTATTGTAACTCATTGAGCTACATGTAAATGAGGTTGTCAAAATCAATGTCAGCAGAACAAGACATTTTGCCGACAATAAATGCAGTAGAATCTATGCATATTCCTCCCCTTTTGTGCTTGCTCTAATAAAGGGAAATCGTTCCTTGTATTCCTGTTTGTACTTCTGAATTCGTCTTGCTGCTGTTCCGCTCATTTTGACAGATTTTCTTCCGAGACAAATCACAAATCACAAAGTATACGGTACCTCGAAACACGTACTTTGCATGGGGACCCTATGCATATACGGTGCGCTAGCGAATGCATGCATATGCTGATATGCGCATGCAAACGTATAGAAATTATACTTACGAGATTTGCCAGCGCAAGTATTTACGTACGGAAATGTTACGTACGGAAACACATATCAGAGTGCACGTGGCGCGCAGCAACACGCTGCCACTGTACGTACATATCAGTGCACGCTGCACGCACCTTGCGCAATGCAATCCGTTCAGCACTCGATCGGATCAATGCTATGTATGGAAAGCCAAATTCCCCAAAATCGGAACGTTCCGTTTTTTAGGGCTATAAAAACTTCAAAAACGGAACAGTTCCGTTAAAATCGGAACGGTTGGCATGTATGCACTTCATACGTGTAACAATGTCATAAGAAAAGGCCACAGATAAATCACTACTTACTGAACACTGTCCAAAGCCATGATTCTTGAGAGCCTTCTTCACATTGTTCAAGCTGACAGAATTATTCAGATGAGTGCATTCGTCACCTAGTAGACAATCAGAAAATGTTTATTCAATGTATCGCAATCACTTCCAAGCATGAGTAATTCTCCCTATCTCTGTAATTACCAAGAACTGCAAATACATACTAATCTCTGTGCCCTGTTGCATAAAACATGCCACTGATGGTAACTTACTAACTTTGTCATCAACATTAACTAGTACTACAATGGCAACATCTTTTAACAGCCAATCAAATCAAGGATTTCATGGAAGTTACCATTAATCAAGAGCATTTCAATTTCAAATTAATTGTTTTTGTCCAATGAAACTTTGCTTTGCTCACATTTTCCATACAACTTTACATACCATAATATATAAAGATATCATAGCAAATATAGATATCTAGACATAGATACATGTACATGTATAACATGATAAATACAATATATGAACAAAAACAGTATTCCAGTATTTCCTTTGACTTGTATTTGATGGAGGTGGAAATATGTACCATGACTGAGAAAATGGTATACTAAAGAGCTCGATACAAAGTAGAAAACTGATTGTAAGTACAAATAGGAACAACAGCAAAGTTGCCATCAGTGTTAAGTTTTATGCAACAGAGCCCTTAAATTTTTAATCTATCTGACGCACCATTGACACTAACCCTGCAAAATTAAGCTATTTGCTCATAAGCCAAGGAATAGGATATTAAGTCACTTTAATCTTTCTTCAAAAATTAGCACATTTCTAAAATAGTTTTTCTTCTTTCAACTTAAATCCAATTAATTTGAGGATTCCTACCAAAAATAGATAATTCCACTACATCTCTGGTTGAAAATTTGTGGCCAGGGCTCTCCTCTAATTTTGTTGGAAGGGGGTCCAGAATTATTTTTATGTAAAAATGTTAATACATGTTTATTGAGGGTCCAGAGTAAAATTGGGGGGGGGGGGGGGCCTAAGTGTCCCGGTCCTATTGGTGTCGAACTCTATCTAAAATACAAAGGGATGGTACAAATACATACCTTTAACAGTTTCTTCATCAGATGAATTGTGGTAGTCCGTTTGTTTCTGCTGGAAAGCCTGTTTCTTGATCCAATCAATGCACTCTCCTAGTGTTCCACTCTCTGAAGAAATGATTGCATCATCGCACAGGAAACCATGGCACTTGTAACACCTATATCATGGAAGGAAACAAGAAAGAAATTGTAACAAAATAGGGAAAAAATAGGGAAGAATAGAGAAAAAAGGGGGGAATAGGGAAAATCAGGATAAAATAGAGAAGGGAAAAAAATCTGGTAAAAAAAAAAAAAAAAAAATCTGGATTTTTTTTTTTTTTTTTTAAATTGGGAAAGAAAATAAAATTCGGGAAAAAAAAAAAAAAAATCGGGAAACCGATTTAAATCGGGTTTTTATCAGGCCTGCCCGTGTCTGTAAGAAATATGAGGACCATAAAATGAGCTTATTACAAGTATTTTTCAGATTTAGAGCCCGATTTTGTGTGAGTCGCAAGCTCAAAAGTATCTCAATCGCATGTATTAAATCAATGCAGCCGGACACCGCAACGCACACTCTGTCTAATTCAGTTTCCAATTTCCAACACCGCAGAACTAGTTTTTCGGCATGGTGAGCTCCGGCATGGGATACCTGTTCCGTCCGCTAGTGCTAAAGATCAGCGGGGAAACACACGGTGCGCACACGCGCTTCCTATTGACTTTGTACATGCGATCGAAAACTGTCTCGCTAGGTCGATAACTGTCTCCGAAACAGTGAAAATTGAAATGAATATTGTCATGGCAATTACTGATTTTTTTTCTAGGATTCTTTTTTTGTTTAAATAATAATAATATTTGCTTCATGATTTGAACAAGAAATGATAAAAAATAGGAATTAAAGAGTCCAAAAAATAGGATTTTGTCTAAAGTGGCCGAAAACCCCCTCCTTCACTTGAGGGTTAACTGAATTTTTATGAATTCATGAATACTCGCCACACAGTCCAGTTTAACAGGTCGACAACTAGGAGATGTGAGCCTGACGTGGCTGATTCATAATGCTTCAAGGCGTGCTGGGCTGGACTATAACGAGAACATCCCTGTTTAATGAAAAGTACATATATCTTTTGAAACTGTAAAGAAACACAGCTTATAAAAGAAAACTGGATCAAATATTTTGATAGGCTCTTTGATTTTAGGGGAATTAGATGAGCTTCAAATTTAAACAAAAGTCTCATGAAATGATATAATGTACAAAAGTTTGAAGTCAACAAAAATTGTAATACCGGTGTTTGATCCAGGCTTTATTTTGTTATTGAATATACCAGTACATTAAGAAACCTTTTGAGTGACTTTATTGACATGAGTGTCCCATTGCATATTATAATCAATAAAAACACCAAGAAAACTAACACTTTTAATCTTATATAATGGAACTTCATCAATTTTTTTATAAACAAATTATCAAGCAAATTAGTGGAATATGCAAGCCTATTTGCTATGGTAATATTTGATCCAGGCTTTATTTTGTTATTGAAATGCATATAGGGCAAGGGCCAAGTATTGGGTTGAAAATAGGCCTGAGTCATCACGGGTGTTGCCGAACCCGGGTTTGACTTCAAAATTTCGGGCGGGGACCGGGTACCCAAAATTTTCACCACTGACACTAAAAAATCGTATGTATGCAGCGGCGGGAGTTAAGATTAAGTAGTTGTTCTAATAATGCGACGGAAAAGACAGTTACTGCTTTCAAAACAATAAAATAATCAATTGAATTAAATGAAGATGCTTTAAAAAATGAATGGATATCATTTCAGTTGACGGTAGGTGTTTTTATCGCTCTAAAAATGAGGCTGCAAGAAAGGAATCACGCTTCGTGGCGTGGCACCGAGTGCGTTCAGAAACGGAAGTGGAAATATGACCCACTGAAGACTGAGCAAGTTAAGAAAGTCCCACACTCAAGACTAAAATGTTGATCAGACTATTACAATTAAATTGTAATAATAATAGGCATTAATTTAATTGTCAAAATATATCCACAACATAATGGTTTACCCTTGATATTTTGATGAAGGAAAATAATTTAAAGCTCTTGATATAACATCGAAGTGCCTTTCGTTCGTTCTAAAAATGTGAGTGTAACTGGATGGCTGAAGTAGTGAAGTTACGAGTCAAGCTTGATGATATGCGTGTTTACATCCCTACACCGTCATCCGAGCTAATCGGAACAATAAGCATTAAACCAATTAAAAAACATCACGTTAGGCTTTCAGGGACTCCAATTTAACAAAATTACCTTAAAAAAATAATAATCTTTGACAAATATTACTATAGATATTCATAATATCTTACAGAAATAATGATATTTCATGAGCTACGTACTCGATATCGAGTTCAGCTAGCCATCATTTTGAAATCAGACGTATAATTGCCATGCGGTGCAGTAGACTGTAGAGGGCAGCATGCATCAGAGAGGGAAAAATTTGTGGGCCTTAGATCACGTGATATTCGCGTGCCTTAGATCACGTAATATTTTCCTCTCTGCTGCACGCTGTCAATAGTCTACTGCGCTGCATGAAAAATTACGTCTCATTTGAGTGTGGGACTTGAGTGTGGGACTTTCTTAACTTGCTCAGTCTTCAGTGGGTCATATTTCCACTTCCGTTTCTGAACGCACTCGGTACGGCAAAGAAGCGCGATTCCTTTCTTGCAGCCTCAATATATTAGAGCGATAAAAACACCTACCGTCAACTAAAACGATGTCCATTTATTTCTAAAGCATATTTATTTCACCAAATAGAAGTTTGTGGATTGCATATTTTTAGTTCTTTATTTCAAAATATCAGTGTGAAATTTAATTTTGAAAAACCCAAAACCCGAATATTCAAACCCGGGTTTCGGCGCGACGGTCGGGGACCGGGCGGGGAACCGTTTCGACTCAGGCCTAGTTGAAAATATGGCAAGGGTAAACTAGATGGAATTCGACTGCGCGCAGTCGAAAATGATGCCTCCGTCATAGAGCAATTTTACAAACCGAAACGGAAGAAATTTTTCAAATTCAAGTTCAATTGTAATCCATTAACATGTTCTCAGAATATCGTGATTACAAGCAATTTCTCATAAACATATATGACCCTTTGATCTTTGACCTCATGACCCTAAAATCTACTCAGTTCATTGGCTCTGCAAGATTTCCTGAGTTAAATAGTAATCCATCTGTCAGTTCTAATGAGAATGCGTCCACAAGCTATTTTTGCATACATAATGAGCCCATGACCTTTGATCTTATGAACCATTCATTGGCTCTGCAAGATACATAAATGATCTAAGTTTGGCAGGAATCCATCAATCTGTTCTAATGATAATACGATCACAAGCTATTTTTGCATACATAATGAGCCGCATGACCTTGACCTTTACCTCATGACCCCAAAATCTAATCAGTTCATCAGCTCTGCAAGTAACATACATGACCAAAGTTTGGCAGGAATCCATCAATCGGTTGTTCAGATAACGCGATCACGAGCTGTTTTTGCATACATAATGTGCGCTGTGACCTTTGACCTCGTGACCCCAAAATCTAATCAGTTCATTGGCTTTGCAAGATACATACATGACCAAAGTTTGGCAGGAATCCATCAATCGGTTCTTCAGATAACGCGATCACAAGCTGTTTTTGCATACATAATGAGCCCTGTGACCTTTGACCTTTGACCTCGTGACCCCAAAATCTAATCAGTTCATCAGCTCTGCAAGATACATACATGACCAAAGTTTGGCAGGAATCCATCAATTGGTTGTTCAGATAACGCGATCACAAGCTGTTTTTGCATACATAATGAGCCCTGTGACCTTTGACCTTTGACCTACGTGCTCCAAAATGTAATCAGATTGTTTTCCTATAGTGATACACACTATCACTAAGTTTGAAGTTTAAATCTCCAGTGGTTCTTGAGATATCATGATAACAATCTCAATGTATGGAATTTCATAAGTTGACCTCTGTGACCCTTGACCTTTGACATACGTGCTCCAAAATCTAATCAGATCGTCTTCCTATGGTGATACATACTATCCTTAAGTTTTAAGTTTAAATCTCAAATGGTTCTTGAGATATTGCGCTAACAAACTCAATACAAGGAATTTCATAAGTTGACCTCTGTGACCTGTGACCTTTGACCTACGTACTCCAAAATCTAATCAGATCGTCTTCCTATGGTGATGAATTCTATTCCCGAGTCTTAAGTTTAAATCTTAAATGGTTCTTGAGATATTGTGATAACGGTCAAACGGGACGGACGGACGGACGTACGGACGGACGGACGTACGGACGTACGGACGGACAACCTGAAAACATGATGCCTCCGGCACCACCTTCGGTGGCGGAGGCATAAAAATGGACTTTGAAGTAATAGTTGCTGGAGCAGTGTCCTAACAATTGTTCTGAGCTATATTAATCAAAGGTATAGAGTTAGTGTTAAGACAACAATTGGGTAATAGGTTATGTTTAGGATAAGGCCTATATGGTTAGGTTAAGAACAATATTTGGGTCTGCGGTTTAACTTAACCAATTGCCTACTGGAACCAGTTGGCCCATGTATTAACCCTATGGGAAGGAGATAATTCAGTAGTCAATGGGTTATAAGAATTTACTTAGTGTAGAAAACTGACACAGAGCAATTGTTGCAGGAAAGAAGAATCGCACAAACACCAGGGTGTGTGTCATTCATCTCCTGCAGGCCATAAGTAGTCATTTGAACCAAGTTTACCTGATACAAATTGATGAAACAAACTTTAACTGAAAAACAAACAACTAAACTTACCTGATTTCCACAGGCTAAACAAAGCCAGATGACAGGCTCATCATCTTCCTCTTCAATATAGCTATCAGCAGCACACAGCTGTAAACACAACAGTGACAATGAATGTGTTTTCATTTCTGGATCATGCACAGCTCTTAAGTTTGTAAGGTAGAATAAAGTAGGCCTGAGTCAATACTGTCGGTCACACCGAATCAGGTCCAGGTTTTGTTTTTTTAAACCGACGCTCCGATAACAATAATTAAATAAGTATTATATTTTTACCAATTTGTATTTCATATTCTAGCTCATCCTGAATCGATCCGTTCTGCCAATATGAATATGGGTTGCAAAGCAGTTCGCTGTTCGCGGGATGGGAATGTTAATTGCCAGAGCAGTTAGCTGGCTACTGCGTGGGTCGCACATATTTTTTTTTACACAACTGTTTAGCCATTTTTTTCGTGAAAAAAAATCCTATAAGTGCTCTGGTGAGAGAGTCTTATACTATTTTTACAGTGGCAATATTTTGCTTAAGCTATGGTCACAAATCAGAGCAGCGACCGACCGATCAGTAGCCTGCTTGGTCGCTGCTGGTATTTAGGCATCGCCCAGCGATTAGGACGGTGCCGGGCGGCGACCGCCCAGGCACCGAGCATATTTTGGGCGGCGAGTGAAAAGTGAGCAGGCGTGCCCAAATTTTAACTCCGCGTTAAAACTTCAGCGGCGACCGAGCGATGCCCTAGAAACGAGCGGTGCCTGGGCGGCCGCCGCTCGGTGGCCGGGCAGCCGCCGGGCAGAATTGGTTAGAAACTCGCCGCTCGGCCGCCGAGCAGGCTACTTTTGGGTTATGTGACCTTAGCATTAACGGGGTTAAAGGGGGGGGGGGAGGGTGGGTTTAGCCCCACCTATAGTCCGGGGTTAAGCAAATAAATGACAACAGAAACAAAAAATAGTAAGAGACTACGCAGTGGAGCGAATTAATGAATATTCACGCTATGGCTTGTACAGGGCTAAGAAATTGTAGTGAGAAAAGCCAAAACAGTTAGTCCAGGGTTAAGGATAGTACAGGGCTAAGCAAAGTATGGGTTAAGCAAAATCAGTGTGAAAAGAGTATGAGTTGTCAGCGCACATTTACAATCACCAGCAGCAATACAGTGCGTCCCAGAAAAAACGAAACCGGGAATTATCAATGTTTTATCATAACTTAATCACAACCATAATTAATGAATGATACATATTTGGAAAGCTTAGAGTCTCCTCTTTCAGTTGATGCTACTCACGTGATGCATATTTCACGCATGAGTGATTAAAATCAATTTGAAGGAAGGAAACCAAAAAGTAATTTGGTGGGCGGTATCTGAATTTCAAAGAAAAATTCATATTTCTAGAAAGTTCATTTTCTGCTCTTTCATATGATACCTCAATCAAGAAAAATGAGCCGGGAATAACAAAGTTCTGTTTGTTTAAAATAGCCCTTACATTTTCATAATTTTAACAAACAAATTCGTTTTCACTGGGTGCCTGCCGTAGCAAAAAGCAGATTTGACAAAAGACTTAACTCCGTTTCGTTGACAATCAGCCATGCATGAAGACTCTTGTCTACGGCTGATTGTCAACGAAACGGAGTTAAGTCTTTTGTTAATTTCGTTTATTGATACGGCAGGCAGCCAGTGAAAACGAATTTGTTTAATAAAATTATTGAAATGCAAGCACTACTTTAAACAAACAGAACTTTTGGCATAAGCGCTTTATTTATGTAGTTCCCCATTTCATTTTCTAAATTTGTTCATGAATTATTTTGTATCTTTTGTATCAATGTACTTTTTAATCTAGAATGAAATAAATGAGAATTGAATCGAGCAGGAAAAAAAATGGATATTTAATAGTAGTGCTGTAGCCGAACCGCTGAAACCGAACAGAAGTTCGCCGAACATGGCACTTCCGAACCGAACTGAACCGAACGCAAAGGCCTGGTTCGGATGTTCGGCAGAAAAATGTAAACGTTTTTGCAAGCTAATATACTTGTCATTTTGTACCTAATTTTCATGTCATGATTGCTCATTTTATATTTACTTTTTTCCCATTTTCCACCTTTGTGATTTATGCCTATCCAATGGTGGGCGCAACTTCACTGGCGCCATTTAAATCCTGACCACGCTACGTCGTGATCGCAAGCCATATAAACAAGAATACATGTGCGTGATCAAAACAGGTTCAGCTCAAACCCAATCAACAAAAAATTAATATATATTCTAGTAGGTATCACAGCTAACTTTTGAAAGTTTCTAAATTTCACTTCCCCTGCCCATTTCCTTTTTGGGCACATGAAAAGAAGAATTTTGATACCTCATTTGTCAAATTTGAATAAGTACTTTTGAAAATATGGCCACTTACATAAGAGACGAAATGGTCAAATTTTGCGTAATTAGGCTATAACTGACAATTAGCCATTTTCAAGGTGATATAATTTTGTAATTAATTGATGAATCACCTTTCTTTTCAAGAAATCTGTTCTCTGTATGGATTTCTACATGCCTATTTTTTTTCAGGTTCTTCTGACAAATATTTTTTTTTGTGGAATTTTTCAAATAATTATATGAAGCCCATTTTGATGCGTATGACAAATGGCTATTTTTGCGTCGCCGGAACAAGTTTTCATGGGTTTTGAAACATGGCTAGATTTAAGAGTGTCTATCAAGAGGGGCTGAATTTTGGCATATCTGGGGTATATATATATTAAATTATATATATATTAAATTAATTTTAAATTGGCATTTGAAAATGGCTCTAAACTCTTCAAGATGTCCAGGTAGACAAAGGAACATCCCTTCACTGCTATTGTGTAAAAATGTGTAGAACAGGTGTCACATGCATATTCACCTGTTCTACACATTTTTACATAATAACAGTGAAGGGATGTTCCTTTGTCTACCTGAGGAACTGTATATTTTGTCAGCTTTCTTTGTCCGTCATGTTCATAGTGTCAGGGTACAGCTGTATTCATCGGATTTGCGCTCAAGCACCATCTTGCGGTCATTCTTAATATTTACATGATCGTATTCTCCAGTAAATTCTCTTTCTTCTCTTATCAAAATCGAATTAAAAGTATGTTTTTCTGATATAGAAAAATTGTTTCAAACTTTTCACTCTGATTTTTCACGATCTTTTTGAAACATACCCCCAGGGAATAATTTTCCTGGTATCGCATCGCAATTTGCTATGCATTTTTGCATGACTGCTATACAAAATATCTTTTGTGTAGCAGTTTTCTTCCATAGAAATGTACAGAATTTCATTTGAAATATTTATCCATCGGCTGAAATTGCTAATCAAAAAATTTGAGGAAAATTATTCCCTGTACCCCCATCGATTTTTATATGAAACTAAAGCTTAAGATGTGCTCTTTCCAACCAGTGGATTTTTAAAACGCAAAGACAAATGGCGTTCAAGCGCATTGAGCTAAAACTAGCGATGCAAATCGGCGATCAAATAAAAATGGTGACAAACGAAGTGACACGGTACAAATTAGAGGGTAAATCACAAGCAACTGTGTCGTAAAGAATTGATGGATTTTGATGAAAATGACATGACATGAAAGACAGAATCCTGAGCTTTCGAGAGACATATAATTTTATAATATTTATTTTTTCCATGATATGAAAATCTTCCTTGATAAAGAGAGAATTTGCGTGGTTGAGCTCTGCGTGTCCCCACTCAATGCAGCTCTTCTGTGATACCTAATTCTAGTATGGTATTTATTTATCCAGGAAAATAAGCATTTTATATTTTTCCTATTGAAAAAAAAAACTTATTAAAAACAGTTATTGACGGGCCTGAGTCTCTGTTCAAGATGGCAGCTTTCATGACTCTAACATTAGACAAAAACCGTCTCGGAAAATCTTTAAAAAATATCATTTATCGACAAATTGAAAACATGATTCTTTTGAAATTGAAAATAACACATGATTCAAGACGGAAATACGAATGTAAGTAGTATTTTTCTTCGCAAATAATTACGTTTAGTTTTACGTGCAGTTTTTAATGTGAAATTCGTGCTGGTCAGAAGCAGTGTGCAGAAGTCCTCCGTGCTGGTCGGGCCTGGCAGGGCGGGCGGCCCGCCCAGTGCCGACCGCTGTGGCTATAATGCTGCTTGCTATTATATTACCGAACCCCGAACCGAACCAAGTTTGGGTGAAAAATTGCCGAACTCTGCCAAACCGAACCGAACACGAACATAGCATCTGACTTACAGCACTATTTAATAGTTAATCGATGCTCACATCTTAGGGGACTCATTTAGTGTGAATTACCATGAAGATTTTTGATATTCAAAGAGAGTCTTCACAATAAGGCTGTGTATAAGCGTGTATTTTCGTAGTCGTGTACACGTCTGGACATACGGTCGGATACATGTGTACTGGGGAAAAATGTCTACACAAATTCAATATGTCTCAAAATCAGTACGTTATCAGTAACGTAATTTGGGTTTTATTCGTAAATATCTTAACCGTAGTGCCACAGAGAAAATTACTCATGCTTTAATTTCATCTCGCTCTTCCAAGTTGGAAAGAAAGGCGGAAAGAAATATATGAGGCTGGAAATTTGACACCTAAAATAATGAAAAAATGGACAAAAAATTGGCATTCCTGTTAATAGTTAATCAATGCCCACATCTTAAGGGACTCATTTAGTGTAAATTTCCATGAAGTAAAATAAAACCAATTCATACGTGTAACAATGTCATAAGATAAAAGGCCACAGATAAATCACTACTTACCGGTACGGAACACTGTCCAAAGCCATAATTCTGGAGAGCCTTCTTCACATTGATCAAGCTGACAGACTTATCCAGATGAGTGCATCCGTCACCTAGTAGACAATCAGAAAATGTTTATTGAATGTATCGCAATCCCTTCAAAGCATGATTAACTCTCCCTATCTCTGTAATTACCAAGAACTGCAAATACATACTAATCTCTGTGCCCTGTTGCATAAAACATGCCACGGATGGTAACTTACTAACTTTGTCATCAACATTAACTAGTACTACAATGGCAACATCTTTAAACAGTAAATCAAATCAAGGATTTCATGGAAGTTACCATTAATCAAGAGCATTTCAATTTTAAATTAATTTTTTTGTTGTCCAATGAAACTTTGCTTTGCTCACATTTGGCATACCATATAACTTTACAAACCATAATCAGGGGTGATAGTAAGCACTAAATTTATTTTTTCCTCAACCCCCCCCCCCCCCCCCCCCCCCCTTGAGTAAAAAAATATTCCCCCCTTTTGAGTAAGACATTTTGGGAAGATAGGGAAAAATCAGGGGGGGGGGGAAGAATAAATAAATCAAGGAAAACCAAAAAAAATCAGAAAAAGAAGAAGAAAAAAAAACAGGAAAAAAATTGGGTAATTATCAGGCCTGCATAATATACAAAAATATCATATCAAATATAGAGATATCTTGACATAGATACATGCAGATAAATGCATCAAACATGTACGCAATATATGAACGGAGGCCTACGTAACTATACGCTGAGGGACGCAAAGGGGTAGGCGAGATGGATGCAAACAATAAAACCCGTTTAATTTTGTTGGCGTACTTTCGGCGTAGACACTAGACGCAGAAAGTATGCATTTTGTATGCAAGTCTACGCAATACTACGCTACAGTACGCCAAGCCTACGCAATAGTACGCCAGTCCGACGAAGCAGTAAAAGCTTACGCTTACAGTAAGCAACCGTACGCAACCATAAGCAAACCTCGAACGACGGGCCTACGTAAAGGTATGCAACACTACCCTTGTAATTCGCAATCGTACGCGTAGGTACGCCATAGTTACGGGTTACCTATGCACAGAGTACGTAAATATACACCATCGTACGCCAGCTTACGCATAACCTACTCAGGGAATACGCCGAAGCAACATTTTTTTCATTAATGTCGGCGTTGTCAGTACGCCACACTACGTAGATCTGGTGTGAAAGAGGCTTTATGTAGAATTTAAAGCCATTTTTTTTAAACAGGGCTCCCCTTTAATTTTGTTGGAAGGGGGTCCAGAATTATTTTTAGAGTAATCATGCATTCATCCTATGTAAAAATGTTAATGTACTGAGGGTCCAGAGTAAAATTGGGGGGGGGGGTCCTATTATTGTCGAGCTCTATCTAAAGTACAAAGGGACGGTACAAGTACATACCTTTAACAGTTTTTAGCTGGAAAGCCACTTTCTTGATCCAGTCCATGCTCTCTCTAAGTTTTTTACTCTCTGACAGACTTATTGCATCATGGCACTTGTAACACCTAGATCTATATCATGGGAGAAAACAAGAACAAAATTGTAAATGCAGAAATAAATATCTGCTGAGTGGTCGGAGAATGAAACCAGCATAATTTAAAGTTCAGTGACTGCTGGCACAGGAGGACAGACGATTCATAAATTATGAAGTTTGTTGGCCTAGCTGATAGCCGATATAGTGAGTGGCAAATTTACATAATATGTATGAGAGAGTGTGTATGTGAAAATTTGTTATGCTTGAGGTGGAGGCTGAGCTGAGATGAATTTGGAAGAGATTTCATTAAAGAGTAATATCATCACCAAATTACTTTCTGACAACCGGATTTATTCAATTTAATTAGCGAACAATACTTAAGCTAATTTGTTCTCAGAAGATAATTATTGGGGTCCACCCTCTCCCTTATTATTCCCCTGTCTCTCTCTGCCTTAATTCTTAACCAAAATTGAACAAAAAGTTTCAACCCAAATTAGAAGAAAAAAGGAAGAACAAAAAAGATAAGTGTGAAATGTTGATAGTCTTTAGAGATCAGAAGGAAACAGAAGTTATCTTCATCATCATTCTTACTTCTATCTCTACATCTTTTTTCTCAATTCTATTTATTCATCTTCCGAATATGTTTTAAACCTATTTCCCCCCTCAAATCAATTTGATCTTCTTTCTTTAAAAAAAGTACAGAATTATTTACTTAAAGCATAGACTGGTAGGTCTATGCTTAAAGTGACTCAACAACATTGTTGAAGGTTGAAGAAAAACTTGCTTGATTTAAAAAACTGTGCGCCATCTACACGTTCGTAATGGCGTTATCACAGTTTTTCCTTCATAATCATTTTTGCCTTCGGCGTAGACTAGAAGGGATGAGATTGACGGCAGCGAGAGTTTAACACGGCCCTTACCAAACAGGAATACAAAATAAGTCTTCTGAATATATTCGCTTAATATTCAGAATACAAAATAAGTGGTATTTTAGTGGTTGCATGTATTCCTCCAATTTGAATACTAAAAATCTCATTGTCAGAACCACTAAAATCAATTTAAGTATTCAAATTGTTGTGCTTCGAATACTAAAATCCATTATAGACTAAGGAATGTTAGTCTTTGATTATTAGTATTCTGAATGTACTAGTATTCAAAACTGGTTGGTTTGAATACTAGTAGAATTGAGTCTTTGATTATAAGTATTCCTCCAAATTGAATACTAAAAATCTGATTGTCAGAACCACTAAAATCAATTTAAGTATTCAAATTGTTGTGGTTCGAATACTAAAATCCATACAAAGGAATTTTAGTCTTCGATCATTAGTATTCTGAATATACAAACATTTTCCATGAAAATACTAATATTCAAAACCTGCAGTTGGTTTGAATACTAGTAGAATTGAGTCTTTGATTATTAGTATTCCTCCAATTTGAATACTAAAAATCTGATGTTTGTTGTGGTACTATATTAACAACACCAATAGTTCATTGATGTGCGTAATGAGGCTGTGATTGGCGGAGGAATACCAGAATAAAGCACTTCCAAGATGGCCACTTATACATGAACAGTGTCTCCAGCAATGATCTTATTGATCTGTAGATCTGATCATTTAACATGGTGGCAGCAGTCAAAAGGATTGCCATATTTATTACTATTAAACTGCAAATTACATTGAGCCAGCAAAAATCTTGCATGACCTTGGATTCAAGCAACGTTTTTGAACTGCTGACAATCACAGCCAGTTGAGTAAATCTGCATGTGTCACCTGTGGACTGTATTATGTGGGGCATTAGGAGTATGACCGACGGGCACACAATGTATTGACTGTCAGATCGAGCCCTACAGTTACATTCAGGACCAGAACTGATGCAGAGGCAGAACCATGCAGAGCCTAGAGGCTCGCCATGACCAGAGCCTAGATCACCAGGACGAGAGCCTAGAGGCTTGACCAGGACCAGAACAGTATAGCACTGCAGTTTGGTTTTGGTTTTGGAACTGAGCCGCTCAGAGCGCGTCACGTTGCGATTAGAAATGAGTGGACCATGCAAGTAGATCCAGGACTAATTGCTGGACTTGATTGATCTGATTGTGGAGTGAAAACTAGATTAGACTCTATGTCCTAGTCTAAAAGGACTAGGTCTAGACTCTAGACCTAACAGGTTAATTACCTAAGACATAGCCTATAATGTTTCGAATTGGACTCAGTTAGGATGTGTTTAACATAATTATACAAGTAGCCTAAGTAGATCTAGATAATAGATCTATAGGCCTAAGTCCAATTTCTACATGTGGACCCTGGATCTAAGTCTAGAAATGTCTAACTTTTGAGTATGTGCATGATGATACTGGTAGACCAAATACTGAAACAGTGGTCCGTGGTAACTTCATTCCTTTTGGTTGAGTCACGTACAGGATCGAAGGTCTATTCCCTCAAAGCTGGTCCAGGACCAGTTGTCTACATGTATAGGACCAATATTACACAAGGGGGTATAATTGTCTATAGACTTGATGTATTTTTATGCATTTGAACCTACATTGTGAAGTTGTATAAAGTGTGCTATATAAGTCATGATACATTATACATTTGTAGTATGAACATGGGCTAATTAATACTTATCAAGTAATATCGTAGATTTTGACCCCAGTTTGTTTTCAGAAATCACTATTAAAACTGCTAAACAGCACGCACTGAAATAAGAGTTAATATCTAGCATGAACATCCTAGTATTTCGGGTGAAACAGTGTAGGCCTGTATGTCAATTTAAAAATACAGCAGAAATATACACGTACTGTAGTTGATGACTGTTAATTGGTATGTTATGTAGGGTCTACACTGCAATTTGTATGTTGTATGAGGTGATTATTATTGGGGTATAATTCTGCTGCATTGTGGGATTTTGGTGTTGGTCGGAATACTAATTCCAGCATTGCATATTTCAGATGACAAGTGGTCAGAATACTAATTTGTAGCTAGTATTCATCTTCTAATTTGCATACTAGTAGTACGAATACTTGTTTGTATTCCTCATTTAAATATTTCGGCCTATAGGAATACAAAGGAATACTAACAAAGTGGTTTGAATAATTTGAGCTGACAGGAATACTAAATATGTGGTTCGAATACTAATTTGTAGCTAGCCCTTACCGAAAACGCAGGCTTATTTAGCCTGCTTTGAACCTGCGTCTGGCCTGCATTCTTAAATACATGCTAATTTTTCTATTGCATGTTAAATTTTAGCCTGTATTTTGCAAAATCAGTCTTACATGTTTTAGCAGGTTAAATTTTAGCCTGCATTTTGCAAAATCAGTCTTACATGTTTTAGCAGGTTAAATTTTAGCCTGTTATTAGCATGCATTTTGCAAAACACAGTCTAACAGTTTTTAGCAGGCTAAATCTCAGCCTGCAGTTCAAAATTAGCATGCATTTTGCAAAATACAGTTTTAGCAGGTTAAATCTTTAGCATGCCAGATGAGATGCAGTTTAATCTTTAGCATGTAAATTTCTATCATAATTTGTTAAACCTGCAATCTGAAGAAATGTCCTCTGAGCAGGTTTAGAACACAAATTTAACCTGTTATTGCTTTTTACAGGTTATTTTTCACATGCACGTTTAATGTTATATATCAGGGGTGATTCGAGAGTTGAAACAAAAATAGGTTCATAGAAAGCCGAGCAAGCGAGGTTTCGAGCGCTTGGGGAAGCATCCCAAGACAAAAATCCAATTGAAACCAATTGAACACCAATTTAATTTTCATTTTTTCAGTTGGTTTTAATTGGTCTCAATGGGACTTTAATAGGACTTCAGTTGGTTTCAATTGGTCCAGATTGGCCCTATTGGACCAATTGGCCTAGGCCCTATTAGACTTTAATGGGAACTCAATTGGTTTCAATTGGACCAATTGGCCCTATTTTGGACTTCAATTGGTCCAATTCAGTTTCAATTTCATTTTATTTTCATATTTCACATGTTTATTTCATTACATTTGGCATGTTACATTTTTTTGTAATCATTTTTTTTGGGGGATGCATTTATACAAACGAACAGAATAATACATAAGACTAAGTTAAATAAAGGAAGAAATATGATGGAGCCTAAAGAGAGAGCAATGTTTTTAGGCCATAGTTATAACATTGATATAGTCTTGTGTTTATTAAATATCGTAATTGGATTAAATTGCAACTTATATGAAGAAAAGATATATTTGAACCCAATTGAAAACCTTACAATCTATGGGGCTGATTGGTCCAATTGAAGTCCCATTTAAGTCTATGGGGCTGATTGGTCCAATTGAAACCATTTGAAATATCAAATGGGGCCAATTGGTCCAATTGAAACCAATTGAAATCCCGATTAGAGTCAAATGGGGCCAATTGGTCCACTTGAAACCAATAAGACCAATAGATCTACCAATAGGAACAATAGGACCAATATAAACCAATAAGACTAATTGAACCCAATATGGGACCAATAGAAACCAATAGAAACCTTCATTTATGCTAGCCTGCCTTTTCGATTAGCATGCTAAAATTAACCTGCAATACGTATCTCATGAATATTCATTATTACTTTACACGTCTCACAGAAAAATACATTTATCATGATTAATTGTTAAGCAAATTATGACAATTAATGCACATATCAACTTTGTGATTGTATTTTTCTTTGGAAATTATTGACCAACAGATTATTTGTCTGATCACACTTACATTCACGTTTTAGCAATAGATATATTGATTATACGATTACTAACCAATTCAAATAGCATGTATGTTTTCTATATATAGGTGTATGAGCCTGTACCTTAACAAAAGTCAATCTTGTATTAACTTCAAATGATCTTTGTGATGGAGTTAGTCTAATGCAATTGAGGTTAGAATATTCCTATTGGTGGACACTAAGTACTTGCTAATATTGATTATGATGTATCGATTTATCCCTCGTTCCTCTACCCGAGTCGATATACCAATAGAAGTCTTGTACCGATAGTGATGGCAATTAATCGAATATCTTCATTTTTGTTAGCCTGCATTTTAGATTAGCATGCTAAAATTAACCTGCAATTAGCTTACATATTTCAGCGTTTTTGCAGGCTAACAAAGCAGGTTAATTTGCATACTAAAATAGCAGGGCAATTTTGCAGGCTAATTGAGCCAGGTTAATATGATTTTGCAGGCTAAAATAAGCAGGCTAAAATAAGCCTGCTTTTAAAATGTACAGGCTAAATTAAGCCTGTCTAATTTGCATATTTCGGCGTTTTTGCAGGTCAGTGCTTGCTAAGGAATTAGCCTGCTTTTTAGCAGCTATGCAGGCTTGATGCAGGCTATAAGCAGGCCTGCCTTTTCGGTAAGGGAGTATTCGTCTTTTAATTTGCATACTAGTGGTTTGAATACTTGTTTGTATTCCTCATTTACATATTTCGGCTTATAGGAATACAAAGGAATACTATTACAAGTGGTTTGAATACAATCATGTGTATTCAAACCACTAATTTTCATACAGAATAAGTGGTTGGTTGTATTCAGATACATGTCTTCGAATACAACAGGAATACATTCACGTTTGGTCTTCGAATACAACAGGAATACATTCACGTTTGGTAAGGGGGCTTGCAAGATTTTCAACATGGATGTCGATTTTGACCCATAATTTCCTTAAAAGGGACCATTAAACGGATTATTTCAATCAAGTTAGTAAGTGGAACCGATGTATTATAGCCTAGGCCTAATGTAAAATTGGATATGCACGAGGTAAAATGACATTTTGGGGGATTTGGGGGGCATAACAATACGGCCGTGGCAAGTTTGTTCATGCTTGTGGGAGGGGCCTAACGGCTAAAATCTAGCCGTGATATCTTCAACATAGGCTGGCATAGGCGATCGTTCAGTCTCTATAACCGGAGGTCTAGTGGAGCCAGACAGGCGCGGATCCAGGAACCCATTTCTATCGGCCCGGCTATGGCAACCCCTTTGTGTAAAAACTAGATAAACTCAGTTTATCAGAAAAACTGTGTTTATCAATGATAAACTCAGTTTATCAACTGATAAACTGAGTTTTTCTGATAAACTGTGTTTATCTGTTGATAAACTGAGTTTATCTGAGAAAAACAGAGTTTATCTGAGAAAAACAGAGTTTATCTAGTTTTTACACAAAGGGGTTGCCATAGCCGGGCCGATAGAAATGGGTTCCTGGATCCGCGCCTGGAGCCAGACGTAGTCTCAGTGGAACAACCGACGGTATAGAGACTGAAGCTTTCGGTCTAAGATCTAGCTAGCTAGCAGCCATAGGCTCAACACGCACTACCTACATGTAACCCCAATCTGGTGCGTCGTTTGGAGCACACCGGAAGTTGCACCATCCTCTTTTCTAATCAAACAATTTTCTTTCATACTTACTTAGTCTACTTGGGTAGATCTATACTTGGGTGTAGAGACTGGAAGCTTTCTTAGCTTTTTTGTCCCTCTTTACTGTTGCATCCCGTCTCAAGTATGGTTCTTTCTAGGGTCATCCCCCGGGTCATTCCTAGATCTCTGGTAGTCTACTAGAAGTCTAACTTGTTACTCGTATTTGGTGGCAGTATGTTCTTGGGCTAGACTCGACTCTTGAGTTCTAGTTCATGAGTTGGACAATATAAAAATATATATTTATAACAAGTAATAGATAGGTAACAACATAAATAAATAATGTTATTAAATAAAACATTACATGTAAAAAATAATTTCAAAACATGTTTCAGATATATTTGATTTCCTTTTAAATAAAAGACTTAGGAAAAGGTTGTATATTTATGTGATCGTGGCAAAATTTGATTGACCGGAGCTTCTTGATGAACATTCACAGGTGTTTTTGGTAGAAATGGAAAGGTGAGTAGGTATTTTGCCATATGATTTCCGTGAATATAACTTATTTTCGTGTTTCAAAGAAGATTTAACTTTCCATAAATTGATCATATTGCTCAAATATGAGATAAAGTAATGGTTCGAAGTTGTGATGTGTCCCACCAACCACAAAGTGTGTCTGCAGTGCTAACGGTGTTTGTGATGTAAATCATGAAATGACGTGTGATTAAGGATCAAGGAGTCTCTAGGCGGAGGGGTCCGCCGGACGTCCGGGGCGCGCCTCGAGCCTGGGCCTGGGGAGTGCATGGGGATATAAGCCGGGACACACGAGGGAGGTTGGGAGGAAGGTCAATTACATATCTACATGTAGTTGCGGCCCAGACGGCCCAACCAATCAATGTCTTGACCCTAGTCCTAGATACCCGGCCCGGCCCTGGGGCCTGGCCTTGGGCTCGGCTATTTTTGACAGAACTTGAGACATGTTCCTGAAAGTGAAATAGACCTAGATCTAGTCTAGGCTGAATCTAGACCGAAAGCTTCAGTCTCTATAATCGTCGGTTGTTCCACTGAGACTACGTCTGGCTCCACTAGACCTCCGGTTATAGAGACAGAACGACTGCCTATGCCAGCCTGTGTTGAACTTATTCCGCTAGATTTTAGCCGCTAGGCCCCTCCCACAAACTTGCCACGGCCGTATTGTTATGCCCCCAAAATCCCCCAAAATGTCATTTTACCTCGTTCATTTCCAATTTTAAATTAGGCCTAGGCTATAATACATCGGTTCCACTTACTAACGTGATTGATATAATCCGTTTAATGGTCCCTTTTAAGGAAATTATCGGTCAAAATCGACATCCATGTTGAAAATCTTGCAAGCCGTGTTAAACTCTCGCTGCCGTCAATCTCATCCCTTCTAGTCTACGCCGAAGGCAAAATGATTATGAAGGAAAAACTGTGCGCCATCTACACGTTCGTAATGGCGTTATCACAGTTTTTTCCTTCATGATCATTTTGCCTTCGGCGTAGACTACAAGGGATGAGATTGACGGCAGCGAGAGTTTAACACGGCTTGCAAGATTTTCAACATGGATGTCGATTTTGACCGATAATTTCCTTAAAAGGGACCATTAAACGGATTATATCAATCAAGTTAGTAAGTGGAACCGATGTATTATAGCCTAGGCCTAATTTAAAATTGGAAATGAACGAGGTAAAATGACATTTTGGGGGATTTTGGGGGCATAACAATACGGCCGTGGCAAGTTTGTGGGAGGGGCCTAGCGGCTAAAATCTAGCGGAATAAGTTCAACACAGGCTGGCATAGGCAGTCGTTCAGTCTCTATAACCGGAGGTCTAGTGGAGCCAGACGTAGTCTCAGTGGAACAACCGACGATTATAGAGACTGAAGCTTTCGGTCTAGGCTGAATCTGAATGATAATGATCAAGTGACTCAAGTAAAAGAGATAACATATGCTACGATATTTACAATTACAAAAACGCTGACTTTACAAGAATTTGCATCGTTGGTTCTTGCTGCAGTGAGCGGTAGTGAGCACTAGATCTAGATCTATTTCTTTTTTTTTGGGGGGGGGGGGGGGGGGGTCCTCGGAAATTAAAAAAATTGCACCCCCTTGAGCGCCAGGGGGGGGGGGGGGGGAGCCCAACCCCCAAAAAGGTAAAAATCATGTGTTTTTACATGATTTTTTTCTCAAGGGGGGGGGGGGGGCGGCCCCCCCCCCCTGGATCCGCCACTGGGATATGATTCTGAATTAGCGCCCAAATATTTTTTTGGGGGAAGCCTATTTGGGAGACAGTCTCCAATGGGGTACTAATTTCTTTGTTTACATTTGCTACATAGCAATTATGTCAGCTAAATCTGAGAAGTTGATAATCAGATTCGTTAAAAATTCACTAGGCTATCTTCTTTTGCTTTTAAAACAACAATTTGGCAGGAAAATACTTCCTTCATGTTAGTGTTTCTTTGTTTTGTTAGCTAAGTCTCCAATATGGGAGACAGTCTCTGAATCTCCAACTTGGGCTGCAGATCTTTTTGGAACATCATTACAAGTAAACTTCGGAGTTAGTCCAGATCTATTGGCAACAAAAAGAAATTCAAAAATGTATGTTATAGAAATTTCCTTCATCCCGAAGCTCTCATTTTACTGAACAATTCTTATCAAATTGGTGTTAATATCATATATGAATGTATTATACAAGCACACAAACTTTCTTATAATACAGACAACTGCATTGGTTTGGGGGAGTTATATCATGTATTTTAAAGGGGATTTAAATTTTTTTTAATAGATAGAAGCAGGAAAATGAGGAAAAACAGGTAGCGACACTTTGAGCAAAAAAACAATACAAAATTAGAAAGTTATGATTTGTTAAAGGTGCTATCAATCAAACACAAATTGGCACCACTGTGACATATCTTGTGAGCTCCCCTCCCATTTGCCCTGTAGGGCCTACTGAAGAAAAGGGAAAAAAATCAGAAATGTATAGTTTCCTTTGAGAAAATTTTCAATCATACAATACATTCACCTCATAAATAATTGTTGGAAACATGCTTTTATACAATGCTTGTGTGACACAAATCTATTCTGTCAACATTATCTAAGAAACCTGTATTAAATTTAAAAGCAATGTAATCACTGCAAAATCTTTACCCTGTTATTTTTCGTAAGGAAGGTCAGCATTTTTTTTACATAGTGGAAAGTTAGCTGTACATAGAGCCCTAAAGTACTTAATGCATAAATAAGCAAGAATAAATAACACTGATCTAAACATAATTTGATCATTTTTGTTTCCTTCATTATTTTTTTTTCTTTCTTTGTTTACAGATTTGTTTCTGAATAAGAAACCTCAATTCCTGTAAGGTATTTGAAATGCTTCAAGATGCCAGGTCTGGACCGTGGCAGATGTTTCCAGTTGGCTCTTCTTCTTCTCATCGTTCCTGCACAGTACTTTCTTACTCAGTGGAAACCAACAACAAGCTCACAGAGGAGTGTAGAAATTGAAAGGTACTTTCAGGCTTCAAAATCTATTGCAGGATTAATGTATATTGTCTCTTCAGCCAGCAAAATAATAGTACAAGTCCAAAAAAAAATGATACTTTGTATCTGAAAAGAAGATAAGTAGAACTGCTGTTCTCTTTTTCTGGAAGGTTTTGTGTCTTGAGTACTGTTTTGTAATTGGTTATTATAATGCACTTCATCAAGATTAGAAGTTTCAGTGTAACTAATTAAAGGATTGATTTGTGAAGTTAAGACTTTTTGGTAATGGTAATAAAGCCTACTGAACATCCATTTCCTACTGATTAGTAACAAACATAATTTTATTCCTGCGCTCTCGGTAGATTGTAAGTTTGTGATGTGAATTGACAATTGTAAGGAACTTTATCATTCACCCATTCAGTAAATCTTTAACTTTTCTTCCCCTTCTTAGATTGCTAACCGGACTTCATACATGGCATGGCAAGTTTACCAATCCTAACTGGTGGAAACAGAGAGGTCAAAATGCCTGGAACACAATGTCAGATTTCCTTAATCACTTTGAGAAGTATGGCGAAAAGATCGTCTACGGAGATTCTCGGAAAGACGATCTTGATGATGATCCAGACGGCGAGTCTCCAGCTTATGAAGTCTTGAAATTCAGAGAAAGCAATGGATTTTTTGGTGGTGAGACTCATATATATTTTGCTCGGATGATTAACATTTTAGGTTGAAATGAAGTCATAGAATATTTTCTAACTATTATAAACTTTACTACCAATTTGTGAAAATAGAAGCTTTGCCCATATAATTTGTCCTGTGTCCTTGATTTTGTGTGTCAGCTTGCTTGAAAACATTCTTCTGAATATGATAGCATACCTGTCAAATCAAACTTGAATATTGTATTTTGATTTTTATGATATTTAACCATTTGTTTAAAACACGAAATCAAAATACATAAGGGGTCAATCAATATTTCAAGAAAATTATGCAGATTTTTCCATACTATGGAATTGCCTTTATAATATATCTTGTATCTTTGAATAGTTTTAGAGAGAGATGTCTCTATCTAATAGTATTGTTTTGTTGTTATAGCTGATTTTGCTTGTGTATTTGTTTTATCTCCAGGTTCAACTGAGAAAAGAAGTCCGCGACCAAGGCATGTTAAATTCCGTATAGGCCAGGTAGTCAGACATAAAAGGCTGGGATACAGAGGAGTTATTGTAGGATGGGATTTAACTGCGAAGGTACGTAAACTAGGAACTAGAAAAGAAAGAAATAAGTAAATGAACACAGAAATAAATGAATAGATACATAAATAAATGAATAATGAAATAAATGAATAAATAAATAAATAAGTGAGTAAATAGAGAAATAGATAACCAAATAAATACTTGAATAAATAAATGATTGGATGAATGAATTAATAAATGCATAATGAATAAATGACTGAATGAGATAAATAAATGAATAGATATAGAAGGATATTAATAAATCAATAAATGAATACATAAATATATAAATCAATTATTTAATGATTACATGAATGGATGAATGGATAGATGGATGGATTCATGCATGAATGAACTTATAGATAATTTAAAGGTAATACAAAGTTTTAGTACGGGGTCATGAATTTGGTTCAAATGAACATATTGGACGCATATGCGGTCCTACAATATTCAGTGATCATTGTCGCGGTTGAAATCGAGTCTAAAGTTATGAAATTGTAAATAATTAACTCTTTATGTTGTATAGCTCCCTCTCAAGGTCAATATATAAATTAAGCTACAACTAGGCGTTGATGACGCCACAACTAGGCGTTGTGGCGTGCGCCTGTAATCCAGCTAAAAAGTGGAAGTTACAAACTGATTCAGCCGAGGACGCAGGTTCGAAACTGAGTCACGTCTTTCGGATGGTGACGTTTAAAGGTCGGTCCCAGACGTAAATAATCATATCTGATTGATACACGTCTGTAAAAACCCAATACATACACATACATATACATATAAAACAATGTTTCTTGACTAAAATCTACCGATTAGTTGTTCCCGTTCGGAAATTATATATCACAGCTACACATTCTGAGATTTTCATGGTCGCAGCTACCATTGTACGGCCGTAGGCGCTATTTGAAATTTATCAAAATTTACCGGGAGCACCGGTAAATTTTTATATTCAATTTTTCTCAAAAGTAGAAGTAGTTTAGGGGCTAAATTTGCTAGTGCTTATATTACATCCACAGGGGCATCCAAATATATCAAAATTGTAAAGAGTCATTATCCACCCAATTTTCAAAATTTCCCAAAACTTTGTATTACCTTTAATAAATAAGTAAATACATACCATAGATAATTTAAGATGGATCAAAATGTGACATATAGGAAACAATGCACTTTAATGTTTATATAGTAGAATCAATTTGACTTATTTCAGGTATAGCACTGACTGTATTTTTATTTTGCATATAAACTCTGTTTCAAATAAGGAGATGATAAGCTCTGCAAAATTGATGAATGCATTGGACAATGATGTATACCCGGTACTAGTGATGATACATTTATATACACCTGATATTTCCATTTGTCTTTAAACGATATGTTATCTTCATGAGTATATTAATTAAAGACCTTTAATTCCCTTTTATATCTCCAGGCTCCGGCACAATGGCTTAGCGATAACATACCCCGAGATCAAATAGTAAGTTAATATCACTTTACTATAGAGTGGTGAAGTGTGACATCATCAAAAATCTATTTTTAGAATTTATCAATTTTTTCTTCATATTCCGAAAGAACATCAAAAATAATGTCCAAAATACTCCCCATAGGAACTCAGTGTTATATGATCTGGCTCCTAATGGTTAGGAGCCAGAGCATATAACACTGAGTTCCCATAGGACATATATTCATTCAGATGGTCATATCTCAGCCAATACTTAACATATTCAATTGGTTTTCGACATTTGGACATTATTTTTGATGTTCTTTCGGAATATGAAGAAAAAATAGAGAAATTCCAAAAAAAGATTTTTATGACGTCACAGCTTCGGTACTCTATGAAGTAATGAAATTCCTTAAGATATATGGGCTAGATATTTAAAATTCCGTCTCTTTGATCTCCAAGTTATCAAAAATATGATGACTCATTTGGAATGGGATCTGTTTATTTCTCCCATTTGTAATGGTAGAGCAATACACAGCACAAGTCTAAGCTCATGCAGTGAGGACTTAAATACATTTGAAAAAAGACATTTGAGCCAATTACATAAGCTCAAGGGAAGTCATTAAAATGCGATATTATAATATTTGAAGAAGAGTAAATATGAAATTAGAAGGTGGGATGTCTTGTACCGGTAACTAGAGAGCTGTGTAAAGAAAATTACATAAATGATTTGTTCAAGACCTTTTACATTCAACTTTTCAATTTTCTTTAAATTTCTTATTTGTTATGCCTCCGCCACCGAAGGTGGTGCCGGAGGCATCATGTTTTCGGGTTGTCCGTCCGTACGTCCGTCCGTACGTCCGTCCGTCCGTATGTCCGTCCGTACGTCCGTCCGTCCGTACGTCCGTCCGTCCGTCCCGTTTGACCGTTATCACAATATCTCAAGAACCATTTAAGATTTAAACTTAAGACTCGGGAATAGTATTTATCACCATAGGAAGACGATCTGATTAGATTTTGGAGTACGTAGGTCAAAGGTCACAGGTCACAGAGGTCAACTTATGAAATTCCTTGTATTGAGTTTGTTAGCGCGATATCTCAAGAACCATTTGAGATTTAAACTTCAAACTTAAGGATAGTATGTATCACCATAGGAAGACGATCTGATTAGATTTTGGAGCACGTATGTCAAAGGTCAAGGGTCACAGAGGTCAACTTATGAAATTCCATACATTGAGATTGTTATCATGATATCTAAAGAACCACTGGAGATTTAAACTTCAAACTTAGTGATAGTGTGTATCACTATAAGAAAACAATCTGATTAGATTTTGGAGCACGTATGTCAAAGGTCAAGGGTCACAGAGGTCAACTTATGAAATTCCATACATTGAGATTGTTATCATGATATCTCAAGAACCACCGGAGATGTAAAAACTTCAAACTTAAGGATAGTATGTATCACCATAGGAAGATGATCTGATTAGATTTTGGAGCACGTAGGTCAAAGGTCAAGGGTCACAGAGGTCAACTTATGAAATTCCATACATTGAGATTGTTATCATAATATCTCAAGAACCACTGGAGATTTAAACTTCAAACTTAATGATAGTGTGTATCACCATAGGAAGACAATCTGATTAGATTTTGGAGCACGTAGGTCAAAGGTCAAGGGTCACAGAGGTCAACTTATGAAATTCCATACATTGAGATCGTTATCGCGATATCTCAAGAACCACTGGAGAATTTTCACTTCAAACTTAATGATAGTATGTATCACCATATCATAATATCTCAAGAACCACTGGAGATTTAAACTTCAAACTTAATGATAGTGTGTATCACCATAGGAAGACAATCTGATTAGATTTTGGAGCACGTAGGTCAAAGGTCAAGGGTCACAGAGGTCAACTTATGAAATTCCATTCATTGAGATTGTTATCATGATATCTCAAGAACCACTGGAGATTTAAACTCCAAACTTGTTTAAATTGCTCTATGGCGGAGGCATCATTTTCGACTGCGCGCAGTCAAAATTCCATCTAGTTTAATCTATTACCACATAATTTGTTTCATCATGGTTTAGTTTTTCGTCATTCATTTGCTTGCTGTTCAGGGGCGATTTCGGGTGCAGGCTTTTTAATATCAAATCAGTTTTCAACCAACATTTCTTACATACTAGATGCATTTAAAGATGACCCGATTTGTCACATATATTTGTTAGATGATTACTTTTTGTTTTCCTTCAGAAATCTTCAAATGTTTAATGATTTATTTTCCTGACAGCAATGGTGTCCATGCTTATTTCATTTTTTGTTCATCAGATTCCTCTTTTCAGCATTGTGTTTGCATGAGCTCTCCTTCCATTTTCTCTAGAAAATGTGATATTTCCCTACTACATTTCATTTGCCTTTTGAGCAGAGCTTGTTTGTAGAGATGACTCACCACTCCTTTTCAATTTTATTGTATTATCTATTTTTTTTAATATTTTTTTCGGGGGCCTCATTTTCTTCTGATCATAGATTCCTCCACCCTACCCTTGCATGCATGGATTTTCACAAATCTGAAATTCCAAACCCCATTTTCATTTTGCTTGAGAATCTTCTTGATATTTTACATGCATGCCTTTTCACTTTTCAATTATAGTAGTGATGTTTATTGAAAAATAACCCTTTCCCCTCTCTTTATTTATCTGTTAATGCTTGCCTTGGATTGCCCCCTCCCCCCTCTGACTTTCCTATTTTCTGTTTCATGTGTTATAGCACACTCTGAAATTCCCATTCTATGCTCTTGCTATTGATGTGCGTGATATGCATGTACCTGTCCCTATTGTTGTCTACCATAGTGAAGAAGATCTTGAAGTTATGACTATTCCAACCATGGTAAGTAGGAATGTAGGAGAATGTGTGTCAAATCCTCAGAGAGAGATAGAGAGAGACAGACAGACAGACAGCCAGACAGACAGACAAGACAGACAAGACAGACAGATAGACAGACGGAGACAGAGAGAGGAGGAGGAGGAGGCAGATGTGCTTGTGGTCTTGTATTTGAAAAGGCACAAGTGAAAGCACCTTTCTCTGAGGATTTGACACACTATTTCACAATTTTTCAAGACCATTTTTCATAAAGGAGTAATGACAAACACTGTTGGCAAGAAGATATGACTTACGAACTTTATATATTTTATTTCAAAGCCACAAGATCTAATCTCCTTTATGAATTTTTATCACCAGACTTTTTATCAGAGCTTTTACAGGGTGCTACATAAACATTGTTTACTTTCCCTGATAACAAAGTTATGTCGCTCAACAGAGCTGTTTATTTTTTCCAGTTGAAATTCAAATTGTTGTCCCCAAAATGATCTATATCGGATCAGAACTGTTGTTTTTACGGAGTCGACGGGCCTTTCACTAGTCACGAGTACCTGGTCTTGCTAGGGACCAGGACCAGGTCTGGGAAAAGGGACAGTGGTTGATGTAGCAGCCCTATATTAGCACTCTGACTTCATCAGTCCAGTCCGAGTTTGATTTTGCACTCTCTGCTCCCTGTTCCCCCATTTTCTACAGCACTATAGAAATCAGCCCAACTACATGTTACTGGTACACAGCTTAGATAAACAGTCATTCACTACTGCCTATATCACACAAGAATTACTCCAAGGGGTGCAACATGTAAAGGTAGGGAGAAAGCAGATTGGATGACGTCGGAATATGGGGGAGCAATTTTGTTGCAGACCCTTATCTACTTCAGCCTATATTACAGCGTGCTAGCTTCAGTCCTGGGCCACATTGCATAAAACCGTCCATTGGTGGATTCAACTTTGCCATTAATGGTAGCTTCCATGGAAACCTTGATTTGATTGACTGTTAAGTAATGTTGCCATGGTAGTTGATATTGATGGCAAAGTTTCCATCAGTGGTAAGTTTTATACAATGGGCCCAGGTTTAAGCAGAGTTAGTAGCCCACTGCTTTAGAACATCAAGTTTGAACCTCTTCAACCTGTACAAATCACTATAATTTGGTTAACTAAATGAACAACCAAATTGTATCATTTTCATGTCATGACTGGATGCATTTCTTTTGTTCATTTTGTTTAATCTTTTGTTACTTTAATGCTTTTGAGTAATTTGTACAGAATTATGCTGTACAGTAATTTGTAAAGAATAAAGAGTTTGGCACTCAACACTCATAATTCGTCGACTTTATGTCAAATAGGTAACCCATTAATCCACCTTTATGAGTACAAGCAATTGTGATGTGCTTCTCTTTAGTGGAATGTTGATATAAATGTTCTCATAAATTGTAAAAGTTCTAGGAGACTCTTTATTTACAGATTGTATGAGCTTGATGCAGTATTCATAAATCATGTTTGCTACTGATTTATAGCTTCCCAAATTAATACATTTAGCAAATATTTGTCTGGAAATGTATACATAGAGAAAGAAAGGGCGAATACATAGTGCTGTTGATCTGCACCGAAACAGTGTTTAATCATGTGCCGTCTGTACCAGGTAGTAAAATACCATACATTTATGATTTTTGTTTTTCTTTCAATCTTTCATGACACTATTGCCAGTGCACTGCATAGTCAGCCATTTTCTTTCTTCCCAATTACACAATTTGTCCTCTTTTTTAAAAATTTCTTCTGTTCACAGGTTCAGCATCCTCAGGTAGACGAGTATTTTACGGCATATGATGGATCAAGATTCTTGGCCAGGTCATGGCTAAAGAAGATATACCCTCATGATCAATGATGTATCGTTAATATGATGTCACAATATAATATTTAATCAACCTCAGGCCTCATCCATTCATGGTATGGTAACTTGTCTTGAAAGCCACTGTGGCCACAAACAAAAAAAGCCTTTTTATGCCTCCGTTACGAAGTAGCCGGAGGCATTATGTTTTCGGGTTGTCCGTCCGTCCCTCTGTACGTACGTCTGTACGTACGTCTGTACGTACGTCTGTACGTACGTACGTACGTCCCGTTCTCGTGATCGCGTTATCTGAAGAACCGATTGATGGATTCCTGCCAAACTTTGGTCATGTATGTATCTTGCAGAGCCGATGAACTGATTAGATTTTGGGGTTACGATGTCAAAGGTCAAAGGTCACAGGGCTCATTATGTATGCAAAAACAGCTCGTGATCGCGTTATCTGAAGAACCGATTGATGGATTCCTGCCAAACTTTGGTCATGTATGTATCTTGCAGAGTCGAAGAACTGATTAGATTTTGGGGTCATGAGGTTAAAGGTCAAAGGTCACAGGGCTCATTATGTATGCAAAAACAGCTCGTGATCGCGTTATCTCAAGAACCGATTGATGGATTGCTGCTTAACTTAGGTCATGTATGTTACTTGCAGAGCAGATGAACTGATTAGATTTTGGGGTCATGAGGTCAAAGGTCAAAGGCCACAACGCACATTATGTATGCAAAAACAGCTCGTGATCGCGTTCTCAAGAACCGATTGATGGATTCCTGCCAAAATTAGGTCATGTATGTTACTTGCAGAGCCAATGAACTGAGTAGATTTTTGGTTCATAAGATCAAAGGTCAAAGGTCATGGGCTCATTATGTATGCAAAAATAGCTTGTGAACACATTCTCATTAGAACTGACAGATGGATTACTATTTAACTCAGGACATCTTGCAGAGCCAATGAACTGAGTAGATTTTAGGGTCATGAGGTCAAAGATCAAAGGGTCATATATGTATATGAGAAATTGCTTGTAATCACGATATTCTGAGAACCTGTTAATGGATTACAATTGAACTTGAATTCGAAAAATGTCTTCTGCTTTGGTTTGTAAAATTGCTCTATGACGGAGGCATCATTTTCGACTGCGCGCAGTCGAATTCCATCTAGTTAAGTGTACATTAATGTAAGTTTGGGCACCAAAAAAAGTATGCAGTGCATTCTACGAATTCCCTGAAACATACTTTCTTACAGAAACCTCTCATAAGAAGGAAAATGCTGAATTTAATAAATGATGATGGTGCTGATGATGATGATGATGATGATGATGTATCTGTGGGTTACAAAATACAGAAATATGAAGTGCACTGCACTTGCATCATGTATTTTGCCTCTGCATTTTTCCATTTCTTTTAGGTGGTTTGCCCTATCATGTATGAATGAGGCCATAGGGATGTTGGTTGACTGTGAGGTAGAATACATAGAGATCCCACCCAGTTAAGTGCCTTCATTGCCTTGTGCAGACATTTAAAAGCAATCAAGTATTGCTGCAACAACATTGTTTATAGGTCACAAGTTTCTTTTGATTATTTGTCATTGTGTTTGAGTGTAATTACTTTATATTTTCTTGCCAACAACAATTACCTGCAACATTGATGGTTAAACAGAATAGTGTTTGACACTGGTACTCTCAAAATAAAACTTAAATATTGTTATGAGTTATAATCATATTTGATGTGCAAGTATGTTTCCTAGTGGGTGATCAAGGTTAAAGTGTGATGTAAACCATACAGAGTACTACACTAAATAATGGTCAAGATGTAGAATCTCATCTGATGCATAGTTTTTTCATTCATTTACATGCCTGTAGCTGAACAGACTCAGAAATAGAGTAATAGATTTTATTTTTTCATTGGGACATGATTTGTAGCTGAAAGATTATATTGAAAAACATGCACTTTTTCCCCTTTATATATAGACTCATACTTTTATGCTCAAGTTATATTTTTGTCATTGACTGTTTTCTCAACAATTCCTACATTGTCATTTGTGGGATATGTGCAATTCAAATATGATATCTTATTTAGTTTTCTTCCATTACTCCATTAGATAATATTTTTACTAGTAGTTTCATTATATCATCATGTGATTAGTTGAACACTGTGTGAAATGTACAAAGGCATTGTCAGTCAATTGGACATTAGTTCCTTTTTCTAACATCTTATTCTAAAATACATTTAATTGAACCTCATATACCGGTAGTTGGCTATGTTAACTTCAAAATGTGTAGGGAAAATGGAATTATTATGTGGCAAAAATAATGCAGCAGTGTAACATATACATCCAGATATTATATGAAACTGCAAATGATCATGCTACTTTCATGCACATCTAAATTTTGTATAGCATAGTCTATACCTGGTAGTACATGGCTCTCCTATGGTGGTGCCAACTCACAAACAAGTAATTATGGCCTTAATTAAAACCTTATGTCCGTTTATCAATTAATTGCCATATTAAAGACTATAGCTCCTCATTAATCATTCTTTCATCTATTACATGCCATAGCCGCACATAGGCATGTGATGGACCATTATTATTATTAGTTTCATCCCATGTTTTCTCACTGACTTGTAAACCTCTGATTATATATGATGGTGCTCTTTTTTCTTCTTTCTTTGTGTTTTCTGTGATTTTCCAAATGGTTTCTCTGTCTTCCATATACAGACCTCCATTTTTGTATTTGCATAATGTACACAAAATTCATTATGACAATGTGCCAAGTGGACTGATTGTGTCATATGGAAATCCTGTTAATAATAAGTGCTGGTATTTTCAGTGTTTTCAGAATTTTTGTTTTGATGATTAATACCACTAAGCCATTGAGTGTTTTTGTGACATGTGCATATTCCATTCGTAGAGGGGATAACTATGTATATGACAGGTTAATATGGTTATGTGTACTGCTGAGAAATCAATCAATTATCTCCCGTGGATGAAGTGTATCAGGAGTCAGGCCTTCAGGGTAGAATTACAAACAAATGCAAATTGCAAACTTACTTTGCATTTTCAATCCAGATTTGCAATTCTTCATTTGATATCCCTCCGTACATGCTCGTGTAGTCACAGTAGCTTGAGATATACCAGGCTGTTTACTAATATCAGACTCTTGGGCTGTTCATGGGGTCTCATCAGAGGGGCGTAGATCCTTACTTCATACCTATTATTCAGGGGGGGGGGGATGAATGAATAGATCATCCCCATGACCAATAGGTATTAAGTAAGGATCTACGCCACTGGCCTGGGTAGCTAATTCTATTGATATGAAGCGTGAATTTAGGACATGTGTTACAGAATTTGAAAGCAAGAATGTGATGTGTACATCTATCTTTTCCCACTTGTCTTAGCCCATACCAAAATAAGTTCCTGGCAAGCAAATTTAAGATTTTCTGAGCCAAATTAACTACTGTTCCTGGGCCATGTTTCATAAAACTTGTTATCAATAACAAGTTACAAAAACTGTTATAAGCTGCTGAAACCATGGCATTTGATTGGCTAAGAGCAAATTCTTCATAGAATATTAGCATTTGTTATTGATAACAAGTTTTATGGAACAGGGCCTTGGTATATATCATCTGCTGCAAGCCAGAAAGACATTTACTCCATTCTTATACAGAGAAAAATGTCCTTTTGCCTCTCAACATCTGTTCTCCAGTGGAAATTCTTGTACTCATTGTTCACTTCAAAATTATATATATATATATATATATATATATATATATATATATATATTTCTATTTCTTCATAATTCATTTTTTTAAATACATTTTTCATTTTGTATGTATTTATGTATTTATTTATTATTGTTATTATTATTTTCATTGGGGGAGGGGGGTGATTTGCATGGTTGTACAAAGTTATAATACAGAAATGACCATGTGTAACCCTTCATCATTATTAACTGCTGTTGATATCATTTTATCCCGAAAAAGTGGAGTGCCATTTTGTCAATAACAGCTGAGTTATTAATCAGCTTGTGTCTCGCTAATCACTGCATTTTGCAGGATTTCTAATCATCATTAAATTCCTCTGTTTTTAGCATGTGCAGCATATGCCCATATCTACTCACTAAAAAATAACTTCTCTAGATCTATGTCCACTATGTTAATGTTAGGGTTTGTTGATAACTTTTCATTCAGCTTGCAATCATGACAACTTTAGTTTGGGGAATGTGTTTCCATTAGTTTAAGAGCTAAGTTCTTAGTTCGTAGAAAGTGATCATTAAAGGCCATGACTTCAGGTTTTATGCATTATGTTGGTGATCTTCATTCATTTTCTTGTCGATCATCGCATTTGATTAGTCATTTGTATGATTCCTGTAAGGTATTGTTTTATCAAAAGATGGAACACTAAATGTACAACTTCAAGACTACAATAGGTGCCTTTTTTTATCTGCTTCAGTTCATTCATCATGTTATTTACTGCCTTTCTATCTAGTATCTTGTGCTGTTCTGAAAATGTTCTCATGATTTTTTTGTATCCATCAGTTTTGGAGTCTAGTTCAAAATATTTCTGTCATCAAGCTGCTGCTCCCAGTACTGTATGTAAAGAAGAGATTTGTGTAAGAATAAACATGCATACAATGACACTGTCTGTATGCTTAATGCCTTATAGGTTTTGAATTCTATTAAAAGTACTCATTTACTTTTTTCCACAATTATCCTCTTATTATGCAACTGTTGTTTGTTAAAAGTCTTTGCATAGTTATGCTATGTAGATCATGAGGAAGATCTTGAGAGAGTGTAGACTAGAGTATTCCATATTCTTGTTAGGATACATTTTCCAGGTTCTAGGCTAGTCATTCAGATATTACTTCATTTATTTTCTATGTTTGTGTATAGGCTCACCAGAGATGGTTATGTGGAGTGTGTATACGCTTCATAGATTTATACAGCCGTGCAGATAGTCATCATAGATGGGAATGGATGGAATAGGTTTAGATGAGAGGCAGGAATAAAAGAAGAGAGAGAGAGAGAAAAAGAGTAGGATAAGAGATGGGTCAAGAAATAGAGAAGGGCGTAGATCAAAAGAGAGTTGGACTGGAGACGGAATAGGGGAGAGCCATGAGAGAGTGAAAGAATGAGGAAAGCTGAAAATTAAGAGAGATAGAGAGTTGAAGAGGTAGAGATGGTGGGAAAACCAAGATAAGATCAGACAGATAGACAGGGGGGAGAGAGGGAGAGGAAGAAAGGAGAAGAATATGAGGAAAGAGAGAAAAGGAGTAGAAGATATATATATATATATATATATATATATATATATATATATATATATATATATGTATATATATTTTTTTTTTTTGATTTTTTTTTTTGGTTTTTCTGTTGCAAAAATGAAAAGAAAAAGTGCAAACATGGGGTATCAAAAACCAAATAACATTTAAAAAAAAATTAAATCACTTCTTTTATAATTCATCCTCCTTTGATTATATAGGCCGACATCTTTTCAGGTCATACACCAATACCAGTGTAATACCAGTCATCTTTAATGAGAAAATCAGTCTATTTATAGCAGCCCACCTCTGAATATCTTGCAGACAATAGAGCCCTTTCATATCAGAGACGGGTTTCAGATCTACCCTGACCTCAAACAGAAGCTCATGTGTCATCAAGGTACATTGATACACTAGTGAACTGAAGTAATCAATACAAACATATGTAGCTCTCATAGGCATAGTCAGGGGGGGGGGGGGGGTGGAGGGGCCATGACCATCCCCCCCTATTTTTTCATCTGCTACAAAAAGTGTGGGTCAAGATTTTAACCCTGCTCCAGGTGTTTTGGAGGGACTATGATTTTGTGTCTCTAGTCTACCCCCCCCCCCCCATCAATCATTTAACAATTCTGGCTATACACTAATACTATATAGAGTAGTCAAGCTTGAATCCATCTAGTCTCAGACTGGGTCTATGTTGTGCTTGCTTTTCTGACTATAGGTAGATGTGTGTCTTTTTTTTAGAATACAATTTTGTAGAGCTCATAGAAGATTTAAAAGTGAAAAGAGAGGAACAGCTATTTTTTTCAGGTCATTTTCAAAATGACAACAACTGAATATCTAACGAAAAAAGTGTCACGACTGTAACATCAAACTCATTTTTCAGATGAATAAACAAAACTTGGCGACATATTTTATTAACAAAACATTGTTCAATTCATTGTACTGTTGCAAAATGTACCTTGTTGAATACAATTACTCCCATTTCTCATTGTAAATATGTTTAACGAGCCCGGTATTCAGAAGGGCCATTCCTGTGGTTCTGTGTACAATGTCCTTTATAGAGAATGTGTAAACATTTATACAGGAGGCAAATTTAGAGTTTACTGTTTGCAGGTCGAGGATGGTGACCTTTAGAGTAGAAGTTTTGTTGAAAAGGGGTTCTCAATGGAGGGGTCAAATATAGCCAGATACATATAATGCATTGACTTAATTTGTATGAAGAACGATGATGAGTGTGGGAACTGAACTGTATATGCAAGAAAATTTCAAATATGAAACCTTGCAAATGAATAAAGATGTCCCGTTTTCACAGTAAGAAACTATCATGCTTTGTACAAATTCATTGTTGTATTAATTCAATCACTCAAGAAGTATATATTTTTGCTTTTCCAGTATAGTCCATATATTAAAATCTCCCATTTTACTTTTTATTTTGAACCCCCTCCCTATCAGTCCAACCTGACCCTTTCTATCCCTCTCTCTCTATTTCTCTCACTCCACAATCATTCTCTTTCTCTTTTAGTTCTAACCTTTCTTTGACCTATCTTTGACCTTATTCTCTTCTTTATAAGTTCCCAAAAACCATTGTTAGAAGTGTGTAAGCTGCTTGTCACTTCATAGGTTTCAGGGTTCAGGAATAGACCAGTTTATCCCAGAAAATTGTGTTCTTTAGACACAATAAGTGATTACCTGTCGGATGTGCTTCCATGCACTCACTGTAAGGCTGAATCTATCCTCTTAATCTGATCTAAAGTATATTCATGTAAATGCAATCAATCTCTTTACAACAATCGTTATCTCTGTGACATGCATGGGTTTCTATCAGAATAATGAAGTGTATTTGAAGTACATGAATACATTCCCAGGCATACTGCCCTTACCCTGCACCATATGCTTTAATAGTATACAGCCAGTCTATGTCCCTATTAATCAACTTGAGTCTACATCATGTACATGAATATAGTAGGCTTGTAAACAACACTTGCAACCATTCATCATCATAATATATTCACCAGACAGCATAAAGCACGAGGATATACCCCCCCCCCCCCCTTCCACCAAGTTTCAATCGATTTAATAAATGTCTGTTCATTGCTGCACATAAATCTCTGTCATCTCCATCTCTCTCCCTCCCCCCTTCTCTCTCTCCCTCCCCTCCCCCGCTCCCTCTCTCATCTTCCCTTCTACTTCTATCTCACATGCACGTGGTAAACATCACCATTCATATTCTTCCAAAGGGCCACACCCATACCTGTGGCAAGCAAGCTAGATTGATCTCGACACCATTCACTTTCACATTCACAATTCTAAGAGATGAATGAAAGTGATACTGAATGGGCGTTGGTCTTAAAAATGCTTTGGTAGCTAGCCAACGGTCACACCTACCTACCGATATCACATTTGTTTGCGTCAGTGATAAAGGTTAGTAAGTCAAAGTACCCTAGCTGCAATGGTTGTATAGTTGGACAACACATGCTCCTTCTACAATTGCTCCATGGTTAATTTCCTACACAAATCACATTTTCAACTACAAACCTGGGCCCCAACAATATACATAATGCTAACCCTAACCCTAAAACTAACCTAAAACCAAAATATAAACCCCAGCCCTAGGCTATGGTAATCATATCCATAAAGTATTATTGATGAAATGAAACGTACAGTATACCGGTATGTTGCCGAAGTATATGTTGGATCACTAGATGCATAATTTTGACTAGAAAAGTCTTCTGTTTAGGTTTATTTTAGTACAGAAAGAAGCAAATGATTAGTAAATGCCTTTAAATGAATGTGAGGTGAAAATTAACACTAGATACTTTAAACACTATTTTTAGATACCTAAATAAATATAACCAATGGACACAAAACATGACACAACTCTGGATATCAAATTAGGTTACATTGTATAATGGCATTGTTTTATAATGATTCAGATACAGCTGTGAGTAAAGATGAACTACAGAGAATAATAATTTTGTTTACACATGTAGATCAGACGAGCCAAAAAAGGAAAAGCAAGGAAACGGTACATTGATCCAACACCAAAATAATAACATATCTTTAAAAAAATTAATGAAAACCATAATCATAATCATAATAATGGTTTAAAAAGCAAACAAAATATTATATTACATTTATTATGAAACTAAGATGTGAAGCAGACAGAAGCAGTGTTAACTTAATGAATTGATGATAATAATATCAAAGCAAATATACTACAGACAGTGATGTAATAGTTTTGCATTAGTGACAAAATCACAATTGTGATAGCTGATCTATACAGGTAATGCATGACCTCAAAATTTCCATACTGGTGTACAGTAAGACACATAAATCTATTCTCTATCTATTCATTTCTTTATATTTTTGTTAAATCAATCATCCTTTTCTTGAATGACACAATAATTAAGTACTTTTGTTGTCAACAATACGACATTAACTCAATGTAAGGTACGCCCTCATTTTTTTTTTTAACAGTTCTACAGATTCCATTTGGTTTTATAGTACTTATCACCTTAGTACAGTTTAAAAGTACTGGATATTGGAAAGGTTTTACTGAATGCCTCTTATATAATTACATGTCAAGATCTATCTTTTAGAAGAATGTAAATTTCAACTCTTCAAAGCAGCATATGTTGAAGCCATAAGAAAAGGGTCTATGCCACAAAATAATACAGATGGACACTTACCGGTAGCTTAATGAGAACTAAATAACAACAGTAAGTCTCACATGAATTTTGTAAAGAACATAGGCTACATGTACATGTAAAATTGTGATGTGCCTTTTGAGACTAATATTTTATGCCAACAAAAATGAATAATTCCACTTTATAACTCTAAGCTGTACCGTGTGAACAGTACTAAGTTACTGTAGGACCATGAGGTATTTAGCAACTTAAGGCTAACATAATTTGAAAAGGAAGGAAAATAAAAAAGAAATTGTGCACTACTATATAATAGGCCTACCTAACTAAAAATGAAATCATATAGTCTCTGTACACATGAATATCATCAAAAACTAAATGTTAACATTAATTAACATTAATTTTGTGAAGAACAACAAAAATGAGATAATCCCACATATATTTTTAAGGGAAAAAAAATATCAGTGGATCAGAAAAATCTACATGATTTTCAAATTTCCACAATGTGTATAGACCAAGAGAATAGAAAAATAACACCATTTCATCACAAAAAAGCCAAATCATAGGCAAATACATATACATCATTTTCTTGTTAACTTTTAAAATCAAAGTGCAATATCTATTTACAAGATTAAATACCAAAAAAAGGCTTTACATGTAATGTACATAACCTAGACTGAATTCTGAGCTAACTGATATATCAATCTTTAAATATCACCTTCATAAAGTCATTCGTTCTCACTTTTCGGTGATGGTGGGAAAATTTAAAAAGGAAATATCTACCACAACCGCTTAAATTAGCATCAATCATTTTCAAAGAAATATCTTTTTACAGAGTAATAGTGAGTGATAAAATAAAGATCAGATAGTGCTATGTTTTAATTATAAACATATCATAAGTCATATCCTTGAATTGTGCTCCCAAATCATATTTAATTTTGTCTTATACCAATCCTGCATCTATCTAGATTAAAATACAGTAGAAATACCAATACAATCTACATTTCTTGTAAAACAAATTGATGAGTTGATTTACCATATTGTACCATTTTTTTACAAAGTCTTCCTTGTAGAAAAAAACTTGTCAACCATCCAACATTGCTTAACTTTGCTCTTTCTCAAATATGTAAGAAACAAAATGATCCATTGGTACAACTTAAAATAATACTTCAAGGCAATTAGCATTTATGTCTTGAACATCAAATAAACAATCAGTCAACTTGAGTCAAGTGATATATGTAATTTCCCCTAATAATCCACAATCAATTTGCCAATAGTATTTTGTGTAAACATAGCAAAGTATATTGATAAGTACATGCTAAAGGTCTACAGTATGACAATATGATCATCAAATACTGCAGAAATGAATGTTTGAACAGCATTTTAAAGGTTGGTTATTTGACTGAAGAGATCTTAATCAAACAAACAAAAATATAGGCGTGGTATACTGACGTGTAGCCCAAACTTCCAAGTCAAACTCTACATGCTGATACACGCATTCATATGTATTATTCTCTACGATGCATTAAAAGAATACAAACAGCCTTCATTTTTTGACAATTTTTACATTTTCCATAGCATTTGAACTTAACAAAAAGTAATCATTTGAAAACCCTTCCTTTTTCTCCACGAATATAATCGTCCCTGTATACATTTCCCAAACAGCTTTACATGTATGTGATACATGTACAATGTAGACGTTTTTCTTACTCTGTAATACATATATATATATATATATAGTTTATGTTTATTACACCTCATGATGGCTAGTGCATGTAGATACAGTACAAGCTCTGTGTATATGACTGGTTTAAGTAGGGATGCTTTATAGACAAATAGGCTTGTATCAAGGAAATATGGAATACATGACAAACACAAAATGAAGCATGAGAAAATGTAATGATCTGATTTTCATCAATTTCAATGAATAATACAATATATGCATAATACAGAGATCAAGGCAGCCGCCTTATCAAAATGCATGGAGAATGATGTACACCTGCATAACATTATATAATGAAATATATCATTGACAAATGATGACCACTTTAAGTTGAAATTTATAACTCTGGAGAGAAACTCTGGAGAGAAACTCTGGTTATTTTCATTCAATATGTTTACACGTCAGAAGTACTTCAAGAATTACAGATTGGCTTCCCCTCTCGATTTGGCACTGTTATTTCTCTGATTATCAAAACGCGGGTACATGAAAGTGGTTCCCAATGAAAAAGCACTCGCGGTAAAAACAAAATCCCTTTGATGACGACTCATTTACATTTTAAATGACTAGTTCAATCAAAATAACAGAATACACAAAAATGTACAAGTACATCACTGTCTTTGGTTTTGCATCTAAATATTATAGCTCTTGTGGCAGGTATTGTGTTCGAAGTCTGAGAATTGCATAAAGGTTTATAGCATTGTGACAATTTTAAGTCAAATTATGGAACAAGGCCACAATATTTATCTCAATTCATCTACAGTACATGTACATGTATGTCTAAAAATCTATTAAGGGTTTGAAAGGCAATTGTTTAAGTCATTTCCAGTTTTCAAATATCTTAAATTGTTATCATGTGTACTGTTATCATAATACATGAAGCTAACTATCATATATGATGGATGGATGGATGGATGAAGTTGAAATATAAAGGTTACAAGTTAGATTAGGATAAAAGCAAATAATATAATGAAAAGTTTACATCTTAGAAGCTATCCTATTGGTATACTGCCATGAAAAACAGAATACCAAAACTGTTGTAATTTTCTGTTAAGTGTTTGGTTAGAATAGTATCTTAAATCTTGGTGCCTACAAATAATCTAATTGATTTTTCTCCCCTATCCTATACTAAATCAAAACATATATACTTGATAAGTTGATATTATATATCATGTACATTATCATGTCAAAATTGCAATTCAATGTTTCGATTGGTAAACGGTAGGTGTTACATTCAATCCATTAATCCATATCCCACAGTTCCCACGCAAATACATTCAAGTCATATACCACAATTTCAAGACATAATTTACAACGGAACATAAATGCATATTTCATATTATACATGCACATGTTTTTCAAATTTCAGAACCATTGATTTTAGTCAAAAGAACTCTATTTTTCGTTGACATGCTGCCATCAAGCACAGTAGCGGACCTGTCCATTTGAACCATTTGGAGATGGCTATTTTTCACTGAAACTGAATTTCCAAATGAGTTTAATCCTGAGTTTTGGGCTTAGTTTAGTTTTACAAGATGACTAATCATGACATTAAGAATATACACATTTCAACTGAATCAAATAACAAAAAAAGGCTACTATTTTGAATACCTGTAAAGTTGCCTTAAACTAGATAATCATACCAATAGGTAATTTATTTAAAGGCCTAGGGGAATCAGTGACAATAATGATATTAGATTGTTGTGGATCGTAGCATTTTATCCACTACATGCTCATGGTGCTCCAATCTATATGAAATAGCCACTCACAATGGCAAATTACTACAACATAATGTAGAAAGGCATATTTTTTACAGTGTTGGTTCATGACTATAGCAATCTCATTCATGCCTACTTGGTGGATTTCATCTTTGTAATCATTCTCTCTTCCCCTCTTTTCTGTTTGTTGTTTTCGCCAATTTTTGTTGCAGCCACTTGACAATGTTATGATTTCATGACCACAAAGCGGTAAGTGTTGAAGACTTCCTTTTCATCGTACTTGATGATGTGGTAGACCGGTGTTTCCTTCCAGGCGTCTAGATACCTCTGAACAGCATCAAAACCATCCATTACTCCTTCAAACTGAATACAAATACAAACACACACAAAAAAGGTATGAGAGAGAGTCAGACCATCAAATCCACACAAAATTTGGGCCAAAATTGAAAAATCAAATTTTATTAACCTACCGTACTTATAGCTGAGAAGCCAAATATGTAGCACTTTGAACATACACTGTATCTAATACATCTGGATGTAGAGTAGCAAATGTAGAATAATGTCTGGTCAAATAACATCAATGCTAGACTAGGTTTCGAGTCTTCAAGCCCTTTAAACCTCTTGATTGAAAGTCAAGTGAATGTACTACTGTAAAGCCAGAAAATGTGGAACTTATATAGAATAGCCATTTTTCTTTATGTTACTTGTGGAACTGTGGTTTAATTGTTTCAGGGCATAAAGTTTCATGAAATCCTGGAGTCTTCTGGTCAAGCAAAATTAGTAAGCATTTCATGCATGTAAAAGTTTCTGGTTTATAGTACAGTCATACCTGCTTTAGTGACCACCTGTATAGAAAGACCACATTTTTTTGTTTTCCTTGATAATGGTTTATCATTGAAACATATACTAAAGGAACCTGCCTTCAAAGACCACTTTTTGTGTTTTCCTTGGCCGGTCCCTATAGACAGGTTCGACTGTACTACAGTACGACACGGCTTTCTCCATTACCTTGAAAAATTTGCATGCGACTTCAACACGATGGAGCTTTGGCAGGAGATCGCAGTCTGCTAGCGTGAAGTTATCACCTTCCAGGCAACGTCCAGGAGACAGTTCATCATCTTCAGAAGTATCCTTCAAGAAATCATCAAGCTTTTTGAGCTCTCCCCTTAATCTGTTGATTAGGACTTCCTTCTTGGATTTGTCCTGGTTCTTCATCAATCTGAAGGAGAAATATATATTTGAATAGTTTTAGAAATCATTTTCTATAATGCGTAGAATTATCAAAAAGATATACATGTAATAACATTTCAATAGAGGATTGAGGATTGCAAGGTTTCTGCAAGACAAATGATTTCAATGATTCAATCTATTAAAGAAATTCAGAATATTCTCATCTGGCTGGCAAACTTCCATATATTTATAAATAGGAAGCTACATGTACAAAATCTTCTTTACAAGTAAAAAGGAAATAGATAGCAAATTTCATTTCATCCTGTGATCTTGAGGCTTAAGGAGAACTGTGGTTCTGAAACAATTAACGAACACTTTGTGTGTACCTGTAATCAGGTAACCAAAGTAACCAAATAACGGTAGTGAACTTTCAACCTGGTCTCACTGATACAAACCGAGATGACCAAAAGGATTCTAGGACACCTACCCCTTGGACATCCATCCCCCGGATAACCACCCCCAGTCAACTATCCGCAGACAACTACCCCCAAAGACAACTACCCCCTACGACAACCATCCTCTAGGATAATTAACCCCGGACAACTATCCTAGGGGGTAGTTTTCTTGGGGTAGTTGACTGGGGGTGGTTATGCGGGGGGTGGTTGGGGGGGGGGGGGGGGGGGGGGGGGTTAAGGTCCTGGGGATAGGTGTCCGGATACGGACCAAAAGATACCTAGCAGAAAGAAGACAGAATGACCACCCCTGATACTCACGCTGAGAATTTACTGAAGATGTTTGAGCCGACCTTCTTAGCGGCTGGGTTGGCATTCTCCAGCTTGGGCTGGAATACAGACTCTAGGTAATGCTCTGCCTTGATGATATCATCGATGACCTTGCCAAGAGCGTTGTCTGTCTGAACGTTTGGATCCACTAGAACAGGAGGCGGTGTGTTTCCTAAGTACAGAAGAGATGGGTACTGTTAGGGTGTGTTCGCACTTACAATTTGAATTGGTAACAAAAACATGACTAAGTTTTCACTACACTTATAAACTCTTGATGACCTTGCCAAGATAGTCGTTTTTCTGAACATTTGGGTCCACTAGAACAGGGGCGGTGTGTTTCCTAAGTACAGAGGAGATGGGTACCGTAAGGGTGTGTTCGCACTTACAATATCCATTGGTATTATAAAATCATGAGTAAGTTTTACTACACGTATAAACTCTCATAAAGTTGCAAGGAAATATTGACTTAGAGTGAACTGGGAAGTAAAGAAGAAAATGTATTTCCTTTCATCACTTGGCAAGATGACATGGCATATACATGTAGGGAAGAAATAGTCAAACCAAATTATGTACATGTACATGTATACAGTGCAAAGATTAAGCAAAATCTGTAATCATAATTCATTCATCAAAATAACAAAGATGAGATACATATTCAAGAGTAAATGAAGGTCACTAGAGAAATTAGTTTGTTTGAGTTTGAAAGTGGAAAAGTAGGGAACTTTACAGAAAATGTGTGCAAGGTGCATGTACAGTTGGACCACAAAAGAGCTACATGTACGTGTGAAGATGCACTGTGATGTGTTCATTTAGAGGAGTATAAAAACATGTTTTGGATTCAAGCCAAATCAAATATAAAAGAATGTGACTGCTAAAGATAACATGAATGTATCAGTATGAAATCACCCATGCTCATCTATAATTTTGTGACACTTTACAGGTACAATCTTATTGTGAAACATAAATGTAAGGTATGTACATGTACAAGACCATGCAGAAAAGGAACATTTATATGCTGAATACTTTACATGTATTTGCAGTATACTTTAATCAACATTTCTTGTATTTAATGGTCTGTTAAGATTGGAAATGTGAAACATGAACTTTTTGACTAAAATTACTTTTGTTATCATTCTAGCAGTGCCTGACAAACATTTTCTTTTCTTTTCTTTGAGTTTGAATCAAACCAGGCATGAAAATCACTATCATTAATTTCAAGGCCCTGTGTGGTTTAATAGATGAAAGAATCTTTTTAGTACCGTAGTTCAACTGCATGCTAGTTGCTAATATGATGAGGATTAATACCTTAATACCTGGTTATGAAACCACTGCTCTAAATTTGAGCCATTGCATTTAAGGCTTCACAATCCCAGGGACCTTATCATGATTATTTGGCCATGGCGGGTCTGTTAAACTCATATGACCTTTGTTTCTCAGATACACTATGTAGATGCTTTCTACATGTATGTACATGTACGAATTAGCCTTTTCCAATTCAGAGAATGTAAACACACAAATGGCACACAAATGCACACACATGTACAGTAGGCCTACATTACATTTGAATAAGAACTCAAATCTTTTCCCAGATCCAAAGAAGAGTTAAATACTAAAGTACCCAGTACCAAAATGAAGGGAAAATTATTCTCCTGATCTGCTGAAAAAATATGAAAAGTACATGTAGGCCAACATGTACTTTTTATGTACAGGCCCCCACCCTATAGAGTACTTACCGAAAGCTGTGACGTCATAAAAATCTACTTTTAGAATTTCTCAATTTTTTCTTTATTTTCCGAAACAGCATAAAAAATAATGTCCAAATGTCGAAAAACCAATTGAATATGTTAAGTATTGGCTGAGATATGACCATCTGAATAAAAAGATTGCCTATGGGCACTCAGTGTTGTATGCTCTGGCTCCTAACTATTAGGAGCCAGAGCATTTAACACTGAGTTCCTATAGGACATATATTTATTTAGATGGTCATATCTCAGCCAATACTTAACATATTCAATTGGTTTTTCGACATTTGGACATAATTTTTGATGCTGTTTCGGAAAATGAAGAAAAAATTGAGAAATTCTAAAAATAGATTTGTTTTGATGACGTCACACTTCACCACTCTATTCACCACTCTATTCTCATGTACATGTACATGTACATGTATCTTGGTTACTCAATTTAAAGAAATAAGGTAAAGTGTAGATTGCAAGAGCTCTACAATTTGTTTGTTTTAATTCAAAATAGGTTTACAGTATGTTGTTTAAATATTAAACTCACCTAAGATTTTCTTGTATTCTGCTGGTAAGATTTCCTTATTTACTGTGCAGACTTGATATTTGATTTTCTTCAAGACAATGATCATAAACAGCCGCTGGCACAACGGACAATCTGCTATCTTGGAAGTTACTCCAGCCTGTTTCAATGACAAAAAGATAAATCAAAGTTAAAAGTACAAGTACATGTACACGTACATGTATGCAGTATTCATCACTTTGACGGGATTGGTGTTATATTGGTGATTAGCTTTAGCTTTTCTGGAAAATCAAGAAAATTCCTCTGGAAAATCAAGAAAATTCCTCAACATTTCAAGGAAAAGTATGAATGTGTGGTGGAGGGGATAATTGAAATGGAATAAAAGTTATATTTGTACAGAGAACAGGGGCCATGCTAGTTCTGTATCTTACTATCAAAGTCGAACTTATTTCATGCATGGCAAAACATTGACAGAGAGTTTGATTGAACAGTACTTATCTCCTTTTTTATATTTTGCTTTTAAAAAGTGAAGGAGTTAAGTCTTTTGAGGCTGGGGTCTAAAAGAGCCCTCCATCCATCCTCCTCCATAAAGCTTGATATGAAATGACATTAATTAACTTGTCTACAAACAAGCAGTGAGTGCAAAGAAATTTACAAAACCTGTGCATACAGTATCTTCTGGCATAGAGGAAATGGTTGTTGTTTGAATTCATCTGAAACCTAAATGTACTATACAGACTGTATTAAAATTAGGAATTAAACTGTAGTCTAAAAGTTCATTTGACAGAAACTAAATCAATTGTAATGACTGATGTTTGCAGGCAAAGATTAATACCTGACATATTTACAATGTATTTGACAATGGAAAATAAATACATGTACATGTACATGTAGACGTATTGTACATGTACATGTACATGGTGTGTCTAATTTATTTGATCTTGGTTTCAGTTGCCATATTGCTGGGCTGGCTCCCCATATAACTTTTATCTTTCATAGGGCCTGGTCGGAAGTACAAATATGTATAGCACACGCCCAATTGATTATGTCTTTTAAAAAAGTTTGTTCGAATAAGAACTGATGAGAAGGGGGCATTTCTGCCAGTTTACATTGTAGTTTGCTCCTGTGTGGGTGAAAGAACCACCTACTGTAGGAAACTAAGAAACACTGGTAGGCACATAAAGCCTACAACTAGTGAATGTCTCTTCTTGTATTGCATTATGAACATGTAATGCACAAATATACGCATACCGCATGTTTATCATAATACATGTAGTACATGTACCAAAATATGTAGATACAAATTAGTGACAAGAAGGCAGAAAATTCAGGATTAAATTGACTGAAATAGAATGTTTCTATAAAATGAAGAATAGTAGTATCAAAGGTGGGTCCAAAGTCCATCTCTTCTATTCATCAGAAACATTATTTGAATTGAATGGATTCTACTCCCTCCAGCTCAATCTGCCCACTGATCGCATGCAGCTATCATTCATAATAATATAATACATCAGAATTTAGACTGTGAATGCAACCTTTTACATTGCAGAGGGAGGGCTTTGTACATTCATTGTACGTCACAGCCCACCTGTAGTGGGTTGGGCTGAATCAGAGAGAGAGAGAGAGAGAGAGAGAGGGAGAGACAGAGTCAGAGAGAGTCAGAAAAAGAAGTTCATCACTGTGGAATGCAGAGTACAGTACCACGCAGTTCCGTTTCATTAACTTTTATCCATAAATGGGTATACAGAAAAGAAGTCACTGCCCACTCATAACACACAAGTTTTGAACTTTTTCAAGGACTGTTAAGGAGTACATATGTACATTGTACATTTGTACATGTAGGACATTGACATGATACAAATTATTTTCCTGCAATATATCTTAACATTTATGTAATAAATCAGGCAATAAGCCAGTTCGTAAATACAGTTGTAGCTTCGGAACGCATGACCCCAAAATATCCACAGATCTTTTACAAGATGGATACATGTACATGTACATGTACATCCCACTTGTGCATTTTGGAATAATCACTGTCAAAGTGATGGAGGTGCTTCATGAATACCTTTTGTTTGCCTCATGAGAAGAATACTTCCACCTGTGTATCAGATAAGTGTACTTGACTTTCAACCTGTCCACCTTTCATTCTTGGTCTTACAAAAAACAAAAAAAATATCAAATTTATAAGGGGTATGAAATTTAGTCGCTCATTGTACAAGTACAAGTAGAGGCCTACAGAGTACAGAATGAAGACGTGTTCAAGATTATAAAGGCCTTGGTTGTTCTGCATACCTGACCCCTTTTAGAACCTTCTTTTCTTTGAAGATAGGACAAACTTTCAATGTGTACAATAAGGATGCCACTTAAAAGATGAATGGAGCTTTGGGGGTGTGCCGTCAAACTTCACTGGTTCTTTTGTATTTCTGTGCATACTCATTCTTAGTTGGCAGAATAGTCTTAAACATGCAGACCTTTCTTGTGTATCAATAGAAAAAACTGTAAATTGTTCTTACATTGTACATGTATATCAGTATATATATGCTATAAATAAGAAACAAATTGTGTACATCATTACAAATACAAAAATGAAGTTCTGTTTTCTTTTAACCTACAATGTACATGTACAATGTACAGTGCATTTGGAATAAATCAAAACATCATTGTTCCAGGTCAATTTCAAGGAAAGTTGTATCACATTGTACAGAGTATACAAAGTATGTCCTTTCACATGTGCATGTACAGTACGTGCACTTTAAATGTATACTATTGTACATTGATTATCTAAAGGTGATATTCAGAAAAAGAAATATCTGGTCATTCTGGTGAAATGACAACTGCACATTGCCTATAATTTGCTTGAATTTTACAAAGATGTTAAAGTGTAAGCCAACAAAATGTACTTGTATAGTACATGTTTGTAGTATTATCATCAAGAAATGCTGAATGCGCACTCATTACACTGAAATAAAATGTACCAATAATTGGTTTTCAATAACAATAACAAAAAAACTAAAACTGTTAAAACCGTTAAAAACTTGCACTGTTGAGAACATGAGATGTACATACAGTGTGAACATGAAGGCCTACATGTACAGGGCCTACATGTACTTGTAGGCTTACGATTTGTGAAATAGAATTTTTTTTTCTATTATTTGGCCAGCTGGTTCACAAACATACATGTACATGTACAGTGTATTTGACTAAGGGCGTGTTTATGCTTCACTTTTGAAGGCAGAATGAGCGATTTGTAACGCTCGTCGTAAACGCTCATCGTAATCGCAGTTCCACGGTGTACTGTTCATGCTCACTTCTCAGGCTCCCCCAGTCAATTCTCCGTGTGGCCTTAATTGGTCTTCCAGCTGGATTCGCAAACCTTCACTGTGCATGCTACGTAGACCCACTAGAGGTCAGTGCGTTGACCCCATTTAAACGCGTTTACAAATTGTAAACGCATCTTTTTGTGAGTTTACGATCGGCGATAGTGATCGCCGTTTTTCGGTGATTCTACAAAAGTGAGCATGGACGCAACCGTGTTCTAAACTAACAGATGCCTGATTCTGGCTAGAAAAAGTGAAGCATAAACACGCCCTAAATGTACATCGTGATCAACATTGGCAGTGTCCTCATTATTTATGGAGGGTGCATCACTGTAAACAAACTACATCTGGTTCACTCCCTAGTCCTACCATGTAAACATTGCTAGCTACCACCACTGTCCATTTTTCACCCAGTCAAGTAATGAAAGGAGACATTTGTTATACTGTCTCTGATTAAAGGGTGAGCTTGGCGAATCAATGCCAGTCTAGACATGTGTTGCACAGAACTGAAATTACACACTTCTCCATCACTGTGTACAAACATAATGTACACCACATGTATGGCTACTGCATGCGTTGTGAGTGCATGGCCCATATGTTTTTAACAACAGTCTAAATTCTGGAATACAGCATCACATTTTTAGTTGTTCAGATGATATAGGTAACAAACTTTCAGAATATCAAAGAATAGTAATAAATTCAGAATACTGTAGATGTATTTTGAAAATTACATGTACTGTACAGTATGATATATTACTAAAAATTTGTATGGACATTTACATACATACCAGTATACATGTAGGGTTTACATGTACATGTAGTATCTTGCTACACTGTATAATTATGTACCAGATTTACAAAATAATGTAAACTGAAATAATTACAAATGTGTTTCTTACATTTTGTAAGTACAAATACAATGTTCATACATCATGTACATGTATGCCTACAAGTCATGTGTTAAGCCACAAACCTGTACAGTCAAATTAATAAGCTTACAGTTGTAAATTGTCAATGAATTCTTACACTCATTGGCCACACGATTTAATCACGATAACGGTTGACTCGTTTATCTGCGCAACTTCAATCAATACTTTGGCATTCCCAGACAAACAATTGTTAGTTTGTTTTAAAAGCCCTTGAACATTATTGGTGTGAGCCCTCAAAAATCAATTGGTCAGATTTCATCGGTTTCACTACATAAAAAAGCAAAGCACGAACATTTTATTTACATGATAAATCATGTACGATGGTTTCCATCATTTTATTGGCCTATTGTGCCTATTGTTTTACATGTACATGTACACTGTAATTCCAAGATTGCACAAAATTTATTTTGATAATTTGCCTAGATACAGGGAGATGATCCCACTACAGTGCAGTTGTATGTCAATCCTTACTGCATATCGTTATACTGGTAAATGGATTTCTAAAAGTTGTCTTCATTTATAAAACGAAGAATAAGATAGTGAAAATATAGGGTAATGTTTGCTTGTTTAATAATAACATGAAAGTATATATCATACCAAACTAAAGTTTATAAGTCCTACATGTATGAGCTAAAGCAGGGGTTATTTGGAATACAGTGTACTCTACATGTACATGTACATAATGTACAGTAGCATTAATACAGTTTATACTTCAAACAATCTTTCAAATACTGATTTGAAATTTATTGTTAATTAGTTTTCGACAAATCTCTGTGTAGCCAGTATCAGGAATTAATCCACAACACCATAATAACATGGAGAAATCAATACAGCTGCAATACCACAACATTCGTTGTTATTCCCAGCAGCAAACGTCTTGAAATGTGTTACTACATGTACATGTACAGTGTATGTACATGTTCTGATTGGGTGTAAGAATTCAAAGCAGAGTCCAGCAGTACAACTTGTTGACTTCTAGGCATCATACTACTTTTTTGTTTGCATTAAAAAGAATTTACAAATACGTGTGCATATTAGAAGGGTGCAAACTCCACTCAAACTTAATGGACTTGAACTTTGTTTGTTTATCATGACTAGCACGACCATGGCCTCTCCCGTTTTCCATAAATTCCTCATTTATTTGGAAATGGAAATGGTCAGTGATATCTGGTATGTCAATAGAAACAGGATTTAATTGGTTTAATATTGTACCACTATTGCTAGGTGGGGACTATAGGTTTGATTTGGTTGAATTAACACTCAAGTACATGTACGCCCCTGCACAGTATCTGAAGGTACATATACATGGACAGTGGTTTGTGGTTTATCTTGTGATATATTTATTGAAAAGGAAAATCATTGAAGTAGAGATGGGGTGCAACGAGGCTACACAATTAAAATCAAACAAGTGTGTAGCATTTTAACTGTGGTCATGTTCTAAGAATAACAGAACTGAACTGACTGTACAACATGTCACTGGAACATGTACATGTATGATCAAGACGATTAGCCATTCTCACAACAGATAAGTTAATGGAGAAAAACAAATATTTCTTACTAACTGTGAAGATTGACTAAACACACAGATATTATGTAATGGGAGTGTCTGTCTCACTGTGCCTGGCACTGTACTTGTACATGCAATCGTTTGCACATGAATTGCACATAATATATCATGCACAGATCTCTCCAGAATGTCTAGCCTAGGGCTAAGTTCACTGTGGTACAATCAGCATTTACCCGATTCCGCCCTGACCTTTACCCAGTCTTAAGAGCAAAATGGGACACACGCCCACTTCCCTACTGTGCTGTAAATTGACATGCAATTCACAATGAAGGAGTACATGTACCTCACCAAGTGGCTCAATGGTGCATTATGATAATGTCCATGGTAACTAATGAGGAGGAATGTACATGTACATTGTAGAACCCTTAATTGCTTCACATATTTCAGCATTAATGGGGTGTTTATGACATTATTCTCTACTGAAATGTACATGTACATTGTAGTACCCTTAATTGCTTCACATATTTCACCACTAATGGGGTGTTCATGACATAATTCTCTACTGAAATGTTTACCTACGATGCATGTGTACGGTACATTTGTACATATACAGAGTATTTAGTAAGCTTATTGAAAAGTCTAGAAATTTTAAATTTTGCTTGTGTACTGCCTCCATTGCACAGTGTGTGGGTAGACTCAAACTGGGGAAATCATGAGCCCCATTTTCATTTATTTAAATAATTTGTGTTAAAGATAAACTTGAGTTCTGGTAAAAAAAAAAGAAAATGAATTCTCACAGAATCAAACGAAACTTACACTAAAAGTTCAAGATTACAAATAAATGTCATTTGCCAAAAAAAAGAAGACCCCTCCCTCCCCCTCCCAACATGATTTAGACTCCTACTGTCACTTACAGGGAAGGACGGTACATGAAGCAAAGGGCAGAGGCTAGATGAGAATAGACAACAAAATATATTCTTGACTTCCATCTACCCTCCCCCCCCCCTTTCTTAATAGGAAGGATGCGACCATACATTTACAAAAGTTCAATTTTTTTTTACATTGTACATGTACATGCGATGTGAAACTTGTGTGCATGTTTCACTTTCACACAAGTTTTCTTCATTTTCTATAAATAACATTTACAAAGATATGAAAATATTCAGTTATGGCCTTTTTATGTTAAAGAATTACAATCTGTACAGCAAGTATGAAATGCATTGAAAAGACATGTCATTGTAATACTGTACATGTACACATGCGCTTGGTATCCAGCACAACTAGTGCACACCGTGCACCACCCACCATCTGCCTCAAATAAATAAACATGTAATGTGCACATAACACAAACTGCAGTTGTTGTAAAACTGTTTGCTGTTTTACAATAACTGAAATGAATTTAAATCTCCAGAAGATATTCTCAAATTTGGGAGACCAATTTCTTTTATCTAATTTTGCTGCAAAGGGTCCATTACATGTACATGTACCTCGCCTCAAAATGAAAATGTGATAAACAGATTCCTCATGAAAAGTTATCTGTTTGACCATGACCATCTACTTTAAATATTCACTGTCTACTTTTGTTTCATAACTGTTTTGTTGTTGTTATGATCCACAGTCCATACAAAAGACATGGGTTCCAAACCTAAGAGAAGCTAAAATTTTGCTGGGAAAAACTGTCTTGTGTATTATATTGATGTTAGACTTGGTCATTGATGTTTGATTCTTTTCATCTTCTTTCTTTTCCCTTTAGTACATGTAGCTTTTTACAAAAAAATTGACCTCTTAGAAGAAAATAAGTAAATAAATAAAATGTAATCTAAATCTCATAGTTCATTGACCTTTTGACAGAAGTACTGAAAGTACTACACACTGAGGAGATCATATGGATGTGAATTTGACCTACAAGAGGAGAACAATCACACACTTCATAGCCACTCTGGAATCATCACCAGAAGCTGGTTGACAATCGCCACCACATAGTCAGGTGGCTTAGTAAAATTATTGTTACTTGCCGAATAAAAGCACCAGGCTTCCTTAGAACCTACTTAACGATATTAGGATACGAGCCCCAGCAAAATTTCAATTTGTAAGGGTGTGGGGCGGGAGCGTCTTTTTGGAGCCCCCAAATAATTTTATAACATTCATTTGTTGTGGTACAAATGCCACTTTTGGTACAGGGCTTCCTTATGACCTACTGAATGATGGTAGGGTAGGAGGCTAGGAGCCCCCGGCAGAAATATTCATATAGACCCCTATGTGTGATTGGGGGTCCCACTCCCATGGCGTCTGTACAACAAAAACTCAATGTTCCGTAATGACATTTTCCATCGGAGCTTTGACCCCACTTTGCATAATGTATGCAAGAGTTGCGTGGCAGGAAGGTTGAATAACAGTAGGGCGTTGGTCATTGACTGCTATCTAACGAGGCAGTGCGGACCACCCGATTCTAAAAATTCTGAAAGAATTTTTCCTTCTTAACAGATTCTTTAGGGGGAAACATAGCGGAGGTGTCCGCAGCCGTCCTAGATGAGCGGTTCTCCCTTAAGTGTTTGGAAAGTAACTTATATGTTTTCTTCAGCAGGTGGGTGAAAGCGCGATGGAAAATAATTTATTTTCGTTTGAACAGCGTGAATTAGAAAATAAACTAAGATTACAGTCGCTAACTTAACACACATGCGCACCTGCACCCCACCGTCGATACGGTATGCAATTAATTGTATTGTGCAGCAGTTTGCCGTGAATCCCGTGGGAAAGTGTACATTTTAAGTCTTTGTTTTTAGGAAAAAATACTCCAAACAAGATAACAAAATTGACACGAAACAGGTGAGGTAAGAAACATAACAACTTTTAAATCAAGACCATTATTTGAACAATTGATGAAGATGAAAGTTGAAATTTGATATCTTTTGGTAGGCTATCTCCACGCCGGAGTTACGGGTAAAAAATGGATACAAAAGTGCACTAGCGCCAAGTAAAGTTCTAGACTAGAAGGTCTAGGTCTACTTGTAGACTAATGACTTTTTATATTTGTAGATCTAAATCTATTTAAGACTGAATTAGCCTGAGGCTAAAGTAGATTTTCGTTAAGTGGCAGGGATCATGATTATGATTGGTTTAACTCCATTGCCTTGCCTTGCATTGCTTTGCTTTGGTTTGGTTGGCATTGCATTGCCAGCACAACTCAATTTACGTTAATGGAAGTCTACGGTACCTTGATGTAGAGAGTGATGGGCTGATCCCCCGAGTCTTCCTCTTGCTCAGCACCATCACCATTGGTATCGGGAGCTGCAGTTTCAGTTGTCTCAGGCTCAGCACCATCACCATCACCATTGCCATTGGCATCGCCAGCTGCAGTGTCACTCGTTTCTTCTTCTTGAACTTCGTTCGGCGCATCTTCCTCTTCGTATGTCGCATTTTCCTCTTCGTTCGTCACAATTTCCTCTTCATCCTCGATTTTCATATTGTCCAGCTGCTCAACGTTTTCTACCTCTTCTCCGTTCATTGTGGTTGATTATTCCGTTAGATTATCCAATAAAACAAGGTCGAAAATCGTTCAAAATCGCAGGTAGACGTCAGTGCAGTGCAGTGTCAGTGGGTCGGATATGTTGATTCAAAGCTGGATTTTCGTTTAATTAATCGTGTGTACGTACGTGTGTGCCCGCGCGCGCGCGCATGTGGGCATTATTAGCTTAGGCATAGACAATTCGACCCGACGACTTTCAACCAACAATTTTTAGTGCCATCGACTCATGGACTTCGAAAAAGAAAAAAAAACTTATTTTTGTATTTACAATCATAATTTTTAACGATATTGCTCCAAAATGAAATCCGACCTAAATCACAACATCAAAGATAAATGTTAAATTAACACAACGAAAGATTTAAATGGTATTAGCATGGGATGAACTTTGAAGCCTTTGCTTGGGTTGAAGCAAAGTAATTTTAAATTGATGATTAGTGAAAAATAAAAGTATTTGATTTTATTGAGAAGTGAAGACCTCTAATCACACAGGCTCAAGGGCGTAGCTAATTTTTTTGCCCAATTCGTGAGAAAATATTTAGCGGCGAATCAGCCAGTCGGTGAATAAAAGGGGGGGGGGGGTGGGTATTTTTAAATTCGAATTATAGAGGGATATCCCTTACAAGCTCCCTTTCCAAACTATTTTCAGGGATAATAGACTTCAAAATATTGAAGAAAACAACATAGGCCAGTAAGGCCTAATGATAATCAGATAGGGTTTAGAAAAGGCTTCAGGACTTCAGTGACCATATATTCACTCTAAAAACACTGGTATGTTCAAAAATAATAAATATTGTACGTGTGTTTTGTGGATTTCCGCAAAGCGTTTGATTTATTTTTAAAAAAGCAAATAGTATTTTTCAAAAGGAGGCGTTGGTCAAAAAGGAGGCGGGCTGGGACGAAAAAGACTACATTTTTGTTGCACTTGATACAACCATGCCGGCGCATCAACTTTCATGCTATAGTTGTCCTTCTCTGCACATCGATGCTGTTAAATCATATTCTTTAGACCGCGGCTATATCATGACATATGACTCTGGCACTGGCGTACTGATGGGGGGGGGGGGGAGGGGGAGGAATTGCCAAACCCCCCCCCCCCCTCCAAAAATAAAAAAAATAAAAAAAATTCAACTCAGTGGTTTTTCTAATTCGATATATAAATGTTGCTGAAATGACATGATTTTGCGGGGGTCTTTTCTCACTTATTAAAATATATTATAATTTTTTTTCCTCCTCACCCCCCCCCCCCCCCCAAAAAAAATTGTTGCTCCTTACGCCACTGGCCTATGATACTTCTCGTCTGCGATAACATAGTAATCTGTATTACTTTCTCCGTTGAACATTTCCAAGCCTAGGCGTCGTGGTCGAGTGGATACGTCGACGGACTTAAGGTCTTAAGGTCCGCGGTTCGAGTCCCCGGCCGCGGCACTAATGTGCTTTGGCAAGACAATGATATACATTTGCCACACTCAACCGAGGTGATGTAAATGGGTACCTGGCAGGAATTAATTCCTTGAAATGCTAGAGCGCCGCAGTGGCTGCCTTGCTAAAGCCCCCGGCTCCCCCACTCAGAGGTCGGAATGACCGCATGCGTGTTGCCAAAATGTCTGGTAAAGGGGTATTTTTCGTGCGACAAAGTCCGGCCCGAGAATTGTAAAAAAGGGGGTGTATTTGACTTTCCACCCTGAGATTTTTTTAAAAAGGGGGTGTTTTTCTTTTTTTTCTCTCATCTCTTTGGACTCCTGAGAAAATATTCCGAATTTAGGGGGGTACATTGAGCATTTTTCCTGAGGGGTCTCCAAGGCAGGAAAAGCCTGTGAAAAGCCCGCGAAAGGGGGGTTTGGAAATGTTGGCAGTCCTCAGATAGGGGGTGCTTTCAAAAAGAGGGTACGAGCATATGCGTACCCTAAATAACACTGAGTGGGGGGGGGGGGGGCCGGGCTAAAGCCAGGGTAATAATAATCGGGGCAGCGCCGTAGGAGCGTCACAACGTGACGGACATGTGCGCTATATAAGAAGCCACCATTATTATTATTATACCGGGAGGCTGTTGCAAATGTAAAAAATTCACTTTGTGGCAATGTTTGGTCTTGAGCTTATAAAGTCTGAAAATGTAAAAAGAGGAGCATGACATCCCAGAATACAGCTCATTACTCCCCCACAGGCCTGCACGACTAACCCTCGCACCATTTTAAGTGCCTTCGTTCTGCGAAATTGAAACTGAGCTGTCTACCGAGTTTGCGTGGTCGAGTTTTATGTAGGACGAAGTATTACGTGCACGCAGCCACTTTTAACGCGCGCCCATAGTTCTCGTTCTCCGAGCTCCACGCCAAAGGTACACGCCCAGCTTGATTGAGCAGTGAAGCAAGTGCGAGAGTGACCACTCCCTCACCTCTTCAAACCCCATCGTCTCTGATCATGAGTCATCATCTTATCCCGCGGACCAGATTTTGACCCTGAAGACAAGTGAATGTTTTGTATCCGATTTTAGGTGTGAACATGTTTGTACACCTTCGATGAAAAAGAATTATGGCTTTTTATATCTCATGAACAACTGACAACTTGTAGGCCGATGACACAAAGTTGTTGAGAGATAAAAGTGATGTCGGGCAAATCTTCTGAAACGGTAAAATAAATATATCGCATAGGGCCTATTAGCAATACTAGCAGACTATATTAAGAAAGTTGGCTAAGACTCCGTGCGTGTGTGCGTGGGGGCGGGGGGGGGGGTGGTTGCAATGGCGCAATTTCATCATGTGTGTATCTCCCACAATGGCAGCTACGTAAAAATAATAATAATTTTTATTTATGGAAACATAATTTAAAAAACTCGAGATTTAAATTTCAATTGCCACTATAGGCGACCCCCCCCCCCCCTCTCTCTCTCTCTCTCTCTCTCTCTCTCTCAGTACCTATCTTTCCTTCCATCTACTCCTGAAGAACAAGAAAAAGTAAATACAATGATATATAGGTAATTCTAAAGTAGTGCAGCCTTTATTGATTCAATATTAGTGAAAGACATTGGCACCAAAATGAACATGATTGGTCCTCTGGGTCTGATAACACTTATATTAAGCTGTTTTTTCCCATTGGCAACATACTCTCTAAATAAAAATCGAGTGATCACGGACGTCACTCCTCTGGAGAGTGAAAATGTAGTGAAAATAGAGTGAACATTCACTCTTTTCTTCTTAGAGAGCACTCTAAAATCAATCGATTTTCACTCCTAAACAAGTGATCACGGACGTCACTCCCAAGAAAGTGAAAATAGAGTGAAAATTCACTCTTTTTTAAGAGAGTACAGTATACTGCTGCCATATAAATGGGCTAATTCTTCTCCACTATACCGACATTTCTTCTTTCTAAACATCCTACTCATTCCGATATACTACTAGGCTACATAAGCTTTTAATATGACCACACTTTATTACAGTGAAAAGTAAATTCGTATTAAAAATATACAAGATAATGCGTATAAGAAGGTACATGAATGTATATAATTAGTTACAAAGATATTTTATACTTCACCGCCCGAATAGGAGGTGACGAGCTCCAGAATATTGGTAATTTCGAAATTCCCAGGGGCTGAACTCTGCCTCCCCCCCCTCTCTCTCTTTCTCTCTCTCTCTCTCTCTCTCTCTCTCTCTCTCCCTCTCTCTCTCTCTCACCGGCCTCGTACACCTCTGATCATCATCGAAGTATTTTACATTTCCATCAGGAATTTGACAGTGATGGCGGTCAGTGAGACCAGTGTTGCAAACAAGAAGAGGCGATCCATGATGCGGGCAAGTAGTTCGAAATCATGTATCTTGGGCGACTGTTCAAAAAAAGAATTAGGATATACATGTATTTAAAGTTTATATTTCGAACAAATCAAAATAATTTTGAGATTTCTATGTCTTTTGTACTAAGAAACGTAATGATTAAAATGTAATGTACAAAGTCGTTTATTATTTCTTTCCCATTTCGTTAAAAATATCTGAACATACGAAATATAAATCCCAAGGTAAATATAGGAGCAAAACTCCAAAGGGAGTGGAAATGGTACACATTGTGCGTGAATGAATCCGGTGACTGGGGTGATAATATAATAATATAAAGCGCTTTGAGACGGTATACGTATTAAGCACAATATGAATCCAGATTTTAACTAATATTGATACACATTTCGTTAACATTATACTGGATTAATTTGTGTATAATAGTTTTATAATGTTAAGTCTATAGCAGCGATATTGCAGCCCGACTTTCTCTCATTTATCGATGGGCCTCTATAAGAAAATTGACAATATCATCATCTAGAATTCAGTTCCCATTAATATAAGTACCTCGGTTTTGTCTTGTTCGTCGAATCGATTCGTTGACTGTCTTTTCACCCAAACATCATACTGTGACAAAGTGTGACCATCGGACGATCGTGTTTGTGCTAAAAGAAAAATAAAACATAATTGTAATGAAGAAACCAAACCATTTGTAATCAAATTCTGCTTTGCATTCAATATTTTGTGCATTCGAATTTGATTGTATTGCATTCCTTTGACTATTATTATTAGCTCTGATTTTTGTTGAACATGTCATGTAGAGTCTAAGAAGGACGCAACGCAACGAACAACGGACGTAAGAAATCGAAAGAGCGGAACATATCGCTTGCAAAGCCGCAAAGGAGCCTCTCTGCTCACCATGAAAGAAAGAAAAATTTAAACGTGATTAAAATCATATAACTGGATCTGGATAGCATTATCTATAACAAGTGGATGCCATGCCCATTTGACTTTACAGATTTGAAGTATTTTGACATTTGAACAGTGTTTGCAACTGAACGTCCTCATTCGTTTAAAATAGTTGGCGAATTATATTACTTTTGAACTTTTTATTTGAAAAAATTGCGAAAAAAGCTAAGTGTGGTTTCTGAGGACTAATTTTGGTAGGTTTATTGAAAGATGCGTAGGGTTTAATAATGACGATTTTGTAACATTTTTAGATCTGGTTCTCGGCCACAGACTAACCTGCACTATCCTTCATCTCCAGACCTCCAGCTTTGCAGCTCTCATTGGGATTCGAACCCTGGGCCTTCTTCCCGCCACACCTTCCCCCACCCAAAAAACACCATGGTCCAAGGTGGTTGAAGAAAACACTGCGGATGAACTTGTTGTTGATCTCGCCTTCCCGGTGACTGAGGTTGATAACAATGGCGGACATAACGGTGACGACTATGGTGATGATAAAACAATCGCTCACATATTCAGTGACCACGGCAGCGTCTCCTAAACAATTAATGAAAAACTATTTAATCTAACATTCCGTATATTTTAATCAATATCATAATGGGACACAGAGATTGTGTGTAAAAAAAAAAAAAAAAAAAAAAAAAAAAAAAAAAAAAAAAAAAAAAAACACCTGACAGTAAATGTGTACATACACACTAGGTGCGGAGGGGGGGGGGGGGGGGGGGGGGGTGTGCATCCCCAACTGAATTTTGAAATATAAAGTATTCGGGAAACGATCACCTCATAATTACACGGGCAGCGGGTATAGGCCTACCCGAAAAGGAACATTGTATTGCTATCAGGCTTATCTAGTATATCTTGATAATAACTTCTTTTTTTTGGGGGGGGGGTCGCTCTCTTAATTTTCCTCGCAAATTTTCAATACAGAAAGACGACCTTTGGGTAAGCGAGACGTCAAACCTTAGGATTAACACGACAGTGGAAACTTTATTCTAAAAGAATGTCAAGAGTAACAGAATCCGCGCCCTTAAATTAGTCGGCGGATTGCTATTAGACTGGCTTTTTTTAAAGGGGGGGGGGGGGGGGGCTTGGGTTTTTGTTTTTATTTTCTATATGTGCCTCGCTTATATTACTTTATTGTAAAGATTTTTGTTTTTCCTTTTCGGGGGGGGGGGGTGAGGCTTCAGCCCCAAGCTCCACTATAGAACCACTAGGCCTACTGGGTCGCTTCTCTGTCTGATATTCTTGATTGGGTGAGTCATAATGATTACCTCTAGAGTTCTTGGGCAGGTTGTCTGTAACGACGATCTGGAACACCGTCAGACCAAGGACAAGAGAGATGGCGGCCGAGAGGCGCTCTCCACTTTTGGCGGGAATGATGAAAATGATAATCGACAACCAGCTGAGGATAGCTATTGGTGACGTCACATTATCAATGTAGTACCTTGGCAGTCTACGGAGCTTGAAACACATCCCAACCATCTCATAAGTGATGTTTCGTGGGATGGAGACAAACTCAGAAAGTGTGTAGGTACTAATAATGTCCCACTCAGAGCTGACGTCACGGCGACCGTCAACAACTTGTACAGAACTTGAGTCAACTCGTACAAGGTGGATTGGTGTGTTTTGCATTGTAAATCGCAGCCTTTTGAAGAAGAAAAAAGGTACTTGACAGATAATGATATTGGTGGAATATAGTCAGGATTTTTTTCCGACGGATGGAATATATAATTATATGAAACATAATTTTCCCAATTCCGTTTAGTTCGCGGTTCTGAATTGGTTCTTTTATTTAACACTTTCATAAAAAGCAATGACATTGAATCAAACAAAAGACATATCCAATTACGATACCAAATTGAAAAGACATAAATAACACCAAGTTAATACGAAGTGTTGGGGGTTAGCTAATCTCCTTATACAGTGCTTATAAAGACGGTTTCCCGCTTCCTTTTTTTTCTTTTCAAATTTATTATAAAGTAATATGAAAAAGATCTTACCAGCATTCCTGTTCGTCAAAGGGGAACTTGTGAATTTTCATGTCACATGATGTATGATGTAACAATGGTGATTCTAGATGTACTTGTCCGTCATAGGTGATATACGTTTGAGTGACGTCACGTTGAATAGGGTTCGCCGGCTGGTCAAGTACACTATGTATATTCGAATAACATATGCATAAAATGGATTTAGTATTGTTATGATTATAAGTAGGTAATTTAAAACTTTATTTCTGTGATTTGATGAATAATGATAATAGTGGGTTCTTGTAACTATAGCACTCAGTCAGTCAGACATAGGCCCGGCGCGATAGCTCAGTCGGTAGAGCAGTGGTCTCGTAATCTGGGGAACCAGGTTCGAAACCAAGTCGATGCGCTAGTGCCCTTTGGTAAGGCATTAATCTTCATTACCAGGTCCCTCGGAGAGGACCTAGAGCCCGTCCGTAGCATTTTAAGAAATTGAATCCTGCCAGATATCCATTTATCTCACCTGGGTCGAGTGTGGCAAATGTAGATTTAATTCCTTGTCAAAGTGGTGTGATATCAATTCGAACCCCGTACACCCTGTGATTCAAAGTCCGGTGACTTATCCACTATACACCACCTCTACAAGTATAATCAAACAATAGTTAATATCTTTTTACTCTTCCAAAAAAGGTCGACATTCCGAATTATATCTGGCAGGGTTGTCACTCCCGTTGGTGTAAATGATTGACAACAAATACTCTTGTTCTTTACATTGAGAGAACTATTCTGTCAAGGAAATGATTACTGTGTATTACACTAATTCCTTCTGGAAGCAAAGAGGGCATGACTGCCCACTGAACGCCTTGTCATTTAGTGGCTCTAAAACACAAGATTCTTTCAACTTGATTATTTTTGTCTGTGGTTATTATGTTAAAAACACAGACCACATTATTCGAGCATTGACATGTTGAAAAAGGGTCAAAGTACTTTCCTGTGTCAATTATAAATCTATATTTCTATACAAAGTCAAAGAGAGAGAGAGAAAGAGAGAGAAAGAGAGAGACTGAAATAATGGATACCCCAAAAATAATAATCAGCTACATGTATATCGCTGCTATCCACATCAATAATACAAAATTTAAAGGCCCTCTGTTGGTAGTGCTTAATTAAATAAAGTGCACGAACAATTTAAAAGGGCCTTCTTTAATGATTCACAATGTCATGCAATAATATTGCGCAGAAGTGGATTAACCATTCATTCAATGTGACTGTACTTTAAACTGGAGATCTGATGTGATTATTTAATCCTGACCAATCTTGTTTTATTTCCACCAGATTCTTAGGACCCTGAACTGTTCATGACTAATAAATGGCTCGGTGAGCCTTTCGAGGTGATAATGTGGCCCAAATAGACATCTGGGACAGTTAAGCACTTTGTTTGTAAACATGATTGAATTGTATTAGTAAACTTCATTTATATACATGTTTGTATCTGGAAAGAAATGCGCTACATCAAATATCCCCCAAAGTGAAAATGAAAAGATTACGGCTCAACGAAGCTAAAAGCCGGATGCTTTGCACGATGAATGGGCTATCCACCGACACGCGGCATACATCAGCACATGCTATTAATAATTCTTATACTGGAATAAATTATTAATGAGCTACAGTAGGCCTGTTTGTCTAATTTGTGGGACACTCAGCTTATTTTGCACATCAAAATGTTGGAAGCAGGCAAAGTGTTACGCGATGAGGGAGGGATCCCCCCAACAAAAATTGGCCGGGAAATATGTCATACCCGCGATCCGGTAAAACCCATAGGCCCGAATTCACAAAGGAGGTTTGTCGACAAACCGAGGTTTATGTATGTCATAATGACGCATTTTGACACGTTTTTTACAAGCCTGGTTTGTAAATAACAAAAGGAGGTTTGTCGAAACAAAAGGAGGTTTGTCGACAAACCTCTTTTGTGAATTCGGGCCATTGTGTCTTGTATATATAAAATAAAAGTTTTGGTGCCCGTAAACTATGACCCCCCCCCCCCCCTCCCCACACAAATTGCTAACCGTTGTGTAGTCTTGTGCCATTACTATTTGTTATTATTTCTTTGTTTCTTTTCGTTTGCTTGTTAGTTTTCGGGCGGTATATGTTGACCAATAAGACCACCACCCGAAAATGTGATAATTTCGGGGGGGGGGGGGGGGACTTGCTTTTCAGCATACTCTGAGATTTGTGATCCCCTCCCCATTCCTGGGCCCCGTCTTACAAAGAGTTGATATCAATCGTAAGTTATTTGCGATTGATATCAATCGTAACTATGTACATAAGAGATAGGAGACTGCAAACTTGCGATTGATTGGAGGACTTACGATTGATTTGGATCGATCGTAACTCTTTGTAAGACGGGGCCCTGGTCAGATAACTCTGGATCCGTCACCAAAAATTATTCAATTGATTGATTGAACCACTAATAAATATGATACTAGAATGGATTGGAACACGAATGCTCATTTACTTTCAGCTCAATAATTTAACAACGAGCAGGCCGATGTAATCATGAAAACATGGCGCTCGTCCCTTAATAATTGATCTGGGCAAATTTAATATGGAGACATATCAAAATCGAGTTTGATTTTTCAGCGATGCTTTGAATGACCTCATTGTATTCTGAAGATTATGATGCAAGAGCAGGAATCAACAATTGCTCTGACATCGATATATTGATATATTGATGGACCCAGCACTCTAATTAATACCGCTTCATCAAACATGCATTTATCATTCTATTCCCAAATATCCGAGTGTTTCAATTAATTTCCCTTCACGAAGAGGAGGGCTTTCATACTGCTACAATATATGTTGTGCCGTTACAGTAATCCTTAAAGGGCTGTCGAGAACATAGTTCAATCAAGTTAAAGCTTTTTACCTTGATTGGTAATTTGCTTTATATATAATTATAATTCATCATGAAAAAAAGACTGGTGTTCGAACACCATCCTAAATCCTGCATCTGGTATAATTTAACTGTTTTAGGCTTTTGATTTCAAATTTTATTCTGTTTATGCTTTGTATTGTAATGTTTCTGTTTTTCTTTATACTGTTTTTTTTTTTCTCGTCTTCTCCAGTTTCAACTATATAGGCCTGCGTGGGCCTGTCATGTTCTCGGCTTTTTATGTGGGAGATTGTCGGTGTGTTGTTCCAAGTTAATTTTAAACATTAGTAGTACTATTTTGAATAGGCGAAGAAACGAGGAAAAATAAGAAAAGAGCTGAAGGTAGCTAAAATCCAGGGAAAGGTTAGATGGGATAGAGATGATTTGAGAGGGTTGATGAAGGAAAATAAGAACATTATGATGCGAGCAGTATAGAAAGAATCAGATCTAGGAGGAAGGTTGGGAACTCGTTGGACAGATAACATTTAAAGAGGTATGAGGTAACGAGCGGGAGCGGCTAAAACAGGGAAAGGAGGATGGTTCGGGCAACCAATTCCTGCTAAGGGATAATGGTTCATGGAATAATATTTTGCGATTATTTGAGTTTATACTTACGTGTTCTGAAGGTATAATTTTGGTGACCACGTTTGATCGATGTCGACAGAAAAAGATCCTATGCCAGCATGGTCCTTAGGATCCCAAGTCAGTCTATCATCGTACCAGTCCTAGTAGGAGAAACATGAAAGTTCTCATCGGTATAGGATGAGTAGCCTACTCATTCTCGTCAATCAAATTTTTTTTAATAAAAATAATTATATTTTTTACTGAAAGAGAATGATGATGTTTTTTTTTGGTTGAATAACCACTTTATCAAAGATTCTTGAAAAAATGATCTACACTCGAACATCTAATTTTTTTCACACGTTGTGGAATTTTGGCGGACTCTCAGTTTGGATTTCGTTGGAAACATTCTACTTCTCATGCTATACTACTTTTTATAAATAAAATTGCGTCCGTTCTTGACGACCGCTGTCATACTGTAGGATTATTTTTTGGATTGTTCCAAGGCATTTGACACAATAATTGTATTGATCATAACATTTTGTTTAAAAAGTTACAGCATTATGGTGTCAGGGGTAAGGCCTTGGAGTGGTACAAAAGTTACCTCAGTAGTCGAACACAGTTTGTTTCATTAAACGGGATTGCATCGAGTGTCAAGCCTGTCACGTGTGGTGTTCCTCCGGGATCTCTTTTAGGGCCTTTGCTATTCATAACATATATAAATGACTTCAAATTTTCATCCCGACTATTGTAATTTTATACTATACGCAGATGACTCAAGCATATTTTATTCTCATCAGAATCCTCAAATTTTTGTTGAAACTGTAAATTCGGAACTTGAGAATATTGCACAGTGGATTTTTGCGAATCGACTGTAACTGCACTTTGACAAAACTAATTTCATATTATTTAGCAATTCAATCTCCGATTTACCTGGAGATATTTATTTCAACAATGTCAAAATTAAGAAAGTAAAATCGACCAAGTTTCTTGGCCTGTTTATTGATGATAGAATGTCCTGGAAAATACATACAAATTATTTGTGTTCATTACTATAAACAAATGCTGGTGTGATATACAAACTGAAACCTATGTTCCCATCATATGTATTGCAAATGTTGTACTCCACTTTAATGTTGCCCTACTTGGACCAGGCGCGTACGCAGGGGGAGGGGGGTTGACCCCCCCCCTTGGCTTATTTTATGTGCGTGTTTTGGAGTAACCCCCCCCCCCCCTTTGCGATTTTTTTTTTAAATTAAAAAGAAAAGAAAAAAGATAATGGGTGACCCAAAAAACCTACCCCCCCCCCGCTTAGTTGCGAAATTTTCGGCGTGATTTAAAAATTTTACCCCCCCCCCCCCCATTGAAAAAATCCTGCGTACGCGCCTGACTTGAACTATGGTATTCTTGCCTGGGGTAGTTCATTGAAACTTCAACTGGACAAAATCCTGGTTGTTCAAAAAAGAGCAATAGGAACAATTTGCAATGTACCTATTCGTACTCACTGTAGCCCTCTTTTCTTCGAAAACTGAAATGTTATTATTTGAATACATAATTATTGTCATTCCTGATTCCTGACTATTCTTGTCTCTAAGCTGTATATTTTTGTTCATTACAATGAGTAAATAACGGTATGACCATGCCAACTGTGTTTATAATATACTCATATCGAGAACACACTATATTGTAATATTGTTTCAATAAGCTGCATATATTCCCTTCCCTTTCCCTTGTCTTTTGTAGTTAATTGTGAGTATCGGTTCATGTATCCCTGTAATCTCCCTTTCCCTAGTTTAGCGTGTATTTGTATTTTATCAACTTTACTTTGGTTGTAATTTGTAGTTTAATTAAGGAGCCTATCCACAACAAGCTCTGCTTTTCCATAGGCTCCGCCACTATATCTCTTAATTTAAGGTCAACTCAATGGACAATATTCTGAATAGTGTGTACCCGTATTATATGTACATGTATATTTTAATCATTTTCTATAGGTTGTTACACTCTTTGTAAAATGAGATATTGTGGAAACCAATAAACTATCTAATTAATTGGCTTGACAGTCCCTTTCCTTTGAGGCCGCCATCCTAGTCAAGCATCGCTTAGGATTGCGGTCTCCTGCTCTTTTTTCTAGAGAGTTCGGATACTAGTTTAAGTGTATAATAATAGGTTACAGAAATATTAAGTTCGTTATTCTATTTTTATATGCAAATAACAATTTGACATGAAGTTATTATTGTTTGTATATTTTGTATTATACCTTACGTGTATATGTTCTTGTTATTCAGTTATTCTATTTGGAAATATGCAGAAATATAATCAAAATCAAGTGTCAAATCAAGTGTCAATAATTATTTAACGATAAAACAGATTAAGCAAATAAAAGCACACCTTATTAATTGAGAGCATATGAACAATCCCCTTTTCACGATCACCCCGTCCTCCGGAAGTTGTAGTTAATTCTCATAAAATGAAAACCGCGTGATATTTCACACAAGAAGCTCTTTTTCGTCAATTCAGCTTTGACTCATTTCTCACATAAAGGCATCGTTTAACAATGTTAAATCTGAGATGAGTGTCCCAATAGACTGTAGTGTTATGAAAACCGTTTGGCAAACGCAAAATTTGGTTTCAATTTCCAATCATAAATATCTTGATAATCAGACAGGCGATCGGCTTGTAAATTTCATGGAGTTCCTGACTGACCTAAATGTTTATAATTATGATTGCAGCATGAGCTAAATCTAGGATTTTGTTTCAGAATCTGAGACAAAGTTACCGGGTCCCTTTAATATCCAAATACCAACTGTTCCAATATATCTCAGAAGCATGATGAATTTTGTCAACTTCAACACCGTACGCATGCATGTCTCTTTTCAGAAGCTGCTTTGATCTTTTTTTCCTTTTTTTTCCTCCCCGACTCACGCAGATAGTTCATTCCACGCCCTGATAATTTACAAAAACCTCGTGCTTCTGATGCTTTATGCACTCACGGATTTGGAGGGGAAAAAATCACATTAATCTTGAAAATAATCATCAACCAAATAGTGCAGGGTGAAACGTAAAATTATTTACTAGCATAGACCACGGAGGTCCATGCATAGACTGATGGAGGGATTTTACACGTAAAAAAAAAAACAGAAATCAGAAATAATGGATGGATGACAATTTATCGGACAAATGATAAGAAAATGTAAACAGTCGTAGAACATTGCACGCAAAACACACATTTGATATCTATGGACTCTATATACACAGTGCCTTTTCAGTATCAGACGATAAGAAAAAGGAGAAGAAAAAAAATCACCCAAGAGTTTTCGTAGCAAATATAATATAGAACTTTTTTTGTATTCTTAATACATGAAAATATTTTGTTGTTGTTGGTTTGAGTTACGTAACATGACAAGTTAAGGGTAACCCTCGGAAGCTTGAAATTATAACCATATCTTTTACTGGTATGATTCACCTGGTATGTTCAGGAGGTCTGTCATGTTTTATTCTCGGCTTAACTTGAGATAAAGGATCAATTAATCTATCCAAGTAGACCTTCCGCTTCTCTTAATTGGAGCAATGAGTATTAGCTTTGAGCCATACGCTACATGACATTGCATGTTGGTGCATGCACAGCGGTTGCTACATTGAGAACCATGCTTCGTTAGCCATTTGCCTTGCAAGTTTGTTAATTCTTTACCAATTCTTCATGACTGGACATTACATTAAGGGATTAAGAGCATATTGTGACTAAAATATGTGATCAAAAGTTGGAATTAATTCGGACAAATACTCGACTGCATGGAGCGTGATTTTGAGGTAATCGATTTGATCATCAATTGCTCGATGTGAATAATATACGGGTTTTAACTTTATTATATATCATATTCACCAATACATTTTATGTATTTAAACATATTTATTTGAGTATAAGCGTCAATCTTCAGTGTGGAAAATCTAGATTGAAATTCTTAGCCAAAGGAGGACACTGGAATAATGAGCTCAAAATCTTTCCTGTCGTATTCCTTTCGTCTTGGTTGTGCCTGGTTTGTAACTGTAGCAAGCATCTCCCTGAGTATCAGCTACCTGAATTCAATACCCCGTTACGAATCGAAGCCTCAAGACCGAAAGTTGGTTGAGAAAGCCGAGAAGTTCGAAGTGTACAATAGACGGGAATGTGCTCCTTGCTCCACTGCTGAAAGTGATACTCGTCATCACTATCCTCATCGTGGCGAATTTCAGAATGCACAGATTGATATTGAACGATGGATACCTCCGGTTAATGAACTGTATGATAGGCTTCGTATCATAACTGCCATTTCTCAGAACCATTATGGAGAGGTCATGCCTTGGATTGCTACTATTCAGGAGTTCATGCCAGAGAAAATCATCATCCTCTACAACATGGGATTGAATACGACCTCTCTACAAAATGTCAAAAACTTGTGTAATGTTCAGGTGAGAGAATTTCCTTTCAGCTCCTATCCGAAACATGTCAAAAATCTGCACACGTACGCCTGGAAACCAATCATAATTGATATAACCTTGCGGGAATTTGGCGCCATTTTCTGGGGAGATTCGTCGATCCGCCTCAAAGCCTCACTGCGGAATCTCATACCAATTTCATTGAAACACCATGGATACATGACTCACTTTCATGGCTTTGATCCCAAGAAAAAGAAGAAATTCAACATCAGTACTATTTCACTCATCCCCAACTCTACGCTAACCTAGGTGTTAATAGAACAGAATACTTGCAATCAGAAGACTTGGCGCCGCACGCTGCCGCAAATCGTCAACTCTACCTGAACAGCTCATACATACATGAAACCATCGTGCAACCCATGTTACAATGTGCTCTGCGGTATCGCTGTATCTCACCGCGTGGAGCTAAACTACCGAAGCATCGTTTCGACGCCTCAGTACTTGCTATATTGATCTATAAGAACCTGAAAGGCGAGTGGACTAGAACGAATAATGACAACCGTGCATTTGATGAGGTGGTGTACCTTCGCAAAAATACGGTGGGAAATGAGAAGGTCCAAACATGTTTGTGATTGTATTGATCGCATATGTCTGTTGGAAGGGCAATTCAGTTTTAAGTTTAAGTATGTCAATTACCTTTGGAATTAAACAATTAGATATGCGGAATATCTGCCCAATTTATACACGCATTATGATTGTATGTGCGACGGGGAACGGATATGATAAGAAGAGGGAGATGTATGCCACTCTTCATTTGTATTAATTCATGAATATTATGGGAGAAAAGATGAGATTTTAACATAATCATGTTTCCCTTGATTTCAGAAGATATTCCATTTACTTTTACATAACTTTCCGAAAGTCAAGAAGAATCAGGGTTAGGAAACCGTTAAGCGTAAAAGTTAGGACATTTTCTATTTTTTAAAAAACAATTCGTGGACTACACTCCTGTACATAATATTACATGATGTTTAAAACAATTGAGTTAAATCATCGTATACGCTGGGGAATTTAATCCGGTAATATATGTGACTGGATATACATTAGAATTTGGTGAATATGAATACTTACCATGAAAAACCATGATATACCCGACAAAATCTGAGTTCTGGCATCCTAGAAAATGACGAATTGAGAATATTAGAACCATTCAGAAATGTACATACATAGGATGAAGCTAATAGCTAGCTATACAGTGCGTCCCAGAAAAAACGAAACCTAGAACTATCGATGTTTTATCATAACTTAATCACAATTATAATCAATGAATGACACATAATTTGTAAAGCTTAGATCCTCCTCTTTCATTTGATGCAACCTATATGATGCATTTTCCACGCATGAGTGATTAAAAGCAATTTGAAGAGAGGAAACCAACAAGTCATTTGGCGGACGGTATCTGAATTTTAAAGGGAAAATCACATTTCTAGAAAGTTCAATTTCTGCCCATTTATATGACACCTCA